GAACAAAGAATTTTACAAAGCACCTCAAGCAACAACAAAGGATTCAGAGGGGGATACAACAGTGATTTCCGTGGACGAGGATCACGAGGTACAATTAATTGGCGTGGGAATGGAAGAGGACAATATTTTCATGGACGAGGAAGAGGACGGGGTGCGTCTTTCTCCCAACAAGGAAACAACACCTCAACAACAACAACAGCACCAACAACAACCGATTCAACATAACCCAACAATCGACCTCACTACAACATCTCTCACACACTCAACTTACAACACCAACACTTCCTCTATGTTCACTCCAACAACAACAACAACAACAGCAACAACAACAGCAACAACAACAGCAACAACAACAGCAACAGCACTATTCCATTCCAAAAGACGGCATTCTTCCCGGAGGTCGTTTAACAAGTTTCCAAAAAAATTGGGGAAAAATTACAAATCACAAATGGCCCATATCGGTAGTACAAGAAGGATACAAACTACAATTTGCGAACCAACCAATACCTTGGAGACTCACACCAACAAAAACAACACCAGAAGATCAATCAGCAATCAACGATGCAGTACAAAAGTTTCTTACGGCCGGCATCATCGAACCCATGCCATCAGGATCAGAAGATTACCTCTCAAGATTCTTCACAATCCAGGAACCAAACAAAAGACGCCCGATATTAGATTGTCAACGATTGAATCAGTACATCCAATGCGATCACTTCAAGATGGAAGGCATACCAGCGTTAAGGGATCTAATCGAAAAAGGCGACTATTTATGCAAGATAGATCTAAAGGATGCTTATACAGTGGTACCCATCAATCCTCAATATCGAAAATTCCTCACTTTCAAAAACGAAGGCAAGGTCTACCAATACAAGTCTCTGGCATTCGGTCTCAATGTAGCTCCCAGGGTGTTTTCAAAACTGATTCGTTACGCTGTCGAACCATTAAGAAGAGAAGGTGTAAGGCTCGTATACTACCTCGACGATATCTGTCTCTTATCAAGATCAAAGGAAGATTTAGTGAAGACATCAACAAGGGTAATAAAACATCTAACGTCATTGGGTTTCATTATCAACCAAGAAAAAAGCATACTCACTCCTTCCCAAACACAGGAATTTCTCGGTTTTCAATTCAACACCAAGAAGATGATGATCACAGTACCATCACAAAAGATACGGAATCTACTGAAAAGGATCAAACAAGGCTCATCACCAATACCAAGATCATGCAGATGGGTAGCAAGTCTTCTGGGGAAAGTGACATCCATGTTACCAGCGATAGGAGAAGCACTTCTACACATACGACATATACAAAGGGATCTAGCACGCTCACTACTCCAAAATCACCAAAACTGGGAGAAGAAATGCCATCTCTCTCAAAAGAGCCAAGAAGAACTCCAATGGTGGAAGAAATTTGCAACGACAAAGAATGGTCTTCCGATACACACATTACCAGTAGTACCACCGACAATCACGATACATACCGACAGTTCAGGCACAGGTTGGGGGATCAGCTCTCCATTCATCAAGACATACGGGTTTTGGACAAAGGAGGAACGTTCAACATCAATAAACGTAAGAGAATTGAAGGCGATTTACTTTGCTCTGAAACTCCATGCAACAAGATTCAAAGGGTGTACGATCAGGATATGCACCGACAACATGACAGCGTTAAAATACACAACAAAATTTGGGGGAACAGCATCGTTTCTACTTCAGGATCTAGCAGTACAAATACAGGACATTTGCAACAATCACAACCTTCAAGTGACATATCAACATGTACCAGGAATAATCAACACAACTGCCGACCAATTATCACGAACAAAACAACCATTGTACGAACAACAGATACCACCACGGATGTTCCAGGAAATTCAAAGAAGATGGGGACCTTTGAAGATAGACGCGTTTGCAGCATCTCACAACAACCAGTTAGCAACATATTGGAGCCTGAGACCAGACCCACAAGCACAAGCACAGGATGCATTTCAACAACGTTGGCTGAAGAAGGGAATGTATCTGAATCCACCTTGGAAATTGATTCCTCGAACCATACAGATGATCAAGACACAGCATCTGAAACAAGTAGTATTAGTAACCCCTTATTGGCCGAGTCAATTTTGGTTCCCAATGATCTTACGAATGAGACATCTGGACCACCCAATCATCAAGCCAATCAACAACAGATTCTCCCTAGCCGCTTGGATATTATCAACAAAGGAAGACAAAAACAAGGTAGGATGTCTGAAGGGGAAATCAATTATTTATCAACATCTACAAGGAAAGGCACTCAAGATGCGTATGACAACGGTTGGAAACTTTGGCAACAATGGTGTTTAAAACAAGTCCCTCAGAAAGATCCACAACAGTATGATGTAACCCACGTATTTCAGTTTTTATCCACCAACAGTCATTATAGTTGTACTCACCTAAATACACTACGTTCTTCCATCGCTTCAGTATTCCGTATATTACATCCAGAAGAAATACCAATTGCATCACAACCTCTTATTCAAGATTTTTTCGCAGCAAAACGGAAATCAGAAGTAAAGATTCCCACCACTCAACAATTATCAACCTGGGATACAGACAAGTTAACAACATATATTAAATCTACATGGCCGTCATCGGAAGAGTTACAACTCTGTTACCTTCAACTCAAGACACTTGCTCTACTTTGCTTATCAACGATGGCAAGACCGAGATCGGATATAGGAAGACTACAATCTAGAGATGTTCAATTTCACTTCAATCAAGGAAAAATCAGTAGTGCTACTATTCATTTTAGGGAACCCAAGGAAACACAAATAAAGACCTCCCAACTTGGTACAATACAAGATCAACAACTATGCCCAGTACATACATTATTTACTTTCGTCTCCAAGACACAACATTTACGTACAACACTAGCTGAAGATCACACCTTGTTTTTGGCCTATATACAGAAACCGGAGAAGATCACGTCGATTCGTCCATCAACTGCAGCAAATTGGTTAAAGGATGTCATGTCTAGGGCAGGGGTGGATACCATAGCGTATAAAACACACTCAATCAGATCAGCAGCGAGTACCAAAGCGGTTGAAAAAGGACATTCAATTCAAGCTATCAAGGAACATGCAAATTGGAGTCTCAATACCAATACCTTTGAAAAATTCTACTATAAACCTAGGAAACAAGCATCATCAAGTACAAGAATAACAAATTCAATTTTATCTACGGAGAACTCTACCACATTGGAAGTCGGAGTGGAGCCAACTGAGGTTGTTATAGGCACGACTAACAATCAATATGTTGGCGAAACGAAGACTGAAGATGTGGTAGATGCCCGCCCCTGGTACCGTCGTTTACTCCATTAGTTTAGTATTATTTAGTTAATTTTAGTTTCTTCATTAGTACCCTTCCCAAAAAAAAAAAAAAAAAAAAAAAAAAAATTGAATTGTATAACTTAGCTAGCATTGAAAGATATAGGGAAGAAAAAAAAAAAAAAAATTTAAAATTGGAAAATAAAGCGTGGCTCTGAGAGCATCTACCACATCTTCAGTCTTCGTTTCGCCAACATATTGATTTCTGGATGATTTCTGGATGATTTTTGGATGCCAGCAAAAAAAAGAAAGAAAAGGCATCGTTGTGTCAAAAACGACAAATTGAGCGACAACTTTGATTTCTGGATGATTTCTGGATGATTTTTGGATGATTTTTGGATGATTTTTGGATGCCACTAAAAAAAAAAAATGTCGCTGTGTCAAAGTGACAGATTGGTGTGACAATTTTGATCTTTGGACAATTTTTGGATGATTTTTGGATGATTCTGGACCAGCAAAAAGATCATCCAAAAATCATCCAGAAATCATCCAGAAATCAAAGTTGTCGCTCAATTTGTCGTTTTTGACACAACAATGCCTTTTCTTTTTTTTTTTTTGCTGGCATCCAAAAATCATCCAGAAATCATCCAGAAATCAAAGTTGTCGCTCAATTTGTCGTTTTTGACACAACAATGCCTTTTCTTTTTCTCTTTTTTTTTTTTTTGCTGGCATCCAAAAATCATCCAAAAATCAAAGTTGTCTCATAAATCCATTTACATTTGTCGCAAAACAGTTACACACATGCGTGTACTAGAAATCATCTGCGTGCACCATGAAAACGGTTGGCGTGTGCCAGAAAACCATTTGGCGTGTACTAAAAAACCGTTTGGCGTGAGGTAGAAAAATGATTCACGTGTGCCACAATTCATTTGCACGTCAACTTTTTTTATTTGCACGTTAAAAAAATCCTGCCACCCGCCAAGCGAACGGAAAAAACCAGTACCTTAATCCATCCATTTTAGTAAATTGTTACACGATAATCCGCAGTAGCATTGGCAAATTTTCTTTTTTTTTTCGCGTTTCCCTCTTTTTTTATTTTGCTTCGTTTTTCTTTATTCACATTTCACTTTTTTCCAATAAATCCACTATTTTCATAAATAGGGATGGCATCGGCGGCTCTTCCGATTGCCGGTCAGTGCCAGTTAGCCTGACTGGTTGGCACTGCCATTTCGATCAGGGTTTGACATTGACATTTTTCCAAATTGCCGATGCTGAGTGGCAATTTGCCAGTTGAATTGATTTAGCCAATTGAATTGATTTAGCCAATTGAATTGATTTAGCCGATTGAATTGATTTTGCCAATTGAATTGATTGTGCCAATTGAATTGATTGTGCCAATTGAATTGATTTTGCCAATTGAATTGATTATGCTAGTTATGCCAGTTTAAGCCACGCTGACATTACTGCCTCAAAAACGAGATAAAAGAAGAGGAAGAATTAAATTCACCGTACCTAAGAAAAAAAAGAACGAGAGCAAATTGCATCAAAGGTGTAAAAATACGCAATATGATATGATCATATTGCAATTAATCAAATATTACTGCCAAAGAAGGGGGAGCATGGACAATCTCCGCTATCACCCCTGTCTTTTTTTAACAGATATTTTTTTTTTCTCTCTCTCTCTTTTTTTATCTTTTTTTTTTTTTATTTTGTCTCCTTTTCTTTGCTATTTCCTTACCACTTGTATTCAATTGTCGAGCTCGCAATGTAAGTATTATACAGTGGGACGATCTAATTAAAAGAAAAACTATAGTGTATACTCTAACTGGCTCTCAATCATTATTGTGGAACAGGTCATATTCAGACGAAACCCAAAGTCAACTTAACGATGCTGCCACCACAAGGAGCTCATTACATTTGGACTCCCTAGAAATCGCTTCAAGTCAAACATCGGCAACAACAACAACTGCAACAACAGCAACGTTGACCGGTTTGCGTACAGGTCATGAAAGAAGTACCGTTTGGAAGTATTTCACGAAGGTCAATTGGAACGACACGCTGAAAACTGCTATGTGCAATATCTGTCCATTACCTCCACAAGCACCGCCAATGCAACCAAAAGAAAAGATCAATGGCTATTTCAATTGCTCGAAGGGAAGTACGTATCTACTACTCAATCATCTGCAATCTACCCATCCTGATGTCTGGAAAGAAAAGTTCGAAAAAAAGGATCAGCAGACCGTCATATCGTTTATGAAAAAAGTAAGCTCAAATGGGAAGAAAGTTTTATATTCTAGTTCTATTGCACGTATATTCTAACTTTTTTTGTGTTTACAGGAAGTTCAGCAGCAAAGAATTCAACAACTTACTAGTGAAATGGATTATCGGCAGCAATCAGCCTTTTAGCGAAGTTGAACAAGGGGACTTTGTGAATATGTTGACCTACCTCAAACCTGATCTTCAAGTACCTCACCGACGACAAATTGCAAACATGGTTGAAGATACAGTATATACGAAAGCGAATTAGAAAAAATCAAGTCTTATATAAAGGTATCATATGTTGTACACCTTATTGTATCTTTTCTAACCTCGCTTACCTTTATTGTTGTGAATTAGAACAACACATCTGGATTCTCTTTAACCACTGATGTATGGACATCTATGGACAATACCTCTTTTCTTGCTGTTACCATACGTTTCATCGACAATGATTATATTCTTCATCACATTTTATTGGATTTTGTTCCTTTGACTGGACAACACACTGGGAAATACTTGGCTTCCGTATTGAACAATACAATGCAGTCATATGGAATCGATTTCAACATGGTATAGTAAAAAAAAAAAAAAAAAAGAACTCGATGGAAGTATACATTATTACTGTTACTGTATTTACGATTAATTTTCTTCCCAAGATAAATGCAATAGTGACGGACAATACGAAGAATATGATTAACATGATGGACGAACTGGAGTCGATTGCAATCACTATGAATGGAACTTTCAAGGCTCAGGAACATCATGTGCGGTGCTTCGCTCATACCCTGAATTTGGTAGTGCAGAAGATCATGAACGGTTTGGAAGGACTGGCCTCTGACAGCAGAGACTCTTATTTTGATGACAACGACAGCGACAACTGTAGTAACGAGGATGGTGATGATAACGAGAATGGAACAAGAAATCCGTATATTGGAAACTCAAGCAAACTGGTTTCAAAGGTATGCCCACATATGAGAATTATTGTAATATCATAATTAGATTTACTGCAACTAATACTGTATCCTTCTGGTTATCCTTACACGTAGGTTCGAAAAATCGCAGTCAATTTTAGACGTTCAGCAACAGCAATGGATTATCTCAAACTGATGTGCCAATCCAACGATACTACATTCAAGAAACCAATTGTGGACGTCCCTACGCGCTGGAATTCTACCTATCACATGTTGAAACGATCACTGGAGCTACGACGAGTGTATGACTTGGATACATTCCGTTTTCATTTTACCAACAATGACTGGGCATTGATCGAAGAAATCTGTGGCATCTTGGAGGTACTATATGTAATATAATGTAGTTCATTGCCGGCATTATTGCCTTCGTTTTGTAATGATTTCGTCTATTTCGTATACTAACAGCTTTTTTTTTTTTTTTTTTTTTTTTTTTTTTTTTTTTTTTTTTTTTTTTTTTTTTTTTAGCTGTTTGATATCGCGTCGGAAATGTTATGCGCAGAAGGATACCCAACTCCGAATTATATTATCCCCTACTTCAACCGATTCATTGACTTATTCGAAGACTGCAATGACGCCAACAGCGAAGGCAACAATACCATCAAATCTGCTCTCTCCCAAGGCTGTACGAAATTGATGCAATACTACACCAAGACCGACGATGGACCTTTTGTAATCTTGCTCTTATTCTGGATCCACGATTCAAGCTACATTATCACAAAGATGAAGACTGGCCCGAGGACTATATCAACGCTTCACGACAATTACTAGAAAGTACATACGCAAAATACAAGCAACGTGAACAAATATCATCAATAACAGTAGCACCATCATCAGCATCAGCATCGATAGCCGCAGGATCATCATCATCAACAGCAACAGCACCAGTAGCATCACCATCATCTTTCCGGGCACGCAAAAGAAGAACAGGCATATTTTTGGACGACTTCTTACAAAAAAGCAAACGAGCAGCCGCACGTCAGGAAAACGAAATTGAACAATATCTTTCGGTGCGACATACAAGCAGGATCGATAATCTTATTAGCTGGTGGAAAAGTCAAAAAGGGGCGTATCCTATACTTTCAATGATAGCAAGAGATGTTTTATCTGTACCATGTAAGTTTTTTTTTCTTTTTTTTTCTTTTTTTTTTTCTTTTTTTTTTCTTTTTCTTTTTTTTTCTTTTTCTTTTTTTTCTTTTTCTCTTTTTCTTTTTTTTTTCTTTTTTTTTCTTTTTTTTTCTTTTTTTTTTTCTTTTTTTTTCTTTTTTTTTCTTTTTTTTTCTTTTTCTTTTTCTTTTTTTTTTCACTTTTTTTTTTTAAAAAAAAATAGTAGAGTTGCTGTAGACGATAATACTAACTGGTTTTATTCTGTCTATAGTACTAGTGCTCCTGCTGAGCGAATTTTTTCGCAAGCACGTTTAATGGTTCCTTTCAATCGACAAAATATTGGTGATCAGCGATTTAGAAAGATGTTTCTTTTGAAACAATGGTTTGGCTTAGGAAATGAATTGGAGGCTATTGATGGAATTGCCGATGACAGTGAAGTTTATGGGGATGATATGCAGTGACAACTACCGCTTCTTTTTTTTTAACTTTTTTTTTATTATTATCTACTGATTTATTTATTTATTTATTCAGGCTTAGGAAACGAATTGGAGGCCATTGATGGAATTGCCATTGACAGTGAAGCTTATGGGGATAACATTCAGTGACAACTATCTTTTTTTTTAACTTTGTTTTTTATTATTATTAGATGTTTTTTATTATTTATTTATTTATCCAGTATTGTAAATCTGTAGTTTATTAGAAACATCATCTTGTTATAGTATATTATACTTTATTATTTTACATGTATATCGAATAAACCTAATGTACTTATTACAAACTGCTTTCATGATTTTTTAATATTGTTTTTGGTTGGCAAAATCTGGCACGATTGGCACAATCGGCAAAAACGATGCAATTGGCACAATAAGCAAGGATGATACATTTGGCAAAAATAGTGTGATTGGTAGCACTGGTAAGTTACCAATTGGCATAGGCAATTTGCCAACTATATTGACCGGCAGTTGGCAATTTGCCAATCCTCTATTTCGGCAATAGGCATGCCAATGCCAATGCCAATTGGCAACAACTGGCAACTGGCAAGAAATCTGCCATCCCTACTTATGATGATGGCATTGTCCATATGGACCATATCAATGGGAACCCTGTACCACATCATCCTTGCATGAGGTGGCATAGTGGCTGACCATAGGCGTTTGATCAGGTCTTTTCCTTTTTTTTTTGGGGGGGGGGACCAATGTGTAGGGAGGCTACCAGGGTAACAAAATCACGCATTGTTCTGTACGAAGCATGGTGCCATATTGTGTGATTTATCCATTGTGAAACAACCATATTAGGACCACACTCTCGGGTCAAATTAGATTCATGTACTGATGGACTAGTTTCGATCTTAATGCGCTGTATGTACTGTATATTGTTTTATATTCATTACAGTGATTCTAAATGGGTTTATCATTGCTATTAAAAGTACTAATAAAATATGTTTTATTAATATAATGATTAAGAATAATACTGTATTCAATAACGTCATGATACATAACCAACACCAGTGGTAACTTTATATCGTTGCAAAAAGCAAGTAGTCACTACCATATGTTATCTGAATTTATAGCAATGTACGTATTGTATTCTCGAACAAAGGATAACAAAGAATCTCACTGTATTTCATGTTTTCTTCACTTATCTTTACAGTTGTTTTATATGTTATCATATATGCATACAAACCACCAAAGCTACACACAACCCTAAGATAGGTAAGCTATTGAACCTTCTGAGTGTAAAACTGGAAAAAAAAGGAGCCCAATAGCGCCAAAATACAATGACTTTATTAAAGAATAATGAACAACAGAATAGAGCCATAACAAAGGTTGTATGTATGTGGATTGGTATTTGTATAGTATAATGCAGTGTAGACCAGAATTGTGGTTAGATAAAGTAATGATGGTTTCTGTTAGGACAGTATATGATTATACAAGATGATGGCACATCTTTTTTCCCGGTACATTACTGATGATGAAATATTTAGTCATTTCGGTTCTGATCAATATATTTAACGACTTGTACATGTGTTGTACAACAGCATTCACACGTCGAAGATATTGAGAGCTTGCGGCATTAGCATGATGCTCATGGACTCTTTTTTTTTTTGTATATAGTCACACATGTTTGGCTTAGACAAAAAAGGTGATTAGTGTGTGTACCGTTCACATCATTACTGCTTAAATGTTGAGCCATCTAGATCCTCGCATTTATACATACGCTACAAAGCTTATCTTTAGCCTATACTAGATACAAAATTCCTCCCGCCCCACAATCCACCCGTTCTCTATAGCATTGAAAAAGTAATGCGTCGGTCATTTGCTTTTCCTATAAATCTATATAATAAGTGTATCTTTGGTTGGCGTTTCAATACTCATAGCTAAAGAGGGTGACACTAATCTAGGGCGGGAGAAATTCATCCGTGCATTGGGGCGTTGAAAATTCGTATTCATTGAACACATGTTATAATAATGGTAATTTTGAAAAAGTAAAAATAGCAACAAAAATCTACTTCAATTGAATATGTAAAAGAACCAATTTTGCTGCTTTAATCATTCAAATACGTGACACATTGCATAAAAAGTTGGGTCCTTTTTTTCAATATAAAAAGGGGTCCTTGTTTTTGAACGATCTTCTTTTTCATACGTCAAAAAAAAATACATTTATTATAAACATGTTATTCAAGTTCCTTTTAGCTATTGCCATGATGGTCTGCCTCATGAACGTTGTTAATGCTGGTTTTTGTTGCGGCGACTTTAGTGCCGATTGCTGTGGAAAATGTACCAGTGGTAATGAAAATGGACAAGAATGCACACTCCGTGGTAACCCTCATGACGTGAAATGCGGTGCAAGCTACTGCCCTTCTTATGATACGCAAGGTTGTGAACAAGGATGGAGATGTTAAATGTTTGGCAGCATTAACATTCGCTGCCCTGGTCCCTATTTTTTCTTTTATGGCAGCATGAATAAAAGTTAATCAATTATTAAAAATTTGGTTTAAATGATTCTTTTTTTTCATGAATAAAAGATAATCAATTATTAAAAATTTGGTTTAAATGATTCTTTTTTTTTTTGGCACATTCATTTTTTTTTCCTCTCTTTTTTCCATGTCGTTATTCTTCTGGCTTCTTGAGATCCTAGGATAGTGTTAGTATAGCAAATGAAGGGTTGTAGATTCGGACCGAATGAACACCATGAGGAAACGTTTTCATTGTGGATTTAGGATTTCAAAGGCATCTTTGTGTCGTCGATTGGAGTCGATTGGACGAATAAATGAAAAAAAGGAAAAGGATTATGTGAAGGATTCAAGTGTATGTGATGAATTGACTTTGTAGGTACTGCAAGTGAAACAAACAAGTAGTTTTGTACAGTGCAGCTCTTTTGGCTTGAATAGACACCTTGTTGATGGACTCAATTATTTTTAAATCAGAAATTTAGAAAACCTTGTATTTTTTTTTTTCTTTATTATCTATATGCTACGAGTAATGTTCATTGACATGGTAATTGATAGCAGGATCGTCGCCTTCAATAGTTTTATGACATACAGGACATTCTACTCGGCGAACTTCGCGACTTTTCAATAAAGAAGCGGCATCCACTGGAGCATGACGATAGATAGGCTGATGTTGTTGTTGCTGTAGTGGCTGTGGTTGCTGGTAATTTTGGTAAGTTTGCTGAGTTTGTTGGGGTTGCTGAAATTGTTGCTGCGTAAGGTCAGTTCCGAAGGTAGGTGGAATATAGAAGTTTCCTTGAAGATTGCTGTTTGCATAAGTATTATACCCAGTGTGTGCTGATATAGTTTCTAAGTTTTGCGTAGGTTGCATATTTAATAACCCTTGTTGCTGTTGTTGTTGCGAAGGTAAGAATTGTGGTGGGGGATTTTGTCCAGGTGAATAATAGGAGGAATGTTGTGGGTGTGATTGCTGATAAAGAGAAGTAGAATTACTTTGTAATGGATCAAAGTGAGAAATGGAAGCAGTAGACCAAGGTTGGTGACCTGTCATAGTTCCCGAAGTTTGGTTGAAATGAGTCACTGAATTATTAGAAAAAGAAGGGTATCCAGTCTGATGGGTGGTTGTAGCATGATAAAATGGCTGTTGTTGTTGTTGTTGTTGTTGTGGTTGTTGTGATTGTTGCTGCTGTTGCTGTTGATTCTGCTGCACTTGAAAAATATTGGAGGTGTTGGAGGAACGAAAAGGATTATTGTCCATGATATGTTGCTCTTTTACTTTTGTGTCCTAGGTGTGCGTTGGTTGGTAATTGAGAAAAAAAAAAAAGAAAAGGATAAAAGGAATGGAAAGACTGCGTAGGAAGGAAATATCATTGAATCGCCTTGAAAAATGATTGGATAATTCTTACTTGAATATTATTGGCTAAAATATGGCATTACTGTTTGGATAAGCTTGGCGCTTTGGCAAAAGCAGTACCTCCGAAATTTGGTACCTCTAAACTTCGTCACAAAATTGGAGGTACCTCCAAAATATCGCCACCCCCTCTTTACAAGCTACAAGATTCTTCTATCTGCGCCATATCGATACGGAATGGCAATCGGCTACCGTAAATTGAATATGTTGACGTCGAAAGATGCAGCTTCAGGTTTTTGACAAGTACCCATGGATGACCAATCAATCGACAAAACGGGATTTATCGCTAAACAAGGAGCACATGAATTTCTTAACAATATCAATATGAACAACAACAACAACAACAACAACAACAACAGCAACAATAATAATAATAATAATAACAACAACAACAACAACAACAACAACAACAACAACAATGATTTCTCAACAATGGAGATCGTTCGTCCCTTGGAACAAACATCACTACTTCTGATCCTACCCAGGATATGTGTGATTTTCTTAGTCAATCCATCAACCGTCTACGAATGGTAGAAAAGGACTTGATAAAAAAAAGCAATGATCTGATCATTGAAGGCATCGCTGATGATGAATCATTAGCAACATCTAGGCAACTAAATGCTGTTAGAATTCAAATCGATCATCATATAAAATCCATGCGTAACCATGAATAACTAAGTAAACAAACAAATCATCTTGATGATGATAGATTACAAATACCTTCTGGTTTACCTGTACTCCAATTTAAGTATGATGTCCATCTCAAGGAGAAAAGAGAAGCCTACTCCACGGTGGATCATTTCTTGGATTGCTTTGAAGCTATACTGCATCAACACAGCATTAATCAGGATAAGCATTGGAAATAATGTTTCATCAGCTCAATTGTTAATAACCACGATCGTCTCACTTGGTATAACAATGAGTTAAAAAATAAAAATCTTACTTGGGAACAAGCAAAATTGATCATCAAGAACAAATTTGGTGGCAAACACTCACAAGGCGCGTACTTATCAAAAATCCAAAACATGAAAGTTACGATGTATTATATGTATGAATGCATTCTTTTTATATATGCTTATATTACAGGTACGGAATACGCGGGCCGTTAGGTCTATTTGAACTTTTCTGATTTGCTCTGTTCGAAATTATAGTTTCTATTTTACAAAACATCACCATTATCCAACAGCTGAAAAGGAACTCTTAGCTGTCGTCTTTGCCTTGAAACGTTTTCGAAAATTTTTATTAAATCAACAGTTCACTCTTTTCACTGACAACACTGCCGTTACATAAAATTATTTTCTTCTAAATAAAACACTAAAAAGAATCTCACTTATTTACTGTCGTCTTTTATTTTATATAAAAAAAAAAAAAAAGAAAATACAAAAATACCACATATTGTCACTAGGATAGATATAAAATGCAATAATTCAAAATCTTGTCATTTACAAAACGTTGATGGTGAAATATTATACTTACAATATCTATCCTTATCTGTGCATGTCTACTGTCTATTAGGTATAATTGAAAGAGATAATCAAAGATCTAAGACACAGTCTACCCATGGCTCTGGTCCATGGACGACTTTGGAAATACCGATTTCCTTGAATCCAACAGAGCTGTATAATGCGACCAAATGCGGGCGACTGAGCAATGCCAACCTTTTGTAGGCGCGGATTTGGCGATGTAACCCAACCCAACGAGTCAATAGAGCAGTCGCAATTCCTTGATGTCGGGTATCAGGTGAGACACAGACGCTATGCAAGCACACAGTTTGACCTTCCGGTTGGTTATCGCTCATGGATTCTTCTGTCACAAGGTCTGATGTTGCTACCGTACAACAGATAAACCCTACTATTGTCAAGGAGGTTGTCACATCTTTTTGTTCCTCTGGATTTTCTTGTCGTCGTGCTACCATGAAGAGTAATTCAGGATGATTTGTTTGTTGTGCTGCTAGAATCCTTCTTTTCAAGTTTTCTGGCGATGCTGCTTCATCTGGTGCATACGATCGCGTTTCCAAGTCAATCAAAATGTCTAAATCGTCTAATGTCGCTGCAGAAAAGGTTAGAGATGAGGTCATGTTGAGAAAAAAAAAAAAAGATGTTTATTATTAATTAGAGCAAATAGAGCATAAAGGTCGAAAGAAAGAAAAAGAGGAAAGAGGGGGAGGGGATTGTCATTAGTAACCCCGAGGAATCGGAACGAATCAACAGCGCAAAGATTTTGCTTATAAGGAAAAAAAAAACATTATATATAAAAAAAAGATGTATTACAATAAACAAAATTGAAATAAAAAAATAAAATGGAATATCAGTTTTTCATATAATCCTAAGTAAGTAACAATAAAAAAAAAAAAGATCAGTCATCATGAAAAGTTTAATCCTTTTTTTTTTCCTTAGATCATTTTCTTACCTTGAACTTGAAAGATGGATTTTGACCCACAAATGGATGTACCAGTAAATCAGCAGCAGTAGGTCGTTCTTCAGGGTTACTAAAAAAAAAAAATCAATTCAGATACTTGACATATCGAATCAATATATTCAATATATATAAAATTCACTTACATTGTAAAACATTGTTTCAAAAAACTTTTTGCATTTTCATGGATTCCTTCTGGTATTGGAGGAGCCTCAAAGCGTCCAAGCTAAAGTAATAATCATAATAATAATTATTAAGAGTTACTATATCATCATAAATATTTATATACTTACACTATAAAGTGCAGCCAACATATTCATGTCTAACCAAGGATGTTTTCCTGTCAACATTTCAATCACAGTACAACCCAAACTCCAAATATCGACTTTTGCATTATAATTTGTACCAGAAACGACTTCTGGTGCCATCCAGAATACAGTACCACGCATAACTGAGTTATTTCCATGAGCATCATACGCTTTATCTTGACCAGAGAGTTTTGACAAACCAAAGTCCGTGATTTTACACGTGCCTGTATGTGTCAACAGGACATTACCAGCTTTGATATCACGATGAAGGATGTTACGATCATGCAAATATTCCAAGCCAAGTAGGATTTGTCGCGTAAAGTAACTTACTAGACTTTCCTCAAATTTACCTTGTTTACTAAGACAACTTGCAATACTTCCACCAGGAACATATTCTAAGAAAATATTGATATGACCTTCTTCTTCATCCACGTCGTAACCCAAGTATTGAACAATATTATCATGTTCCAAATCTTTCAATAGTTGAATTTCCCGATAAAGTGCATCTGCCGTATCATGTAATTGTTGGTTGTGGCGATCAGAGGATGTAGTAGGGATATCTACTTGTTTCACAGCTATCCATTCACCTGCTGCTACATTCAATGCGTGATACACTCGACCATATGAACCTTTACCAATCAATTGTCCACGCATCCATTGTAATTTGGTGGGTGCTAATGAATTAATTAGAAAGAGAGAGAAAAAAAAGATAATCATATTTGTGAGAAAAACAAAAAAAAAACTTACTTTTGATCTACTCTCCCTTTTATTATTATTATTATTATTATTTATTTCAATTTCCTTACCTGGTTTACCGTCATGTAATGTTGTAGTGTTATCTTCTTTTTCATTAGCCAAGGCCATTCCAGGTTTAACTTGCTGCACTTTATGACCCCACATCTTGGTACTTCGTCGCCGTAAGATATTATTAACCCGAATAACATTGACAGCTTGTCGCCAATTTCGATGAGCTTCTTTTGCAACTACCCGAATTGATTTTTTATGTCCTTGTAATCGTCTAGTTAATGGTGGAGTTGCACCAGATACCAGGGTTGCCGATGACAATGATGATTGTGGGGGTGGTGTTGTTCCTGTTGTATTGTTGTTTGTGTTTGTTATGGATTGAGTTGTATTTATAGATGAACTTGTAGTAGTTGCATGCTCCCCTTCCAGCATGATTTCTTTATCCAAATCATGTCCAGGTAAATATTTGTCAATATCTCTATATAATCGTTCAATAGAAGGTCGTTCTGCCCAATTATCTTCCTCCGTATCTGTCAAATCTTGAGATGACGATATTGGTGATCCATTTTCTGATGAAGACTGAGGTGTACGTAATGCATTAGAGACAGATGGTGATGATGTTGATAATCCTTGTGGCTTTAATTGCTGTCTTGATATTGAGGAAGAAAGTGGAATACTTGAACAAGGTGCATTTGTGCCTGGTGAAGAAGAATTAGAAGTCTTTGGTGATCCAAGTTCTGATTTACCATTGCTGGATGGGATTTGAATTTGTAATCGTTTTTGAGAACGAGGAATAGATGTTGAAGATTTTGACGTTACAAGGGAAGGTCTTAAAGCGGGAGTGTTGGATACTGGTGGTGAGGACGATGATGATGTTATTGTAACAGGAGGATCTTCTAACCTCATGCCTTCCAATAAGTCTGACGTTCCGGAAGTATCATGAATAGATGATCCATTGCCATGTTGCTGTTCCTGATATGTAAGACTTTGAGGCGGAATAGCCCACAATGATGATGATATAGAAGAAGACGATGAAGTTGGTATTGTTGATTTTGCGTTGGTATTAGAGGAATCATGCACAGAAGAAGATGTTGATGACGAATTAGAAGGAGATAAACGTGGAGGTACAGCCCATAATCCTGATGATAAGGTATCCTGACTTTGCTGTGATTGTTGGTGTTCCTGATCCTGGTAGATGTTTTTAGGTGGTATTGCCCAAAGTGAAGCACTGGTCGATGTTCTTGTAGATGTCGAAGTAGTAGAAGATGATGGAGATAGCATTGGTGATGGATGTTGATTCGATGGCTTGGGTGGTATAGCCCATAAAGATGCCGATGATGATGGTGTTGGATTGGTATTACTGACATCATTATGATCGATGGAACAAAGCGTGGATGACGATGATGATCCCGTAAGCATGGCGGATGAACTTAGACTCGTAGTGTTTTGCGAAGGAGGAACAGCCCAAAGGGAAGCTGCCATTTGTTCCTGTGGTACCGGCTGAAGAGGTCGAGGAGGTACAGCCCAAAGAGGAGCAGAAATTGGCTGATCATCTACCACTCGATGTTGAATAGGTTGAGGTGGGACCGCCCAAAGAGGAGCGGAAACAGATTCAGTTTGATTTTCCTCTGATTGTCGAGGAGAAGGAGGAGTGGCAGTTTGTAATGAACGAGGAGGGACTGCCCAAAGGGAAACTGTTTGTTGTTCTTGTTGTTGTTGTTGTTGTTGTTGTTGTTGTGCTATTGATGGTTGAGCAGATGAAGGTGATGTTGATTCCATATTTATTAATGGTGAAGTTGATTTCAATAAAATACGATGTTTCGAATTGTCAGAATGTCCACAGATATAAACTAGTTGATCATCATCCAAAGGAATATCTAGTCACGAATAGAAAATAATTGTCATTAATACTTATCCATATACTTTTGTTTGCAATAGTTCTTACCAGAATTATCACCATTTTCGTGGTAGAATTGATATTGTTCCAAAGATGTAGCAGTCATTCCCAATTTTTTTACAATTGACATTTTCAAAGCAATTGGATCGGTTATATTGGTGACGGTTAGACTAAAGAACGTATCCGAATCTAAAGTCACCTGAATACGTTGTTCTCGATTTGTCGTAGTTGTTAGAGTAGACTGTTGAATCATCGTTGAATCCTACCGATCAAATCAATATTAAATCAGGTACATACACATCTTCCAAAATATTGTTTCCTCCTCTTCCAATTTCCTCCTTTTTTTTTTTTTTTTTTTTTTTTTTTTTACCTGCTTTGATTTATTAACACCTGGTCGTCTTGAAATTTTCCAACCACCATCCATATCTCCTAATTGACGGGGGCTGATAGGAGAAGAAGACTTCTGTTGCTGTTGAAAAGTAGAGGGAGGACCAAGATGTCGATTTTGCTGCTGCTGCTGCTGCTGTTGTCGATGTTGACTTTGGTTGCCATTGTTAGTACGTCTAGCAATAATCGGATTAGGTCTTGTCCTTGCCAAAGGCAAAGTAGGTGGTACATTGAATTGTTTCATTATTTTAGATATTTGAACTGGATTGGAAGATTTACGTTCAGGGATGTATGGTCGAATCTTGGCATATTCCGATTCCAACGACGCCGCTGACAAAGGTGAAACATTAGTGGAGGTAGTTGATGAGGTTGAAGACGTACTGCCGTTACTTATCATAGTAGGGTAAGAAAGTTGAGGCACTTGTGACGTAGACGAGGTGGATGGTGGTTGTGTACTCTGTGGCGTCTGTATTGTCGAAATAGGTGATGTATATTGTATTGTGTCATCACGACCTGTAAGTATCGAATGACCATCTTGAGTGGTGTCCAAATAATGTGAAGGTAGCGTAGAGGTATTATTCTCACTCTATTACAAGTATACAAATACATAGATAAAGAACAGTTAATCAACAAAGTAATGATATAGTATGAAATAAATCTCGCTCATCCTTTTTTTTTTCTTTGTCTTATTCTTTTTCGTTTTGTTTTGTTTTGTTTTTTTTTACCCCTACTTGAGTTTTTGATAATCCTTGTTCTTGCTGTCCTTTCCCCTGTGATGCTTGTATACTATGAATACCATGTAAGAGTCGACGTTTATCACCATAAGCAAGGTCAGATCGAGGTATAACTTTTGCCAGCTTAGTCATGGTAAGATCAAGAAAACCCTGCCCTTCGATACCGTTCACTATGAGAAAGTTAAACGTAGGATACGTTGAATCACGAGTTGAAATAAAAAAAAAAAAAAGAAATTTTTTAGTTCAAAGGTGATGATATGGATAGATTATTCTATTTTTTTCTTTCTTTCTTTTTTTACATTCGAAGAGAGGAGCCACAGCACCCCAACCATGGGCTTTTAACCATTGGACTACCTTTTCCATAGGCCAATCATCAGCGTATACTGTTGAGTCAGGTTGTTCTGAAATGGTTCCATCTGGGAATTGTGGTAGTTGTTTGTTGATATCAAAACCATTATCTAATGCCATGACCTCAATACACAGACTTTGAAGAAAGAGAAGACGAGTATCAAAGAATAAAGAGGAAGGGAGGTAAAGAAGCACAGAAGGCAGAAGGTTGTATACACAAAAAGAAAAGAATTAAAGACGAGAAAGGTCAGAGAGGGAGAGAGAAAAAGGTAAAACTCTTTCCTTTCTTTCAAATACAAAAGTGTATAAACAAACGTAAAGGAATAATAAATATTAAAAAAAAAAAAAAAAAGAAAAAAAAAAAAAAGAAAAAAGAAAAAAGAAAAAAAGAAAGAAAAAAAAAAAAAGGAAACAGTCGAATTGGAACAAGGTGAAATGTGCACCACTGAAAAAAAAAAGAGAATATCGGGATTTCAATATTTCAAAACGATGAATCAACTCATTGGAATCAAATTGTCAAAAAAGTAATTATCTTACAAGATGACGATCTTGTTCTTTACAGAAAAATGATAATGTTGATATATGGATAGAAGAAATGATTTTTTTTTTTAATGAGAAACATAACCTCTGATTTCTGAAAACACTGTATCTTTTTTTTTATTAATATTGATAGAAATCAATCTTAAAAAAAGGGGGGGGGGAATACACATAGCTATTAAATCCTATTTGTTCTCACCACAAATGACAATACGATAATGAGCTTTTCCATCCATCAAATCTAAAACTCCTTGATTGACTTGTTCTAGACTCTTTCCAATTTTTTGAATCCAGGGTCTGACATTAGCTTGACTGGCTAAAAGTAGCATATCATGAAGATCAGCATTAGAGCCAACGAAACTGCCTACCAGTGCAATTTGACGGTACACTAAAGCAGAAGGAGGAATAGTGATAGGTTGTTCAGGGAGATCTAGCAAAACCACTTTGCCACCAGTATGTACTAACGACATAAGATCTGCCCAAGATGTTGAAGGTCCTGATCCGCATACAAAGAGAACATCAACTAGTGGTTGTGATGGCAAAGGTCCATCCTGAAGTGCAATAAAATCGGTGGCACCCAATTGTTTTGCTTCCGCTTCCTTTTTCTTTGTGCTAGAGATAGCTACCACCTTGTGGCATTGTTTGGCTCTTCCCCACTGAATCTAAATAATGAGAATAATTTAGTATGAAGTGTAGTTGATTAGATAATATCATATGTACTTACCGCCAAATGGCCCAATCCTCCTATTCCAACTACTCCAATGCTGGTTGCTTGATCAATATTCAAAAATTTGAATGGTGTATACCTAGAAATAGAAATCCCACACTCCATCTTTAAGAACTTGTATCTTTTTATTGATATATTTAAAACAATATACTTACGTTGTAATTCCTGCGCATAGTCTGTGAATAAAGACCAACCAATCATCATAACTTCTAGTCAAATACTGCATAACCTCTTTCTTGTACCTTTTTTTTTTTTAATAAACTTACAAAGGTGCACCTTCTTCATCTGAAATATTATCAGGAATCTTGATTGCCCAGTCGGCTTGAACTCTAACTTTATTAGCATAACCCTGACAAGAAGGAAAAAAAAAAAAAAAAAGGATAAACAAAACAAAAAGAAAAGAGAAGGAACGAGAAATAATCTTACCCCGAATGTACGGATACCTTTATACATACTGTTATAAGTAGTAACTTTTTGGCTACAATATTGGCCACGTGCTGTTTTACATAACTCGCAATTTCCACAAGTTCTACAAATAGGAGATACACCAACTCGATCATCGATATTCAAGTGGTTTACTGCTTTTCCAATAGCAGTAATTCGACCAATGAATTCATGTCCCGGTATGATGGGATAATTCGCGCGTTTCCAACCCTAAAACAATTTTTTGAGCAATTTTATATACAAAAAAAAAAAAAGGTACAAGTTAAATTCAAATACAATCTAAAGATGTCAGAGAAGCTCTCTACCGTACATTAGTAAGTTGATGTATATCTGAACCGCAGCTATTATTTAATAATAGTAAGAATATTTCAATATTAGAATATAATTTGGTTTCACTCTTTCTTTACTATAATAGAACTTTACATTCCACAGGCAGATACTGCTATTTCTACTTCGTCATCGTCTAAAGGTCTAGGCTCAAAAGTATAGTGTTGTAAATGTGTAGTGGGGTCATCACGTACATAGGGTTTCAAACCTGCGTAGCCTACAAAAGTTTCAGAGGTCATTATTGAAAAAGTAAAATAAACAAGTAAATAAAAAGTGGAACAAAAGGACGAAAAATCCAGTTAGCTGCGGTATTCGGATGAAGACGATTTCTTTTATTTTATTTTATTTTTTTGAATTTCAGCCTCATTGGTAACTATACTAATCACCGGTCTTGATCATCATCATATTTTGATCTATATCTACCCTTATCTTCACCATAAGACACACGTTTTCTATCATCATCACTATCGCGATCATATTTGTCATCATAATGCCGTTTCCTGCTGCTACTTTTATGACTTGATTTGTGATGTCTAGACGAACCTTGATCGTTTCTTTCCTCCTTGTTTTTCTTATGTTTCTTGTGTTTCTTTTCTTCCTTTTTCTTCTTTTTGTCCCGGAAGTATTGAGCCATTGGATCCTCTTCGTCCATAACTGGCTCTTTTTCCTGTATCTTCTCTGTATCTTCATTTGTTACTATTACACAAAGTGATGATTAATATTACAACCCGTTAATGCTAATATTTTTAATCCTCTTTTACCTTCCAACATTGGCGGAGCTACGTTATATTTTGGCGTCAAATAGTTATCTTCATCTTCACCCTCTTTTGGTTTTTTGCTCTTCGGACCATAAGAATGATCCACTCTTAGAGTTCTTGATAATACCTAAAACAAAAATGTAGCACAAGTCAGAAATTTGGAAATGTTTATCTGGTGAACTATAAAAATTTATTTACCTTGCTTCCATTTAAATTATCCACTGCTAATATTGAGCTTCTTTGATCTTCATATTGTAAAAAGGCGAATCCCATAGATTTTCCTGTTTTTTTATCTCTTGCCATTTCAATATTTACTGGTTCACCATATCTATGAATAAGAAAAGAAGAGAAAAAAAAGGGAATAATGTCGATGTCAACACTATAATTCCAAAGATCAATAATGGACTTACTGTGAAAAAATACAGACAACATCGCCTTCTGTTAATTCATAATCAAGATTGGCTACAAAGATCCAAGCAGTATCTTTATATTGAGCATGCCAGGATCCGGTATCACTCCAACCTTCAGCAGATTGTAATTCTCGTTGGTTGATCCTCTGAATCTCCTTTACAACACTAGAATATACATCATGTTGGTTAGTTAATATTTAACGTATTATCTTTTAAACAATAATAAAAACTGTAAATTTACTTCATGATACCGTAGGTAAAGAGATTTTTAATAAAACAAGAAAAAAAAAGGAAAGAAAACAGAACAGGATTACAGCATGTTTTCGAGATCAGAAGAAAAAAAAGTTCGGAGATTGCAAATTCACTAATCCAATTGACGTCCAACTCAATCAGAATGTATCTTGTTACTCTTTTTTCAATAGAACTTTTATATTTTTTTATTCCAACTACTTTGTTGCATGTCAAGTTGAAGTAAGGAACGATTTATATGTGTTTATACATGTTTGTACGATGAAGATGCAATCGACCTGAAAGGATTGATTCGCGCAAAGAAAAAAGCACTACCTCGCTAGTGATCGATGGATCATAAACAGGAACGAAGCAAAAGTGGATAAACAAGGCATTCCATAGTTCAGAATATCATTATCAAGTATAGTCAATCTTGTCAATCCATGCCTGAACGAACTCATGATGGGTATACTTAGTGGTTCTCTCTGGCCAGAGTTGGAAAAACAAACAGCTGAACAAACCTGTCATGTAAATGGATTGGAACTCGAAATTTCAGAAATATTCGACAAAATAATAGAACTTGGTGAAGACGTTGATAAAATACTGTCCTTCGTACAAACTATGAAGGGAAAGCTCAGTAGCAGCAGAAGAAGGAAATCTCAAGTCTGTGAAATGTTATGCATGATAAAACAGATGTAAATCAGGCTAAGCGGCATTCATTAATACTTAAACCGCGCATGAAGATCAATTTCAAACAGTCATATCAGACCTACCGCTTTAAACCAGATTGACAGATCAACAATGCTACATAATTGTGACGCAAGCAAAAATCCAGAGAGGATGTAAGTTACTCGAAAAAAAAATAGTAAAAAAATAAATAAATAGATAAATAAAAAAAAAGAGAGAGAAAGAGACAGCTGAACTGACTATTTATTATTCTTAGTTTCTGGAGGATTATCAACAAATCCTGATGCTATACTGAGAGAAGAAAAAAAATCAGGAAAACAAGCCAAAAAGCACGAGATCCGCAATCCGAATGCCACGGGGCCGTGTGGATCATGTGGTGAAATAGGCCACGCAAGATCATCTTCACCAAATTGTGCGTATCATTCGTTCAACAGCACCGACAACAACACCAACAGTAAGAAGATTTACGTATAGCGATAATCCCGAGCGAATGGCCATCGATGAAATCAAAAACACGATTATCTCCATCAACAAAGATATTTTTAATATGGATAGAGATCAATCAATTTGTCGGCATTATGCTCTGTACTATAGATACATGTTGGCTAGATACTATGATGCTTTGATAGTCAAGGATGTGGAAAAGCAGGAAATATAGAATATCTGTCATATCACATGCCTGATTACCATCACTAACGAAATTATTATTTGTGTGGTTACTATTATTTTTGGAACCGAGAACTTTGGCTTATGGTATAAGAATGGACACGAGTCAGAAATGACATTCTATAGAAGATTCGCTACTTTGTTGGCGATTATTATATTGGTCGCTCATTTGGAACATTGTCTAAGGTTTTATCATCATATCTGTCGATCATCGAAAGTACTTCATCAAGTCTTTTATCAAGTTATTCGATATTTTTTTTGATCATCATCAAGAGTGATCACTGATACAAATCAATTACCATATTTGGACGACTTTTATTAAGTCATCTTTTGCTACCTTTTGTTCCAACAACTTAAAACTGGTGCTCACTACATATCAATCATCACTACCCTATTATTGCTAATACAATGGTATCACCCGTCTTTATTGCAAATCATTACAATAAAAAAAAAAACTTCGTATATTATTGTGTACATGTAACCAATTTCGAATGACTGAAAGCAATTTAGTTTTAAAACAAGCGAAAATGGAAAAGGCGACAATGTTTCAATACTAGAGCAATAAAACGTACATCCTTTATTATGCAATCACATTTGAGAAGGAAAAAGAGATGGGGGGTCAATATCTGAGAAACTCATGTCAAGTAAGGATCGTAAAATCAAGCGAGCACCTGTTTTGGAACAAATCAAATTTTGTTCAGAACAAGTTAAAAGATATACACCTAATTTGACAAAATTGAAGTCAATGTTAATAAATATACAATGATTTATCAATGATTTTTTTCATATGTATTACAATTTGGACAACCAGATTCGCATTCACATGTATCGACACGCTGCATACAAGATCTTAAAATTCGTTCAAAACAATCATACACTTGACGTAGAACACCGCAAGGGAGTGATTCATACAATACAATTCTTTTCAAAATAAGAATAAAATTAAGAGATGTCATCATTTCATTTAGAAGTTATTACCTATTCGGTCTGTGACGAGTTGCATAAGGACTTTTGCATTCAGTTTTAACATCATCCACATTGGAATGAGTGAATTGTGGTAATAGCGAAATAAACAGATGGGCGCTAGCATGGATTGCTGCCATAGGATCGATTGACCATTTGTCCAATTGATTTATGGCATGGGATGGGACATCAAACCATAAACCGAAGCATGTACGCATAATTGGATCCATATGAATATCTATACTATCCAGAATACGATTCCGTTTATCCAATTTATAATAACCAAATACGATAGTTTCTTTTTCCACCTGTCCCAAAGAAACCAATTGAGATGAAGAAGATAGGATTGGTTTTTTTTTCTTGGTTTCCAATACATTGACATTGGTATAATCTCTTTGACGTGTGGTCCAATCGACTTTTGTCAAGTGAACTTTGGCATATCGATGATCTACATTACATTCCTCTACAAGATATGTTCGACCTTGATGAATAAATATCGCACCTTCATATACTTCAAATGGCGCACGTGATGCCTCGATTTCCTCCAATATGATTTTTGTCTTTGGATCAGTTGTATCAACAATTGCATATGTTTCCTCTTCCATCATACCACGAATATTAACATAATGTGAAGGGTTGGGTAAACGTGAGGGCTGAGATCGATATATCTATTAAACCCAAAAGTGATTGTTTTTTAATACTAGTACCTTTTTTCCTTTTCTTTTCTTTTTCTTCTTCCTTACATTGAGATCAGGAAGATGAATAAGCTTTTCTTTGCAAATTGTGGCCAGGTGTGGTCCAAAATAAAGTTGATCACGATCAATCTGAATAGCAAGCTCTTCAGCTGCGCAATGCAAATGACTTTCTAATGCTGCATTATTCTCTACTTCCGATAGTAATGGCATCATATCTTTTTCAAATAACGACTGAGGTTGTTTCTATTACCAAAAAAAAAGAACGAAAGTAGAGATCAATAATACAAGTAAACATGAAAGAAAAAGAAAAAAGTCCTTTTAAAAAAATATTAGACGAATTCTTTTACCAAGTAATGTTGATCCATGGGATTTTGATCTAGTACTACTATTGTTAAAGATTCTTGATTTCTTCTACCAGCTCGACCTGATTGTTGCCACTATAAAAAAAAAATACAAGTTAGATCTCATTTTTTGTATAAACATCATCGTATGTGTAACATTGACTATCATATGCTTACAAAGGATGACAATGACCAGGGAATACCAACCATCATCACAGCATCTATATGAATCAATATACATATATTGAACAAAGTAAAAAAAAAAAAAAAATCAAAAGAACTATTCATAAAAGTCATTCAATAATATATATTTTTTTTTACCTAAACTACCAATATCAATGCCTAATTCTAAGGCATTGGTTGCAATAATCGCCAAGAGATCCCCACGAAACATTTGTTGTTCAATACGACGACGAGTAATTGGTGTATACCCTCCTCGATACGAGTGAATCTTCAATAAAAGATCTTGTCGCTGTTCCTTTTCCAGATTTTCTCGTACTTGCTTCATTAATAATTCACATGTTTTTCGAATCTATATGATAAAAGACATGCATGTTATTCCAATGAAAAGAAATCAACAAAATCCATCTTTTATTCTTACTTTGCAAAAAGCAATAGTTCGTATATTTCGAGATACTAAAAATTGCAACAGACTAGCTGATTCCGCCACCGCACCTCGTCTTGACATTTGAGCAGTGCCGTTATTTAATAATGGTGGATTCCATATGATGATTTTCTTTTCATAAATATGAGTCATTACAATTTGATTTTCTTTTTTCACTGATTCCTTTTCTGAAACTTACTTTCAATGCAGATGGAGCACCGTCGTCTTCAATCGTGGTAACATTTGAAATGCCTACGAGTTGTTTCATATGTGTTTGTGGATTAGCAACTGTAGCGCTACAAGAGATGAATTGTACTCGGTCATTATGAAAATACTCCAAAATTAATCTTCGTAATCTTCTTAATATTAGAGCCATATTTGTTCCAAACACGCCATGATAGACATGAACCTCTGATAAGGAAAAAAAAAAAAAAAGAAGGATTTTTTTTTGTGAGTTGTTACAGGATGATCTTTTTTTCCCTTTCCTTCCTTTACCATCAATCACAATATATTTCAATGAATAAAAAAAAGTCTGCCAATATTTTGTAGCATTAGGTAATATCGAATAATGGAGCATGTCAGGATTGGTTAATATCACTTGAGAGGATGATCTTATCAATGCTCGTTGATCCGAAGGCGTATCACCATCGTAGGTTGACACCTTGATATATGTTAATCCCAAAACAAAGAAAATGTCAATTAATCTATCCATGTTTTTCCACAATAAAAGAAAGAAATTACCTTTATGTTATTGGCCAATGAGGGTAGAGACATGATACAATTCATTAAAGATCGACGTTGATCTTGTGCCAAAGCTTTTGTAGGAAAGATGAACAAGGCGCGTGAAGACGAATCTGAAAGTAGGGTTTCCAAAATAGGAATTTGGTAGATCAGTGATTTGCCACTAGAAGTAGATGTTGAAATAATCACGTTTTCTCCTTTTCTTAAGGCATTGATAGCTTGGGCTTGATGAAGATATAATTGAGTGGTATTGTTTTCATTCAAGAAATCTTGAATAGAAGCGGATAAAGGAGCATCCAAATGTCCATAGCGAGCAGGTTTAGCAGGTAAGATGGATTGATATGCATCATTTTCTTCATCCAACTGATTATAATAAAAAGGTTGTTGTTTTAGATCTGATAATAAAGTAGTGATCGAGCGGAGACTTTCAAGTGACGATGATGATGATGAAGGCTCGTCCGAATCTTTGGTTATACCTGCAGTATCTAATGTGGAATCTTCTAAATAGTATTTTTTCATCTCCTTTTCAAGCCATTGGTCAACCCCATATCCATGACTATTAGCAGTTTCAACGAATTTATCCAGTGCTCCAACGAACTTTTCATTATTTCGTTGAATTGTTTTCAGTATGGCTGCGGGCTTCACCAAATGACGTTGAATGGCCTGATGGCGACTTTCATCACCTTGGTTACTTATCACTCGTGTGTGCTTTGCTCGGTTTGCCAATTGACTAACTTGTTTACCCAACCGTACTTCTATTACTTTCGAGGCATTCTCTTCTGAGGTATTCAATTGACTTTCGTCCGCATAATTATATTCGATTATAGTCGGTAAAATTGTCTTGATGGCCACCAGATCTTGAAACATTAATTCGGGTACAGCAGATTGCATACTTTGAAATGTCATAATGGTTGTCAGACGTGCCTCACAGAATGCACAAAAGGGTGTAAGCTTTTGGAAAACTTGATTCAATCGTTCGAGGGAGTCTGTCCAACGCCTTTGTGTCATTATTGTTTTTGATTCTCCTTCTTTTTCTTCCTCGCATTCATCAGTTTCTCTAGCTCTCTTACTCATTGTATATTCAGTAGACTAGTTGTGTGTGTGTGGGCTTTAAACGTTGTGTTGTGCATATAATAGTAAAATAGCAAACCAACCTTCCAAATCTTTTTTTTTTTTTTTTTGCACATTGATCCTTTTTTTAAAACTCAAACATCAAGTTTCCAAATATAGACTTAAGCAAAAAAAAAAAGGTTTAAAAACAAACAAAAAGATTTAGCACCATCACACTTGCCAAAAGATCGACTGTCAATCTATGAAGGATTTCTCAGGAAGGGATGTCACTCTGTTGGTAAATCAAAGCTACACTTCCGCTGTATTTGTGAGAGCCAAGATAAAATAACGAGGCAAAGCTGTCGTAATTTATGTTAATAAATAAAACGAAGAGAGAAAGAAATAAATTCTATAAAATGGTCTTTTATAATTTAGTGAATTACTGCATTTTGCGAACTCTCAACATATAATCTTTGAGTAGGAGCACTTGTAAAATAAGCTAGGAGGGAAAAACAATAGGAGATGTCAAAGAAACAACATTGTGTATTTCTCCTGGCGAGACATGGGCAGGGTGAGCCGCCCAATCAGGAGAGCTAATACAGGCTTTTAACACGACATTCAACGAATACTCCTACTATAAAACTTTTTTATTCGTGGCCTTTTATAGCTTAGATAGTCAACCCCTTTTAAAAATGGAATAACTCCTGCAGATAGCAAGAAGTATAAAAGCACAAAGATTTGCTGTTGGTAAAACGGAATTTTTTGCCATCATCCACTATTATCAATGAAGGTTATCCTTTGCCTTGTTTCTACATTTCTTTTCTTGGCGGCTGTTATTGCACAAACCGTTCACATAAGATATCCAGTAGCTGGGACCAGAATACGCATCGGAAGATCATTCACTGCCCAGATAGTTAAACCAGTAAGTTTACTTCACTGCTTGACAGAGCTCTTTTCACAGCTAACTTGACCAACGAAATAAAAAAGAATGCTGTAGTCGGGTGTACAGAAGTTGCCATTGTCCTTGCTATCGCCTCTTGCAATAATGGCGTATGCCCGCAACCGGCCAATCATCTGGGGACTGTTCTCTACAATGGTCCGTTCAACCCAGAGCTCCATGAAATACCTGGTAATCCTTATCAAAATTTTACGATGAAAGTTCCTCAAAATCTGTCACCGGGCCCAGCCATCTTCACCTTCACGCATTTGTGTCTACGGGGGGTAATACAGTCTAGATAAAATCATTTCTTGGTAACAAGCGACTTCGCTAACCGTAATTACTATTTTAGGCTGGACCAAGTCCCTTGCTTGAATATGGTGAACAGTCTATTACTACTATCGCTTGAGAACAGGGAGAATATGTTAACTATACTAGCTAAGTTGCCATTGATCCCTTTAATGCTTTTTGTGTTTTTTTTTTTATGTATCCGTGCATTTCTCATTGATTTCTCACTATTTTATAAATAAATAAAAACCAGAAAACGATTTTGTTTGATTCTGAACAAAAGTTATGTCAATTCTATATCATTTTCGATTTGGACTACTTGATAAAGTGTAAACAATGTATGCGTGAAAAATTTTTATTTCAGAAAAATAAAAAAATCAAGGCAAGTAAAGTGCTATTCTTTATATCATCAACCCCCTATTGGACATGGAAGAACCAGAAGGCGGTGGAGGTGGAGGATTAGACAAACCAGTTTGTGATGAAGAAGCAGAAGAAGGGAATGCACCTTGTTGTTGTTGTTGAGGTTGTTGTTGAGGTTGTTGATGTCGTTCTTCGATACTATCCCAAGATAATGTCCATTCCCGTTTTACTTTTTGCCAAGTAGTAGGATCAAAAAACACATAAACACCTCGATCCACACCACTTGCAGAAGTACGTCGAAATACTTGTACCGGTCGTCCATTTTCATCTGTTTCCTTGGTCAACCACAGTCCTAATTCTTTGTGATATCTCCAATTTCGTGCATATCTAATAATTGTTAAAAATAATATAAAATAAAATAAAAAATGAGATCATTTTCCTTATTTTTTTTTTCTAAAAAAAAAAAAAACTTACAATTCTTGAGCAGCAGCTTCTTGAGATATATCTTTTGGCATACAATAGAATACATAGAACAAGATTTCATCAGAGAAGGTTCGCATACGTTGATGAGCACTAGGAGAGGCTTGTACATTTCGATAACATGGAGGTAAATAATAACCAGGTTCTACATGCAGTCCTTGTGGAGTTTGTGTGTCTGACCATGGAGAGATAAACGTCGAATAGATGGAACTATACAAATCATATACCGAATATAAGTTACTTGTCCATCAAGGAATTTTTCAACCCTACTACTTACTCTGCTGTATTCAAATCCAATCCCAGAGTTGTTAAATCACTTCCAAGAGCCAACATACTTCGATCAGGATCCGTCATTCGTATCACTCCAAGTAATCCTAATAGGCCATAAGGATCTGAACCACTTGGAAGGTTATTGGGATTACTGCTGTTGTTTTTCGATGATGGTAATGATGATGGGTTTGCTGGTGCTGTTGTTGAATCTTCAGGCCATGATGATATTGCGCTGTTATCTTGATGATGATCCGTATCCCTACCATTTCTTTGCAGTTGTGCCACATCATTTCTTCCTTGCGCCCATTGAGATGATGGTAAATTATCAGCTTTTGTTCCAAAATGTTTCGAGGATCCTTTTCATTTTTTTTTTTGTTTGAAATTCAAGTTAGAAAAAAAAAAACATAATGATAAATATCTATCGTTTTTTTTCTTTTACCATTGACGGGTTGCGGTATAGAAGATGAAAGGTTACCTGCATTATCACCTATAAATCCACTTCCCCAGGAATCTTGTTGTTGTTGTTGTTGCTGCTGCTGCTGCTGTTGTTGTTGTTGTTGTTGTTGTTGCTGTTGCTGCTGCTGCTGTTGTTGTTGTTGTTGTTGTTGTTGTTGTTGCTGTTGTTTCATGTAGCCACTTTCATTACTTTGCAAGGCAGGGAAATCGTCCATAGAGAATGTACGCTGACCAAGTAAAGATCCAGAAGACCTTACAGTTGATCCAGTTGTTGGTAAAGAATCTTGTTGATAGATGCCGTTTTGTTGTTGTTGTTGGTTGAACGGGCTATTACTAAAAGGACCTCCTAATAAAGAATTTTGAGTAAATGACTAAAAAAAAATAATAGCTATTTTTTTTCCCTTGGAGTACCTGCTGTAGAAGCATAACTAATGCGACCGCTATTGCTACTATTTGTATTTGGTAACATGGTGGATGATGGTGACATGGTAGGTGTCATGGTAGGTCGACTTGATGAAGATGGTGGAGTACCTAAAACTGGAAAGTCATTTAGATCTACACCGGAATTGGGACGAAACATAATAGAATTAAAAAAAAGTATCAACAAAAAGTCAAAATAGACCAAATGAAAAAAAAAAAAAAGAAAGAAAGAAAGAAAGAAAAAAAAAAAAACTTGAAATTGCGTTAAAGCTGTGCCAGAAAACAACAAAAAAAAAAACAAAAATCATGATCATCAATAAGTCACAAAGAAAGAAAAAAAAATCCCCGCTCTTTGGTAGGAATTCCAAAAAAGGGTAAACACTTTATTAATTTTTTATGTTTTTTTTTTCATAATTATTGTTATTACTATTACATTATAGCTCCAAACATCATAGCAGCTGCTGCACCAGCAGATGCACCAGCATCACCACCTGGAGAGCCTGAACTGTTACCTGCTCCGCCATTGGTACCACTACCACCAGTACCCAAGCGACCATCATTAATCTCATCATCCATCATATAATCATTTCGATATCCATGACGTTGATGTAACCCTTCTTGTTTGGTACGATCGGATGATAAATGAGCAATATCTAATGGGTGATGACGATCATTGACACCTGGATCACCTTCAACGAGTGGTTGACGAGGCAAAGTGTAATCAATACCTAAGCGCTCGCATTCATCTTTGAGTTCCAACATGAAATTATTATGACGAATCATACGTCCAGTTGGATCTTGCCAATTTTCGGTATGACTGAAATAATAACTGAGATTGATCTTGTTTTGATTTTCAAATGAAACTACTGTTGCAGATACACAATTTGGTACGTACATCTTGGGAAATTGATTACAAAATTCAAACATATGTTCTCGAAGTTGATGTAATTTCCAAGTCGGTGTATTAAAGTTGACATTCAATGCTTAAAAATAAAATTAAAAAAAGTAAAATTAAAAAAAATAAAATCAATCATAATGAGTCTATTAATGTTTTTTTTTTTTGAGTGACCATATTATACTTACGAACTGTTTCTCCCATTGGACCTGTTCGACGAATATTGATAATATATAATGCTGCTAAAATGGCATTTTTCACATAAACAACAGAACCATCCCATTTACTATAGAATCAAGTCAAGATGAATCAATAAATCTATTCCTTTGTTACTTTTTCTTAAACTTTGGATTATGCTTACATAAAAGTGGTTACCAATAACCCAACATTATCCACAACAAAATTATCAGTACCAATAAATACACGATCTCCAGCGTCAAAAGGATGCTAATAATGAAAAAAATGACAATATTTAAATAAATATGAAAAAAAGATTTCAAATCATCATTTAGATATACTTACAGTGACAAAGACAAAAATAATGGAATCAAATGCTTCTTTAGCACTGTTACCAAATACAAAACTTGCAGCAATGAAAGCACTCCATAAAGGCATCAATTCTGTGCCTACATTGACACCAAATGCAGCCAATAAGATGATGATCTACAATAAATAAAAGGAAAACGTTCAGTTAATCACATGATACATGATTCCATCCTAATGATGACTTTTTTTTTTTTTTTTTTTTTTTACCCAGATAACAAGGAAAATCACCATCAAGATGATATCCATTTTCCCCGTAGCTTGAGATAAATCACGCATAGAACGAGCAAGATTTTTTCGTTCACGATAAATTCTAATACAACCAGAACGTAATTCTCGTTTACTGATATCACCATTACCATCAATATCGAACAATCTAAAGGCAGCAGCAGCTTCTTCTTGTGTGCGGAAGTATGGATACAAATCAGCTTCAACCATATAATCTCTTGCTGGATCAGGACCCATTAAATTATGATAAATTCGTTTAGCTAGTACTTTTGCTTGTTGTGATGTGCTTTGTTGATGACCTGGTTTGCTGGTACCATTAGATTTGGACTTGATCTTGTTGTAACCTCCTTTTAGTAATTTTCCTGGAATAGCCGTGGTATTTAAAAAGGTGTTATCTCTTGATATCATACGTGGACGATGAGAACTGCTATTCGAATTTTTACGTGGGTGTTCAGATGAACTCCGGTCTTCACCAAACTTGATAATATTCGTACTACCAGTCGAGAATGCACGGATGAATGCAGGTCGTTCTTTATCGCTTGAAGAATTATGAGTAGCGGTTTGTGAAGAATCTTGACTCGTTTTACGACCACCAGATTTAATCTTATTTTTTATTTGTTGAGTAAGACGATATTTTGGTGGAGGAGTTGAAATAACAGCATCATCAGGACTGGCATAAATTTGTTCTTCATGTTGATCATCCAATGGTGGGATAGCAATCAATGTATCTACATTTTGACTTGGAAATCGAACATTATTATTATTGTTATTACTATTGCCGTTATCATCATTTGTAGTATTGTTCATAATAGATGTTGGTGGTTTTTGTTTCGTTTTAACATCATTTTCATCCATAGATTGAGATCGACTAGTGATATTTTTTGCTTTGCGTTTAATCTTGTTAAAAATGAAATCTTGAGGATTTTTTCGTTTGACCTTTTTCAATTTATCCAAAATCTTTAATGCTTTATCGTTATCTTCAATACGACTACCATATGCTTTCCTATTATATGTATCAATCAATTATTTTGGAATTAATTTTCTCCGTTTTTTCTTTTTTTTTTAAATCACAGATCGATCCATTTTGAAACTTACTTGTGGAAGGAGGTCACTAATTGAAGATCAAAAAAATAGTGTGACGTTAGACAAAGCCCGAAAAATCTTTGATATACTAATTTTTTTTTTTTTTTACCAATCAATTGCAAGAAAAACTTTTCTACAAATAATAAGACGGAAGCGAAAAAAACACATTCCCAGATGCTATAAAATACTCCAATATAGGATGGCTTATCTTCAAACCTAAGTGGATCAGAATTAGGAATAGCAGGTAATGGCACATGAGTTGTCAAAAAGGCCCAGCAACCCCAAGTCCAAGCAGCGATAATAACAAGTTTGATAAAAGATCTTAACGCCATAAAATACTATTAAATAGATTGTACTTATCAATAAGAAAATAAATTCTTATCTTAATTTTTTTTTTAACTTACAGAAAGTCGCATACGTAGAACTTCAGTAGATTGTGGACGAAGATAACCAAATAATTTTTTGATACCCCAAGGAACCAGTTCCACTGCAACCTGTGATAAGAAACCAATACACCACATAAAAGCCAAAAAAGTAAACCAGACCTCCAAGTTATAAGATACCATGGATACATTATCACGATATACAACAAAGATGGCAACATCAACAGCAATCAAGATGAGGGCAAAGAGAATCACACCAGTCCAAGCAATATAAGATGCATTTTTCGATAGACAGATAAATAAACTACTTTGAGAAATAGATTTGCCCTTTTTTGTTTCATCTTCTTCTTCATCATCCCGGCCTGCCCAATCAAAGTTGTCTCTTTTTTTCTTGACATCCTCATCAGGAATGATCTCCTCACCTGACATGGGCAGATCTGGCGACATAACAAGCGCAGGTCCAGCCAGCGAGGATAACGGGATAGAAGCAGGTAATCCATCTTCTAAAAGAATTTCATCATCCGTTGTATTCATACTACTACTATTGTTCATTGTTGTTCCTACTTGATCATCCATTTCTTGTTCAATTTCTCCATCTTCCTCTTCTTGTTGCTGATAATGCTCCTCTTCATCATTATTTGTTAAATGCATAGGAGCATCAGCAGTAGAGGGTTCATTTTCCGCCTTTTTTTCAACGTGATGAGATTCGTCTTCTTTTTCATTCATTTGTTTATCGTTCAATGAGCAACAAACGAAGAAAAAAAAAACAAACAATGGAAACAAAAGAAATGAAAATAAAAAAAATTAACCAACCAAATCTCAAACACAAAAGCCGGACTTTTTATAAAAAATAGAGGGATTGGTAACGGAGACCCTTATTTGGTCTAGTTTCAATGTAATTAGGAGGTATTTCTTTTTTTTACGTATTCAAGCGTTTACTAGAATTGGCCACTTGCTTTCCCTCCGCTTCTCCGACTTGTAATCGCATTTCTTTCTCATTTTTTCTATGTTAGCTGCCTAAAAGAATATAACGTACCAGAAAATCGATCAGTAAATTCTTCATTATTAAAAATACGATTCTGATTTCCAATTCTGATGTCTGCTTCGCTACATTCATATCTTGTTCTTTTGATGCCAGGAGTTTTAAGCCGGGAAAAATATAAGCTTTTTCTTTTTTTACCCCTCGAGATTAGCAATCCTTTTTGCCAGTGATCCCTTGGTGTATTACATTACGATGTTATTATGTTGATACAGTTATCCATCCAATCACCAGTAACGAAATCAAACAATACAGGTCAAGTCGGATCGTTCGAAATTTGGAAGACCTCACAACAACCGGATATACAACGTGGATATAAAAATTATCATTACTCGCATTTTCTGTTTCTGATGAGATAAAAGTGGACTATAAATGGATTCATAACAATCATGATCCTTGTGACATGGATGATTTTTATTCGTTCAAGCATGCCAGAAAAAAAAAAATAAAGATCGACAAGACTGATGTGCATTCAAGAAAACCTGATTTTTCAATCTCCATGAGATGTATCGATTTTACAATTTTTATTTTTTTTGTTTGGTTCAGATAGGTTTCCTCTCTTTCACTTTTCTTCCCTCTTTATCTATATTCATGTTATTTTCATGTTGTATTTACATATTGTTTATTAACCGTGCAGATACAGGTTTTTTTTTTATTTACAAAATAACTGACTGTTTGAAATACTTCGGTGCAGATCACAGACGAACAGCCGATCCAGAAGAACCTAAGACCTTCAAACAGTACGAGAAATGGCGATCAAAGAGGACAATTCTCTTTTAAAACAAATCCAACATATCATCATCGACTGTTCGCAAGCGGAAACTGGTTGACAAGAATATTATGAGATGCAAAAATCTATGGACAACTATATGAATCAAATGATTATTTTAGCATGAACTTTGTAAGCTTTACCGGATATCAAACTTCGTTTTAGACAACAAATGCGACGGCTCGTCAATGTCCTGCTTAACGTCAAAGAAAGAAAAATAGCAAGACGACAGCATGAATAAATATAGAACTTTCGAAATTTGTTTCTGCCTATGCCTCTGTTATTATGGCTACTAGTTTTATTTGTCTTTTCTTTTCTTTTTTTTTTTTTCTTCATCACACATATCCTATTCTTCTGACTCTCCTCAACAATTCTTCGCTGACAAACTGGATGATCAACTGGATCTAGTCTTCAGAACCGTACACAATCACTTGGATTCCACATCAACAGCACCACCATACAAGTTCGAAATTGGAGACAAAGTCATGATCTACAATTACCAACTCTCAAACGCAAAACGTAGTCGAAAACTTATGTTCAATTGGATTGGATCATACGATGTAATTGATCGATACTCAAACACAGTTTACGACATCCAATCGGAGGACGGGAAAATAAAAAATAAAATATCAGAGTTGATAAACATGTGGACAAGAAGTTGAGTTTTGTTTATTTTATCAGATATTTTTATAGACTATGCTACATTTGGCAGTAGGAAAAGCGAAAATCGTGTCGATAAGGTCTCTGATAAGAAACTGGTAGCCTGGCAAATAATCCAGTGTTTTAACTGATCGAAAATAAATAGCCTGTGTTCATCGAGAAGCCTGCGTAATCAAGGACAACTATGCAAATTTTCTTATTTTGGATAATGTAATTAAAGAGATCTAAAAAACTGAACGGTTAGAACTAAACATAAATGCATTGATTTTTTTTTTTTTTTTTTACCTTGAGCATCGCCATCGACATTCAGTTGTTTCAGAAGACCTTCATTTTTTATCAAATCCCTTTCTATCATCATTTCGTTGGCATTGGCAGTAGGGGAAACGAAAATCGTGTGTTCATCGAGAAGTCTGCGTTGGCGACTTTTGTGCTCTTTGCTGACTACAAAGCTTCTTCCCCATTGCTGACTGGATCGTTCCATTGTTTTACCCTTTCGAATTGCCGTTGATTTTGGTTAACCTGTTTCGCGCCGTCCCTAATGGATAGATGCTGAAATTCAGAAGACGGATTGATATAGAGGAGGTGATAGTACTAAGTAGGAGAAACGAAAATCGTGTCGACTAATGACCTCTGTTTTTAATCTCTTGACCATCTGCTCCAACAATCGAGTACGACATTCACCGTTTCCGTTACTTCTGGATTTTCTTGCATATCCTACAATGTTGTATTTGTCCCTTTTCAGGTCTCTGATAAAGAGACTGGTAGCTTGGCAGGTAATCCAGTACTTTAACTGTTCGAAAATAAATAGCCTGTGTTCATCGAGAAGCCTGCGTTGACGACCTTTGTGCTCCTTGGCGACTTCAAAGCTTTCTTCCCCATTGCTGACTGGATCGTTCCATTGTTTTACCCTTTTGAATTGCCGTTGATTTTGGTTAACCTGTTTCACGCCGTCCCTAATGGATAGATGCTCAAATTCAGAAGACGGATTGATATAGAGGAGGCGATAGTACTAAGAAGAAAAAAGAAAGAAGAAAAGGAAAGAGAGAACGAAAAAAAAAAAAAAATAGAGAGGAAGAAGTACATTATAAAAATTCGCAGTAACGCGACCCAATTCAATGATTGACCCACAATGATGACCCAATCAGATTTTGATTTGATACATTTTCATTTTGAGGCTGAAAAAAATTGCAGCAATTTCTTTTTTGTTGTTGTTGTCGCGTCCTCCCTCAGGTGCAGTTGGACATCGTGGTAGTCTCTGGATCAATGGTCACTGGGTATGTGATGTCGGCATTGGTGAATGATCTGACTTCAACAGCTGTGGGCGCTTGGGAAACGATATACTCAGTAGCTTCTTCGTCTAATAGTATTGTAGTTAGTATTAGTATAAGTGGTTAGTATTAGTGTACTATAGGAAATAAATAAAAAAAAAATGTGATACTTCTATTTACCAGACAATTGTTGTACGAGAGTTTGTCGGTGTCATTCAGCTCTGCTCGAAGTTGCTTGTTGAAATCGTCGAATTGTGCGCAGGTGGTCTGTCATAACGTCAGGTAGAACTTGATTGTACAAAATACTGTATTCTTAATCTAAAGATTAATTACCCCATTCGTTGTAAGCTTGCGTTTGGGACCACCTTGAGTAGCTGAAGTAGGTGGGATTTCTTCTACTGGCCCAGTGTAATCAGTGCCATCGTGATTGCCAAATCGAGAGAAAAAGATACCATTTCTTTTTATATTTCTACCACCACTTCGATGATACCATTCGACACCAAAGCGAAGACCTTCACTTTGAATCCACAACTTGAGATCCTTGCGAGGCATGGTAAGTTCTTCGGGTTCATTGGAGTAAGGATGCTCAACAGATCCGGTGGTGCTGCTACGAATCGTTTCCAAAAGAGATGCAATAAAGTTCATGATGTTCAGACTAAAATTAAAAACGAAGTGGAAGTAGTTGAATCAAAGTGAGATGTAAGTAGATGAATCGAAAATCAAAAGTGAGCAGTAAAATCAATAAATGAAAAAGATGATGAGTAGATGAACAAGCGACAGGGTGATCAATGACATTACCGAAGAAATGAAGCAGTAGCTAGATGAATTAATAAAGTTTTGCCAGAGGCACTCTGGAAACTGTGAGGGAGTAGTGCCTGATTCGGAGTGTAATTTGCTATCACATATCCGATTAATGTGCTTCTATTTATTGTGCTGACTTCAAGAACCATTTAGACTTGCATTGAAACTTAATCTGAGATCTCTTTTTAAGATTTCAAATGTCTAAAAAAGAGGAAAAAGAAGATTTTGATCAATATTTTTAAGAGTATGCACACTTTATTTTTTAGAAAACTAGACAGACTTCATCTTCCTATTTTGGAATATTGAAGCCCATTTCAGAATATTCTGTGTAAAATATATATAATATATATCGAAAAGACAGAAGTTTCCTCCGTTTTTTTTTTTTTTTTTGAGATGCAACAATTTATATACTAAGATGTCTATTTTCTTCATCCAAATAAATAGACCTGTCAATTTCCTCTTGTTTTGTTTTTCTCTATTATTTTTACCAACTTGATTTATCAGCTTTGTAAGTAGAACTAAAAAATTTTGAAATAACCAAACATTATAGTAATCTCTTATTTCGAGGTTGCTATCTTTTTTTTTTTTTTTGGACTAAACACTTTACGTTCTGTTATCATAGGGCGAAGATGCTTAAGGTATATTTAGCTTTGATTGGTTTACTTTGTACTTTGTATCAAGCTGCTGCCTTGAACTTGAACGCAACCGAATTTATTGGTCAGCATGTTAACGCTACCGTATACATCGGGAACATTGGCACTTTTACCTGTACCAAGAAAAAACCATTAAGTCTTGCCTCCGTTGCTGCTGCCATCAATGCTTTGAACTACCATTACGAAAGAGGTCAATGGGGACAAAAGTGTTATGATGGTTGGTGTGTTGATGCTAGAAATTTGAGCGGTTGGGACAGCCCTAAAGATTGCATGAATGAATTAAGAGATAAATTAAGCGAATGCCTTGAACAAAATGCTGGTGATGGCTACATTGAACAAGGGACTGGTTTTGTTGCTAGGTGTATGATGCACTATTGGTGTGAGGGCTGTTAAATGCAATCGTCTAATGGATTTGGTTTTCACTTGCTTAAATTTTTTATTGCTAATATTTTATTAATAATATAACTAAATAAACAGAGTTTTATGTACTGTTAGGAAGAAATTATCATTTGAAGCTGATCATTTGAAGCTGACTGAAATAACCTTTTTTTTTTTTTTATTTTTCAAACATTAGATTTTTTTCCAATGTTTGAAAAATGTCAAACCTTATATTTTATTTTATTATTTTTATTTATCTTTTTATATATATATATATATATATATATATAACCTCCCTCTCCTCATCTTTTTTTGAATTGTCAATTTTATAAAATAAAAATTAGTATTAAACTATTAACAAATATAAATCTCATTGGCCACTCTATTGGAAATAATCATCCATTAGTTTTAATTCTTTTTAACAATCTTCAAATTATTATTATTTCTATTTACTTATATACCAAATCATCAAGTCATTTGGTATCTTCTATCTTTATTTTTTTTTTATCATCAAGCAATCATCAAGCATTTTATTCAAGATTATTTGGTTGACCATCATTAATTGTGATCAAAATTATCAAGACATCTATTTCTTTTTTTGGATTACTTTTATTTTTTTTTATTTTACTTTTGTTCTTTTTATATAAAAGAACTGGTGCTCACTACTCATTATATATCGATATTAGTATTTTAATAATATCATCCATCAATCTTATATTTTCAATCATCCATTAAGTAACAAAAAAGTCCTTAACAGCACATAAAAACTCATGCATTAACGATCACTTTTATTTTCTTTCTTGCATGACACTTTTTTTAACGCGTAAGCTACGTATTGTATTGCTTCATAAAAAGGGTGATAAGGAAGCTCAAAGGAAGACGGGATCGCAACTGTCATGCAAATGTCTCGTTTTGCTCGCCCTCAAGATGTCTTTAGCGTTGTCTCCAAAATGTCTTCAAAGTGTTCTCGGTCTTTTTCGGTTCTTTTATGCCCGAAAGAAGTGAACGTCAAATGAACTTTTTTTTTTTGGCTGCATTTCAGTAGCGACATTTGTCCAAGCATCTGTGAATGTCAAGTAACGCTCTTGAATCACTCAGCTTTATGCTACTAGAGGCTTCGTTGATTCTCGTTGTCAACGTCTCCATTCCCAAGTTCCTGTTCCGCTGTCCTCTACTCTTCACAACTCATCATAATGGTTCAATTGAATTGAACTCAGGTTGTGAAGCCAAATAAAAACGCAGCGATAGCTTCGGGGCGAAATATCTCTGACTGAACAATGAAAAAAAAGGTAGGATGGTACGTTTTGTTGCCCTATTTTTTTTTTGGGGAGATTTGCCAAATTTGTATAAAAAGTTCTCAAATTCCCGTTTTGCCAGTTACCTACTCTGGTAACAGCCATACAGACATTTACTATTAACACGATGAGAACACACATGATAATATTTCAAACCCAGTAGAATAAGATTCCAGGACATGCAAAAGTACTCTTTTTTTATTTTTCTTCTCTGCGCTTCATACTCTTTTTTTCACTTTGTTTTCATCTCTGCCAGTAAGTGAAAAATAAACAAAAAAGGGATCTAAAACAATCATAACATTCTAGTATTTAATGATTTGTGATTATTAACATTTTATGTCTTATGTTATCCTGATTTTTTACCAAATACCCTTTCTTATTTTTTTTTGCTTCTGCAATAGACAATGTCTAAAAACAAGGAAATTGGTCCTCCGTACCCAAAGTTTGATAAAATGCTTGTAGAAAGATCAGATGAACATTATGATTTTAATTTCAGAAGTTCAACCAGTTTTCAAGATGGTCAACAGTACGAATTTATAGATTATGCTATATATCACAAAAGGATTAGGCTTTAATACTAAAATAAGATTTGATGTGGAAAATCATGAAGTGTATGTTGAAGTTAATCCAAATTTTGAACATGTTTATTATAAAGATTTGTAATAAAAATTCTTCCATGCGCGTGTAAAGAGAATATGAATGGGAGATTTTTTTTTTTTTTTTTTGGAGAAAAAAAGCGTCAATAAAAACTCTTACAACATAAGTTTACGTTTTTCTATGGTATTACCAGATGTATTATCAGACGAAATGTACGTATATATCATGTGATAAGATTCCATTTTTAACCCTAAAAAAAGCTATTCATCGTAGCCATTACCTTATGAATTATAATAATTACGGGAAAAGAATAAATAATTTGTGGAAATAAATAAAATAGTTCGCGATAAAAAGATGATTTGAACTGTATGGAGAGAGTTCACGTGTAAGGAAATAAAAAAAAAAGAAAGGACCAGAAAATGTAATTTGAATGGAACACAGAAAAGGATGTCGCATGACAGAAGCACATTTTGGCAACAAATAAAAAAAAATTGGTAAGTGATATTGACTTTTCAGAACGTGAAAACCCTTTAATGTCTTATCGGAACCCTGAGGAACCGCATTTCGGGTAAGACCAGCGGTAACTGACTGGGAAAATTCAAGAAAAGAGGGAAAGAGAAAATGATCGTTGGCTGCTTGTTGATGCTACACAAACAAGACACAAACGGTATTGAACACCGTCTTTTCAAATTAGTGTACGTTTGGTCAAAAAGGAAACGGCAGTGTCATTGACCGGGTAACCATGCAGAGAGTAGTATTGCTTCTGTTGCGTAGTTAGATATGATGAGTGATGAAGAGAATGGGGTGATTTATGAGGAAGAAGTAAAGAAAAAGAAGAGATAAAGCCAGCTTTTGTATTTTCCTTATCTTTTTTTTTTTTTTGAAAATAAAGACGGTCTATAGTTGCCTTGATAGTGAATTCATGATATTATAGCTCTTATTAACGCGATAGGTACGTGTATTTCTTTTTTTATGAAAGAAGCAGGAGTCTATAACTGACGCTATTGATAGTGATTCAATGATATATTGTAGTCCCTATCAATATTTACGTGATCAATCTTCATTGCTTCCGTTTGCTTTTTTGTTTTTAGAGAGGGAAGGGGGGTTATAAGAGACATCATTGATAAAACAATCCTTAACGTATATGATGATCTCATGATATACTGGAGTTCCCATCGTTTGAAGGTAGTAAATAGAAAAAATGGACAACGATGATATATACAGTAGGAATCCGTGGAATATGTATCAAGCACTTATAAAATCTGTACCATCCGAGATCCGCCTCCAATCATCCATCATCCACCATCCATCATCCATCATCCATCATCCATCATCCATCATCCATCATCCATCATCCATCATCCATCATCCATCATCCATCATCCATCATCCATCATCCATCATCCATCATCCATCATCCATCATCCATCATCCATCATCCATCATCCATCATCCATCATCCATCATCCATCATCCATCATCCATCATCCATCATCCATCATCCATTTCCGTAGACAGCTCAAATATATTTGAACCCCAGTGCGAGCAGGTCTCTAATCACAGCACTGAAAAGAAAAAAAAAATAAATGCGATTCACAAAGAAAAAACCAGTACATATTTATTTGAAAAGGTCACTATTACTATCAAGCTTCATTAGAAATATCTACGATAGATGTTAATTATTTATTTGATAACAAAAAGATAAAAAAAAAGATAGACATGGAGATAATATGGTTTCTTTTTTTTTGTTAAGAGCTAACAAGCTAACAATTACAGGACGTCTAAGCATTAGGTCTAGTGATAGCACCGTACCAATTGGCAAAAGTAGATTGACTGAAACCAGTTGTTTCATGATCAGCACTGAAAGCAGCTATTTTATCAGATACCCATCCTTGACCGTTAGCGCAATTTATAGCCACACCAAATCTTTCGTCTTTCCTGGATCCAATATTCGCTTCAACTACATACCCAGTTTTTGACATACCAAGCTTATCAAGGTTGTTGACGACTTCTTCCATGGCACCATCAGCTACACCAGGGCCATTCACTTTGTCACCAAAGAAAGCACCACAATAGCAGGTACCGGTGGATGCTATGTAAACATTAGATCCACATCGATTTTTAACTAAATTGATCATTTGTTTGACACATGATTTGGCATTTTCTCTATCTGCATTTCCCCATTTTTCCCAAATCTTGATGGTGAAGTCCCAAGCCTTGTCGATCCATTCCGGGCTACAGTTCACAAAGTAAGCTTGCACATCTCCATCTTTTTCATACCCAGATAGACTTGTATTATCCTTGTGGAAACTGGCGCCAGTGTTAGGTTCAAATGATTGGTTCAATAAGTTGTATAGTTCCAGTTCTTTTCCTGTCCAGTGAGTAGTGTCAGTTTGATTCGCTTGTAACGGAGCAGCATAAGCATAGCCTACGTACGCCAATAATAAGACTGTCTTTTTAAACAACATCGTTGACTATGACTCCAGAGAAGTAATGGATGTAAAAATAATAGAGAAAAACAAAACAAGAGGAAATTGACAGGTCTATTTATTTGGATGAAGAAAATAGACATCTTAGTATATAAATTGTTGCATCTCAAAAAAAAAAAAAAAAACGGAGGAAACTTCTGTCTTTTCGATATATATTATATATATTTTACACAGAATATTCTGAAATGGGCTTCAATATTCCAAAATAGGAAGATGAAGTCTGTCTAGTTTTCTAAAAAATAAAGTGTGCATACTCTTAAAAATATTGATCAAAATCTTCTTTTTCCTCTTTTTTAGACATTTGAAATCTTAAAAAAAAGATCTCAGATTAAGTTTCAATGCAAGTCTAAATGGCTCTTGAAGGCAGCATAATAAAATAGAAGCACATTGATCGGATATGTGGTAACAAATTACACTCCGAATCAGGCACTACTCCTGTAACTGAGTAGACGCTTTCAATGTCGGATCGTTACATCAAAGGAGATTGTCATTAAGTTTCCCGTTTCTAAATGTAGCAATTGAAACACATCAAAAATTAAGCTTTTTGAAATCGAAGAGCTGTTGCCTTAAAGTGAAAATAGACGCACGATCACGATAGTTGATTGGTCACAAGACTTTCTCATGGATCTTATTTTATTGTTCACTTTCTCTCTCCCTCTCTTTCCAGCTCATGAAGCCGGAACAAATGCAACGCTTACAAACGGAATTTTAAAGATCAAGAAAGGATTCAAAAGCTGGGAACATGAATTCTTCAAAAACCATCAGCGGAAACTTATAATGAAGGTCATTCAAAAAGAAGAAAAACGTAGCCTTGGTAGACGACATTCTCAGACACTCGATATGGAAGCCAAGTACTTGGTTTCTCTTATCTTTATTTATATTATAGCGAGTCTCTATCATTCAATTATTCAATCATGTGTCTGTTCATCAAATAGGAATATATGTAGATATGGGTAATGGCAGTCGATGAGGTTAATGGTATATCTGTTATGTGCAGTATATGGTTATTAGATTGAGTAAATCATCCTAATATCAAATACACCTAAATAGCAGTGTTTAAACACCTTTGATATGGCTTTTATCATAGACGTCCGACTCTGCATATGTGCCTCCGCTACGCAAAACAAATAGAATCTTGTCTACAAGTAAGACGTTCTCAAAGAAATGTTTTTCAAGACACATGCCCTGAGTACAAAAGCTAAAACCTGCTGGCAAATATACCTCGTGTACAAAGGACCATAGGTGCGCTGCGTATATCCAAGAACAAAGGGAACGTGAGCTGCATAAAGGCAAGATGCGTGCTATAAAGTTGCAAAATGAAAAGATCAGCAAGGAAGTCAAAAGTCTGAAGGATAAGACAGATTATATATATAAAACATTCTTTGTTTATTAAAATAATTGGGAATAAAAACTATTTTGAATGAAGTGATCTATATTATTTCTATTGTTTTAATTGTTGTACTTGAGTCATCTATCTACTGCGAACAAAGTAAGAGCTTCAGCATATTTTCCTCCTTCTCTTTCTTTCTTTGTTTCTTACTTGGATTCGATAATATCGTTTTGCATTTTTTCCACTTTTGCCACTAAAGATTCGATTGATTTTAATAGTACACGAGGCTTGAGTTTGATATGAGTCTCCTGGGTTGTATTTCTTGTTCCATATCCAATTTTGCCTTTTTGGACAGCTGTTTTCGTTCTTTGACACCTTCATCTGAATGATCACTCAAATCCTCCACCGATAAAGTTAATCTTGGTTTCTTGATTGTCGATCGTGTTTGATGCCTTGTTTTTCGATTTGGAGTTGCTGTTGAAGACAAAATACATGTATCCGTGTCTTCATGATTCGATGTTATTGAGGTTTTCCTTTTTGTTTTCTATTTTGTGATGATGCAGGTTTTTTTTTTTTTTTTGCTTCGTTTTAATACCTATTCGATCGGGTATTGAGTCATCGTTGTCATCGATAGCTAGATCTTGGGTAAGTAATCGTTGAAGTCTATGTTGTTGAGTCACAGAATGGTCTTCAATAGATGGTAATCGAATAGCAGTAGCAGTTGTGATAGTTGGAGTATCTACGAGGTTATTCGTCAGAGCCATTATCATTATCATTGGTGAGATCTTTGTATCGTAATATATCTTTGAGTCGGTCAGGTATGTTCAAAGAAGCCAAATAAGGGTTTTCATTTTCCAAGCCAATATGAGAATCAGATAAAGGTACATCTTTGTGATCAGAAGTTGATTCCATTTTATCATTAAGCAAAGAAAAGAAAAGAAAAAAAGAAGGAAAAAAAAAGTTTAAAGCAATGCCGGGCCTACTTATTTTCTATCGACGGTATTTTCACCCCATTTCGGTGGTTGAAAAGAAGAAATGGAAAAATGGTTAGTGTTATGATCAACTAAACATTATTTGTATATGTGCACTTACCAAAAAGAAAAAAAGAAGACCCTCCGGCTCTGAGGCACGGTCGCCACGCATCAACCCATCCAGGATGTGCGCGACGCAAAAGAGATAGTATAAATATCATAAATGGTAAAAAAAAAAAAAAAAAAAAAAAAAAAAAAAAAGAGAGATCCAGACAGCAAGAAAGACAGACAGACAGAAGACGCAAGGACAGACAACCAAAGGCACAACGAGGACACGAACAGCAAGGAAAACGGAGAAACAAGAATCACAAACAAAAATGAGAGTGTTCTGTTGCGTTAACCAGGTGAACGGAAAGAAGAAGATACCAATAAGGAAGCAGCCAAAAAGAAGCAAATAATTTTTTTTGGATTTTTTGGGTTTTGAATTTTTTTTTTTTTTTTTTTTGTGTTTTGTAGAAGAAAGAAAAACAAAAGAAAGGAGAAAATAAAAAAAAATGTCTTTTATATTGTTTTTTTTTTTATCTCCAATCCCATTGAAGCTATCAAATAATGATTATTCTATGCGATCAAGGAAATTCAACTCCGCGAAAAAAGGCTCAAATGCTCATATCTTCTCTTTTCTTTTCTTTTTCTTTTTTTTTTTTTTTGTTGTTTCCATTATATTCTAATTGTATAGTATGTTATTATCTGCTATTGGATAATAGAAGGTTGGTGTCTTTTGGTCGTTTTGTTATTGATGGTAGTGAAGCAACCCTTTTGTTTGGTAAGTTATCCCGACTTTTCTATCGACTCTGCCTGTTTTTTTTTTTTTTTCTAATTTACTGTACACATTTATATGCATAGAGAACGTTTAAATGGGTACAGATCAAGATCAACTGATTGAATATACTATTGGACCAACGTGATGCGTTTATACGAATTGACTCTATATGAAAGCAATACTAAATGTGCAAAAACACCTCTGGTTGAACTTCGAAAACGACGTGAGTACGTTAACTCAATTTATATTCATCTTTTATCAAAACGTTTGGTTTTCTTCTTTTTCCTTTAGAGATTGCAACTAATATTGAAATGACTACTTTTTTGCCGTCCTCTTCATCAACAAATCAAGATATCAGGATGTGAACCAGAAATGGAACAAACTCTCAAGGATGCACCCAATATGCAAGCAAAGTGTATTATTATGGCAGGATTCTTTTTTTTTTTTTTTTGGAACAAACCTTGTAAGAAGTATTATTTTCAAGCTGATGGTGATCTGATGTATTTTTTTTTTATTATAGGATACTTTTTTATACAAATAATCTGTATCTTACCTGAAGTTATGATTGCTAGTTGTTGTCAATATGATATAGAGGAATTCTATGGGTCAAATGATTGTTATTGAATCCAGTTGGAACGCATTGTAGAGGACAAAGTCGATGGCGTCGAAGATGATATTACCTACAGTTTACTGAAGTTGGTGAAAATGTGAGTAGCAAAAAAGATCAATGCCAAGGGTAGTTTACTCATCATTCTGCTCATTGTCTCATATCTGTATCAAAAGTTTATAGGGATCGTATTACGATGCTTCTACTTGGATTCCGTACATCTTGTTTCTCTCCTGGTGTTGACGAACACGTATTCAATGTATTCTGCATCAAGGCGCTTCCAACAATGGTTATACTTCTTATTTGAGCTCTTGCTGGTCTTATCACATTCTCTTCTCTGCCTGCATCTACGACTATCAACAACAACGACAATCGAATACAATTTCTTGGAATGCACAAGATACATCACAGGTTGGAGGAGTACTTCGATTTATTTTATCTTTATATATGTATAGTATTTTACTCATGGTTACTAGTATATTATTTCAATAAAATGCTGTATAGCAAACTTTTTTATTATTCAATCATTCAATCTAACCCATCCATATGTCTATTTATCTGTTATATCCAGTATATAGTATCAGGCAACGGTATGTTACTCGATTTGAAAAAAAAATCAAAGTATATGTATTTTATCTATTTAGATAATGAGCTTTTTTACAATGATACTGGCATTCACCAGTGGACCATGCTGTTTAGCTGATGGACTCCCGCATGAATGTTTATGCCTGACCAGGAATTGAATAAATTCACCCAAAATGGTGAAGTCTTTTATTTTTTTTCTTTTCTTTTCTTTTTCTCTTCCATTGACTTTTTTTTTATGGTTTTATTATATACATTAGTGTAGTCGTTAGATTACATACTTTTTTTTATTCAATAAAGGTTTTATTTTATTACAACTATTTTTATTACATATAAATGGGATCATTTCCATCTACAAGATGTATTATATATGTATGAATCATTCTTTTTATTTTTTATTACACTCTGATACGACATATGTTGTTATTTATGTAGATATCACTATAGCAAAGAAAAGGAAAATATAAAGAAAAACAAAGAGTAGAAGAAAAAAACGTTTTTAGAAAAAGGAGTATCACTATTTATTTCACAAGTAGTATGGCTTGGTGACGAAGTCATTGGTTTGTCGTAGTAACTAATCTACAATAAAAACTTATATCGAAGTGAAGAATATTGGATTCGTACCGTTTCTCTTATCTATAAAAAAAAAAGTAAAATAAAAAGGAACGCATTCACATATATATAAAAAAAAGGGTACATTCGAAGATGGAATCAATTGCATTGACATGTAATGAAGTGATTTCAATAAAAGTAAAGTCTTTATTAAATAAAAGTTTAACTACTAAAGACTAATAAACACTACTAAAATGATATACTAACACTAAAGTCAATACAAAAAAAAAAAAAAAAAAAAAGAAAAGAAAAGAGAAGAAAAAGAGTGCAAGAAAAAAAAAAAGGAAGGGTCACCGAAGCCGCCAATTTAGCCGTCGACAGAAAATAAGTACGTCCAGCAATGCCACTTTTCGCTCTTTTAATTTTAACTTTTTATGCTTGAGAACGCTGATCAAGGCCACTATTTTTAAAATTTAGACATGATTACCATTCATCAGTTGATTTACTTTCGAAAAAAAAAAGAAGAATTCCCATAAAACAGTTAGATATTTATTATTATATATTATAAAACAAAACAAAAGACAAAAAAAAAATAAATAAAAAAAGACGGTACAACTATCGTTGTGATAGATCTCCAGATTCATCTAAGACACGGGAACAGGACATCCGTACAATATCTTCCAAATACTTGATCCTTTTCTTATATTCCTGTTCTTTTGCTAATAAACTTTTTTTCTCTGATTCCAACATGGCATTATTCAATACCAACTGTGAATTTTCAGCTTGAAACTGTTGAATTTGATGTTCTAAATTCTCAATATGCATCAATTTTTTCAATCTTGATTTTCTGGCAGCAGTTGTATTCTAATATTAAAAAAAAAAGTTAAATAAACTCATTATTCTTCACATCAAATGATGATATATATGTATTACTTTGCGTCTTTTTAAGGTATCTTCATCCAAGGTACCATCCTCCGAAGGTTCTGGTTCAGGTAACTTTCGTATTCCTCTTGGTTTCGGTAAAGGTTTTGAAGGAAGAACAGGTGGCATAGGTTGTTTTGGATGTAACGCACTAGGAGGTCGATCTTGTCCACCACCCCAAGAGATATTAAAAGCTGAATTGTCTTCAGAAGGAGATGTAGTAGTAGTAGTAGATATATGACTTTCGTTACTTGTAATATTGTGAGTACCAATGGTGGCAGTAGAATAGTTTGAAGTAGGAATAAAAGATGAATGAGAGGACGTGGTTGGAGTGGTTGAAGTAGAAGGTAGTGTTGCAGAACTAGTCATGGGTGTAGATAGTAAACTAGTAGAAATAGGTGAAGACTTTGTATTTTCTGGCATACTTAAAGTATCGACATTATTCCAAAGAGGTAACGAGGCTGTAGTACCTGAATAAAGTGAAAGATCTGAAGACGAAGAGAGTGGTGAATCTATTTCTTCATTTCGTTCACTTTGATCTTGATGAAGTGGTGGAAAAAATTTTTTTGCTGGGGATTTGTCTGCATTCATATTGTGTTTTCTTATATATATATATATTTATGTACAGTGAATATGTGTGTATAAAAGTACCAGTATGGAGATAAAGGTCGTTATGCGTATAAAGTTGTTACATTTATCAGATAAAAATGTTTTTCCTTTATAAAAGTGCCAGTTACAAAAAAAGAGAAAAGGAAAAACAATCGAGTAAGGGTATTGATTTGTCTTGGCCGACCCTATGTCTTCACCACCAAATTCCTATTGGTTGAAAAAATAACAGGGTCATTTTTTTTTACTTTTTTAAAAATTTACTTATTTAAACGTTGGGTATTTCTTTTTTTTTTCCGTGATGATCATTCATTTTGTATATTATTCTAGCAATTATTTCAACTCATTATTTGATAAGAATTATCATCTTAATAGTAACTATTGATCTTCTATAATATCCATATGAATGGTAAATTGTTACCAATGATGGGGATCACTATATGATTCAATGATGAATTTGAATGACCGTTCGAACAAAGTTGAAACACAGCAAAAAAAAAAGTGCCAAAAGGTTCCATCGAATTTGTCCCCTCTCTCTCTCTCTTCAACGGAAAAAGGTCTTTGTTACCTTTACACCTCGTTTTATTCATATTGTTTTCACAAGTATCTTTTGGTTGACCATGGATTCTTCAATGGATATTGATGGACCTGAATTTATCCTGGAGGTGAATGAAGCCATTGCTGCCGTTCGATTAAGGAAAACTGGGGATATGAAGGATACTTTTTCTCAACAACCTACTACTTCTAGTAAGACTTAACAAAACAAGATAGATTCTATCTTATTCCTAATCTTTTTTTTTATTTTATTTTTATTATTATTAGCGTGTTTCCAGAGGGTAGCTGTCATTGATACCAACTTTTTAATATCCAATCTGAGTTATCTTCAACATTTATTGACAGAAGCAGAAAAACATCCAGATGTTCTATTGGCGATTATTCCTTGGACTGTTGTATTGGAATTGGATGGATTAAAATCACAACAACGTGAAGGTGGCATGACTCAATTAGAAGAACGTGCTCGAAGGGCTATTCGATTCTTGGAAGCTACTTTACAACGCAAGTCATCCGGTCTTCGTGGTCAAAGAAGAGATGAAGTATATGATCGAAATACAGCTCAAACAGTAAGTTCTTTCCCTTATTTTATTTTATTTATTTAAATAAATTCATCTTTTTTTTCTTTTTCTATGTAGGTAAAAGGAGACGATCATATTCTAGATTGTTGTATGTATTTTCGATACCATATGGAAAAACCGGTGTTATTATTATCGAATGATCGAAATTTATGTGTCAAGGCCATGATTCATCATATAGACGCTTTATCTGCAGAAGACAAAACAAGGATGGTGGATTTACTTAGTATGGTAGCAAAAGGGGAAAAGGTATAAAAAGAAGAAAAAAAAGGAATGACTATTGGGTCTCATATTCTATCTTATCTATAGGGAATGCAAGTAGATACATCTTATAATAGGGAAATATTACCGGAAGATAATCATTCTATTATTGATGAAGATGAAGTGATGATGGATGTAGACGAGTCTCGATTTATTGACAAGGAAACCAATTTTACTTCTGGATCATCTTCAGGGATCAAGTCTTCATCTAATGGAATTCATCACAAGAAGGATCAAGGGACTGGTGGATTACATCTTTCTCGATATGCTACAACTGATACACATCGTACACCAGCTATCATAGAATCACGATCACATTGGCACAATGAATATTATCGTCAAGGCATGGATTTGAAGAAAAAATAATTAAATATACATATCATTATTCTCCTCCTCTTTTAGTCATCTGTATAAAACTATAATACATCATTCATTTTATTATTAGTATTCCCTTTTTCTTATTCATTCATATTATTGATTTCTTTTCTTTGTTATTATTCATTCGTCCATATATTAAAAACAATAAAAAAAGTGTATAGTAAATTAAAAAAAAAAATTTAAATGTATCATAAAGGATGAGGTGATATACTATTCCAAATATTCTGAGCAAGGACAAAATCATCATCTATGGTATCATCTAAAGTAAGAATATCCAAATTAGGAGGATCGCATGATGTCAGATTAATATTTCGTAAACTAAGATCATCATTCAAAGGTATTTCTATTCCCAAGTTTCTATAAAATATCAATTTCATACTAATAATAATAATAATAATAATAATAATAAAAATAAATAAATAAGTAAATATTTTTTTTGCATTCTTTTTTAATTCTACTTTACGCGTCAGTTTCAGCTGTATCATCAAGGTAGTCTTGATGTTCTAATTCTTTTCTTTCTTTTTCCATAGATTCTATATCTTTATTCAATATTTCCCATTCTCGCGTAAGAGCCTGTCTGTCTTTTAATAATTGTGCTTTTTCGTCTTGTAAAGCTGTGGACATTTTAGCACTGGATGTATCTTTAAAATCGTGTTGCATTCTTTCTGTACTAGATGTTAATTCGTATAAAGTCTGTTCTAATTCTTTTTTTTTTTTTTTTTTAAAAAATAATAAATATTTTTTTTTTTTTAGTTTTATTATTATTATTATTATTATTTATGATTATTATTATAATACCTTTTTGTAAAAGTTCCAATTCAATCAATTTTGGGGTATATAATTCTTCTGTTTGCTGTAAACGTTGTTTCCATTCAAATAACTGTTTTTGCCAACTTCGACTAGATAAAGTCTCAGAGATATCTTTGGCATTGGATTCTAATTGATCAAGTCGAAGCATATATATGGTTTGATATTAAGTTGAGGATATTAAGAGAATAATTGAGTGAGAAGAAAAAAAAGAGGGAAAATTGGAAGATTTTCAAATTCCACACTTTGGTAAAAAGTAAATGTATTTGAGTGGCTGAAAAAAAAAATGCTTCTCCTGCCTGAATTTTTTTTTTTTTCTCTCTCTCTCTTTTTGAACAATAGATTTAGATTGAAGAGGATGTCAACAGAACAAGAACAAATTCAAATACGTTTGATTACTAAACAAAAACAATATGCTGTGAAGGACGCACCTATTTTAGTACCTGCTGCTTTTAAACGTTATGGTTTATCCGAGATTGTTAATAGTTTACTTGATCTAGGTAATATAACTAATAACTTATTGAATAAAAAAAAAAAACTCTATATTTATTATTAACATATTTTTTTTTTATAGATAAACCTATTCCTTTTGAATTTTTGATCGATGGTGAAATATTAAGAACAAGTATTGCTGAGTATCTCACAGAACAACAATTATCAACCGTAAGTATATATATATAGAGAGAGAGTAACCATGGTTAATTTACTTATTACCATATCAATGATAGGAAAATGTGATTACCATTGAATATATTGAATCTATGCTTCCTCCTACACCTTTGACTTCATATCAACATGACGACTGGATTTCTTCTGTTCAAGGATATGATAGGTAAAAATAAAAAAAAAGAAAGATTAAAGTGGTAATATGTTAATATTATTATTATTATTATCTATTTTTTTTCAAAGCTTATTTTTGACTGGGTCATATGATAATATGGTACGATTATGGAATACCTCTGGAGAATGTACTCATACTTTGATAGGACATACTGAAGCTGTCAAATCTGTTGCCTTTGGATCTGTCACAGGTAATATTATTAAAAAAAGGGTTTACATTACGTTGCATGATGATTGATCATCATTACTCTCTCTTTTTCTCTCTCTCTCTCTCTTTCTTTTTTTTTTTTTTTTTAGCATCATCAACTACTCTCTTTTCAGCAGGATTGGATCATATTGCTTTGGCATGGCAAATAAATGAAGATGGTGATGAAGAAGTGTTATATGAATGTCGTGGTCATCAAGCTGCAATTGAATCTTTAGCTGTCCATCCTCAAAAATCATATGTAAGAATAATTAGGAATTGATAGATGGATTGATTCTGATGACTGTGATATAATTTTTTTTTTTTTGATGAATCTAGTTTGCTACCGCGTCTGCAGATGCAACTATTAGAGTATGGTCCACTGAAAAACCTATGGAAGATGAAGTTGTTTCTCAAGAAACACCAGCAAAAAAGAAAAAGCGAACAGAAACAAAAAATCGACTGACCAAGGTAAATGAATGGATGAAGATTTTTATTTTTTACGTTTATTTTGAACAATCGCTTATATTCCTTTTTTTTTTATTAGGCCCAATCTGTGACATTGAGTGGTCATGTAGGTCCTGTGAATGCTATTGATTACGATACTGCGGATGGAAATGTGATTTATTCTGGTGGTTGGGATCATTCAATTCGATCATGGGATGTAGAACAACAAGTGAATACAATGACAAAGGTAAATCATATATATATATATATCTGAATAAATATGCTAACAAATGTACCTTTTTTTTTTCTGTAGAATTGTGAAAAAGTGGTTCTTGATGTAGATTATTCAAATGAAGCTCGTCTGATTGCAACTGGTCATAGTGATAATATCATTCGTTTATGGGATCCTCGATCTGAAGGTAAAAAGACAAATGAAAAAATTAAAAAGAAGAAGATATTCAATTTTTTTTTCATGATAGATGGTGTCAATGTGAAACTTGCTTTACGAGGTCATAAAGGTTGGGTATCATCTGTCTCATGGGCTCCTCGTTCTCAATATAGTTTATGCTCTGGTTCATATGATGGATCCATTCGTATTTGGGATATTAGAAGCAAAGGTGCTGTTTATACATTAGATGAACCTGATCATCCCAAGGTACTTGCTGTGGATTGGTGTGGTGATCGTATTATTAGTGGTGGTGAAGACAAGAAATTAGGTTTATTCCAAGCAAAGGCTCATTGATAGAATAGAAATAGAATTGCATCGAAATAAAAAAAAAAAATCATTATTATTTTATTATTATTATTATTATTTGGATATTAGTCTATGAGATCGAATTCTTTCATTTCTTCATCTGCTTTCATAAACAATTTAGCGATTCCTTTTTCCTTGTTATTAAATTCATGAATCTGATCGGTTTCCTTGATACAAGATGTATCAAAATCCCAATCCTCTCCTTGTGCATAATGAGTAAACTTCATATATCGATCTGGCCATTTGTTTTTATCTCGCAAAAGACCTCCATTCCACCAATAAGGCTTTTGATATGCATCCAGATGTAAGATATTACCGCAAACACGAGATGGATCGCCACCATCTCCTAATCCTCCAAGAACACCTCCATGCGATTTGACAAATGCGTATGGTGTTTGTACCATTTCATAACCAATCCAGAATGTCTACAACAGGCCAAAAAAAGAAAAAAAAAAGAAAAACGTCATTTATATATATATATGTATAGGATAGATTTATCTATCTTTTTTTTTTTTTTTTTGATCATTTTACCTCCTTGTCACCATGTGCATGATCATAAGAAATTTGTCGTTCTCGTTTGGCATTCATTTTACACGTAGCCAAAAGTCCCAATAAGGATCGCTTTTTGTCAATGACCACAACGCCAGATTCTTGTTCATGAGCAGATAAATAATTCCACCAACGTAGATGAGGAACAAGGGAGCTCGTGGATGGTAAGAAAGAATCAAGCCAATGGCGACCCACTGTCCAGTCACCAAAAAGAGTGCGATCATAAAAGAATAAAGTACCCGTTGCTTTATAACCTGGATCATCAAACAGAGTGGTGGGTGATTGGAAGAAATAAACATCGGCATCCATCAAGATCACTTGTTGAAAACTACTGGCCAGTGCGGCAAAAGGTTTCAAGGCCCAGCCAACAAAATCAGTCCCTTCTTCATTGATCCTATCTGCAATGTTATACACCGATACATCCTTGAAGAGTTCAGTCAAAGTAGCACGTTTGGCCGGTGACAGATCATCATCATCAATGGCAAAGATTTCAATAGGGAGATCACATTGAAGAATAGTACGAATAGCTTGAATGGTTCTGATGGCAAAATGGAATTGTGAATCACCAACACACATCACAATGCCTCGATCACTTGCAGTAGTAGTGTTATTTTTTACAGAGTTGATAGCAAATACATTTTCCCAATAAGGATGAATCCATGGATAAAGTTGTTTTTCTAACGATATAAAAAGATCCCATGATGCTTTATATTTCTCATCAGAGAGTACATCTGTTTGTGCTGCCAGCAGGGTATCGAAATATTGATAGAGAGATTTATATACTCTCTGTTGACTGGTGATTTGTCTAAAATCTACTTTGATTTCATGTGTTGTTAATAAATCAGCTCGTATGCTTGCTCCAAGACTCATTTGCAGTAATTGCTCATCAGCATCTGGTATAGTAGAAAAATTAAAAGGAATAATGTTTTTTTTTATAGAGTCAGAGAAAAGGAATAAAACAATTTTTTTTTTTTTTGATAAGATAGTACCTGTCCAAGGTGGTAACGGAGAAGGTATAGCAATATCATGTGTTTTTATCAATCTATCAAATTGATCTATTTTCTTTGTATCATTTAAAACTACGAACAATAAGACATTGAAATTTAGCAAGAGAAAAGCCACTCTCTATATATTTTTTCGATTTCTTTATTACTTACTTGGTTCGTGTACAGTTCTTTGTTGATCTATCCATTCTAAATATCGTTGTTTTTCAAGTTCTTTTTGTTCTTTTTGCTGAGCAAGTTCTAACTGTTCCTGTTGAGCTCTTTGTATGTCATCTTGACGACGTTGTTCTTGGGTATGTTGATAAAGAAAGAGAAAAGCGGTAAGAGTAAATAATAAAACTACAATAGGAACTACTCTATTTAAACGTTGGTGATGTTTGAATGGTAACATAATTACATAAAGTGGTTTAAAGGAAGAAAGAAGGGGATGATTATTTTTTTTTTTTTGTTGTACCTTTGAAAAAGTTTTATTGGCTCTGATTTTCAAGTATATTTTAGCCAATCAAAATGAAAGAAATAACGTAAACAGTGGCACTGATCAGCTGATATGTCCTTTTTTTTTTTCTTTTTATCCATTGAAATGGTTATAGATCTATTTTTGTCGAATTGTAGGTAATTTCTATTTTTCCAGGTCGATCTCAAGATGGGATTTTTTTTTTTTTTAAAAGTGAGCAAATGAATGGTGTAAGTGGCAAAATGTCAGAAGTGATACAAAACTCTATTTTTTCAAACTCTCACTCATTCTATTATATATTGGTGAATTTGGTTCATTATTCATATAATTTATTCTCTTTCTTCTAAAATATATTTTTACTTAACGGTGACCTTATGAGTCATTCCAATAATAAAAAGACTTCAAAGAAACAGTGGTCACCTACTTCTCAAACACCTTTATCAACAACTCAACAACAGCAACAACAACATGTTTCAGGAACAGATAAACTAACGGTAATAGTCAACCTTTTTACAGGGTATTCTTTTTTATTTCTAACTATTTCAAGTAATAAAATTAGAAACCGAAAAAACGGGACTATCAATTAGAACATATGGTTCATGCTCAATCTGCTACTATTGATACCATTATGAAAGGTGCAAGTGATGACACTGCACGACTTATTTTATATCTTCAACAACGGTAAAAAGGAAAAAAAAAAAAAGGAAAATAAAGAAAAAAAGGAAGTTTTAATATGAATAAATATATAATATTTTTGTTTTTATTTATTTATTGTTAATAGAATTGAATTGGAAGAAGGATATCAAAATTCATTAGCAAAAATTGTTCATCATTTAGAAGAGAATGAAACAACAAATCCATTATATCAATCAGCAGTAAATACTCATATACAAAAAAATATTACGGATTATATAAATATGGGTCATGCTTTACGTCCTTCACGACATCAATTCATTCAAACTATGAAAATTCAATTACAAACCTTGGTGAAATTAAAAGTAAAATAAATTGAAATCATCAATGATAAAATATACTTAGATTTTGTTGGTATCTAGGAACAACATGATCGATCAAGAAGATCACATAGAAAGAACATGCATCAAGTTAATAGTTTATATTTGGCCACCCGTTTAGATGAATTACCGACCGTAGGACAAAAAAAAAAGAGAAAGTTTGGAATCATTTAAATTGATCTCTCATTTTATATATATATATATATATATATATATATATATATGTGAATTTCATTCATTTGTATAGGCAAGAGATACTTATTTATCAAAATGGGAAGAAATCGAACGTCATCAATCACCTATACCTTATTCTCCTTCACCCTTTACACCAACCACTCCAACACAAACCAATAATAATGTCGTGTCACCCCGAACTCAATTTTTTCCGAAATCCATAGCATTATCCAAATCATCCACTATTAGTAACAATAATCATGATGAAACTTCTTCTTCATCATCATCGTCATCGACAGGACATCGTCTTTCTGGAGATGATGATGTTTCTAGTCTACCTATCAACCAAGCAGTAGCTCAAACCAAACTTGATTCATCTCCTCCTCCACCATCACCACAGAAACGGATTCATCAATTCATGAAATCCTTTCAAATCAATCATGTACCTGATCCTGCTAAACAAAATCTACGTCTAGCTAAACTCAAAGTAGAAATGAATGAAGCTGGTAAGTCATTCTTTTATTCTTTTATTTATTTATTTTTTTTTAAAAAAAAAAAGAGAAAGAGAACTGAAAATCATCTATTTAGATTTAACATATCGTCGTATCATACGGAAATTGGATAACTTGACAAAGAAACAACAAGCTGCCAATGATTATGCCATTAAAGCTCTTCAAACCCAACTTTTGGAAAAATCAAATGTGGTAAAACAAGCCATGAATGAAATCTTGATGGTTGAATTAAATCATGCACAATATGGATCAGAAACCATTCAAGCTATGCAACAATCCATCACATCATTTCAACCTCAACTAGATCAACATGTTTTTGATCATCTCTTATCCAAAGACAAATATCCTATGCCATCCCCTATTTATTACATCAATCATCACGTTGGAGAATGCAAAGGTAAATATATATATATATATATATATATATATATATATATATACTATATAAGATTATCTCATCCTCTTTTTGATATAGATTTGATTTTTGGTATAACGTTAATGGAATATACTCAATTACGTGGTCGATCACCTCCTTTGGTTGTTTCACGTTGTATTGAGGCAGTGGAAAGATTAGGTGGATTGGAAAAAGAAGGTATTTATCGTGTATCTGGTAAACAGACTACCATTGAACGAATGAAACAAGAATTTGAACGAGATGAAGAAGCCATGACGTTTGGTGATAATGAGGAAGTCTTTTGCATTGCATCAGTATTGAAAATATTTCTTCGTGAACTTGCTTCCCCTTTATTTCCTTTTGCGTTACCTGATCGTATCACTTATTCCCGTAAGTTCATTATATACATATATATATATATATACATATATATGCTTTTTGTCATCTTTTCTTTACTTTACGGATTGATTTCTCTCTTTTTTTTTTTTTTTTTTTTTTTTTTTTTTTTTTTTTGGCCAATTTAAGAAATCCCTGATAAGGAACTTCGTTTGATGAATTTGCTAACAAGAATCCTCAAACTACCTGGACCTAATTATGATACTTTGAAGGCTCTTGTAGAACACTTATCAAAGTAAGTTTTCTTTTCTTTTTTTTTTTCTTTTTTTTTTATTGTTATTTCGTTATTTCCTTTCCCTTATGACTTGTGATTCTCATGATGATGATTTACTATTGGTGATGTAGGCTTGAACCTTTGGTAGAAAAGAACAAAATGACCATCTCCAATCTCTCATTGATATTTACGCCAGCCATCTTTCAAGATCATAATCAAGTTCAAGTATCACCAAACGAATGGAAAAAGGACTGTGTTTTGGAAGACTTGCTAGTCAATGGGGAAACATTGTTTGCCGATAAGGATTTACGTGGAGCAAGTGCGATTACTGGCGTCATTGATTATGGATTTGAAAAGTTAAGTTCAGATGATGATCCAACCAACGATACCATCATTATGCTCGATGATGCGGAAGGCTTAGATATGCTGGGTGAAAAGGATGAATATCATTTACCAACCCCTTATAGTCCGCCTGCTTATACAACTTACATGCAACAACAACAAGGAGAAAATGATATCATTATTTCATCAGAGAAATCAACCACAAAAGATATCACCGTACCTCCTATGTCATCGTCCTTACCGTATACTACCAACGATCAAACTAATTCATCCCCTTCCACTCCATTACCATCAAATGCTAGCGATATAGTTCCTGAATTATCGACTAGTACTCTTCTTTCTGGAAAAGAAAAACGGAACAGTAAATTCAGGGCAGTATCACAAGATCGAGGATTGACGGTGGATACAAATCATACATCCATCAAGAAATCATCCAATGTACTTATCATTGAAGGATCAAATCTAGTTGCCGAGCCTGATGATTCTCTTCCCATCACCACCTCTGCGGCTACTAATGCTGCCACTGCTGTTGTTGTATCCACAGATAATGCTTTCCTTAGCCGACCTCCAATGACTCCATCCATACAAAGCGCCACCGTCCCTTCTCATGATTGGTTAAACTACGATCCTGAACCCTCTCACAAAATGACCGATACTACCGCTGCATTACGTCGATCTGCCACCACCGGTCGTACTCCATTATCTAAACGTAATAAGCAAAATACTGTTCCACGTCTACCTACCAAACCATCCACCTCATCTACTACTCATCAACAACATTCCTTGTAAATTCTAGTATCTATATATTCCCTATTAGCAAAAAAAAAAAAGTAGCTTGTACTTTTCTTAAAACTATTATATCTTTATATTATACATTGTTTCTATATTATATTATTAAACAGAACTTGCTTCCTTTTTTTTTTTTTTTTTTTTTTTTTTTTTTGGGAAGAAAGATGACTCTTTATCAAATGCTGCCTTCACATCTATTCCATTTTGATGATCAGAGGTCATATGGAAGATACATATCTGATTATAGTTTATTTAAAACAAGATTAATTGAAAAAAAGAAAGGAAAATAATAGGTTGGATATTTATACTAAATTTTCATATATGAAGAGAAATAAGATATATAAAAGCTTTATGTTGGTTTCGATAGCTATAATTATGGCGTGAGAGTAATATGATTTTTTTTTTCTTTACATTCCCCAGCCAGTGAAAAGATGGCCTCCATCTTTACCATGTACCCGCCTTCCTCGCTTTCTTGACAAAAGGTCGCAATGAACATGAATAGTATTCCGAGCTTGTTTCAGTTCTTGTCGAGCAGTTACAAGATTTTTTTTGATTTGATTTCTGATGGCAGTCGAACTTCTATCTTGCTAGTGGCTGATTTGATTTTTTGAAACAGTATTGAAGATTGATTATTTAACCGTCTGGTAGGCATGTCGTAAAAGTGTCACCACGCTTTGTACTATATCGTGAGTCTAGGCTCAGTAATACGGAGTGTATTCTTGCTCTATACTCAATAAGGGAAGTATATAATGTCCAGGGGTCATTTTTCTTCAGCTTGCGAATAACTGTTTTTGTTAGTGTCATTAGTACCACCTAGATCTTTCCTTCACCACGTTCTCAAGTCGCTCAGGTGGTTTCAAATCCATGTATGTATCATAATCAGTGATTGAATCAAGGAGAAAGTCTTCTTCTTTAAGGTCTATATCAAGTGCCTCCCGCCCTAGCTCATCCACAGCGTTTCCTTGTCCATCAATCGTAAATAAATTCTATAGCCATTTTATTGAATAAAAATTTGGATGACTAACCGAAGGGAGGGAAAGAAAGTGTATGTACGTGTTTGTGTTTGATTATTAATGTCGCGTTAAAAAAAAAGAAGAGAATGATTAATATACTGTATCATCATCATCATTAAAAGAGACTTACTATTAAAGCAAGCACAGATAGAAGGAAGTCCAATAAGTATATATATAAAAAAAAAGCAAATGGACCTAAAGGTCCGTCTTTATGCTTGTGAAGTTGTAGTCCAGAAAAAAAAAAAAAAAAAAAAAACTTGTGTTGGAGTGGATGGATATGAAGACCTTGTAGCTTGTAAATTGGTTTAAAAATTGATATTATAAAAAAAAAAAATAACAAAAAAAATATTTATTAGACTTATCTAGCGGAAAGAAATAAAATATAATTTGTTGTTGATAGTTATAGGTATAAAGTTTTGATTAGGAGGAGGGTGATAATGGTAAAGAAAAAGGATAATTGAAGAAAAAAGAGTCTTATCGATGATTTTGAACACCACTCCTTGGTAGTTTCAGCACGCAGCATTCTACAATTTTGTTTCAAGTGACCAACTTTTCCACAATGAAAGCACGCACGTTTCTCATTGTAGGAAGAGGTGGGCATAGGACGGTTTCTAACATACTTGCGTCTAAGAGTTTTTTTGTATTGACTATTCTTTGCCGCCATATAATTCAGGAAGTCCAAGTCCATTGGTGTTGGTCCAGTTTGCGAAAAGGCACCTTGTGGTAATGATAGTCTTGAATTGATGCTTGCGCGAGCACCATCCTTGGCTAAGGCTAATCGTTGTACATCTTGTAGTGTTGTAGGTTCGTAGACAGAAATAAGGAGATAAATAGATATCAAGGTCTATTTTTTTTTTTTTTTTTTTTTTTTTAAGAGAGGTGACAAAAGGGTTTTTTTTCATAAGAATTGTCGGAGAAAAATAAATAATATGCGTAATTGAATAATATTGATTTGCGGGTACCAAAAAGAGAATATACAAAAAAAGAATAGAAAGAGAAATATGATGAGTAAGTAGTCGTTTTTTTTTTTTTGATACTTACAACCAGACAAAGTCAATAGCCTATGAAAAAGTAGAGGGTTAAAAAAAGAAAGAAAGAAAGAAAAAGGCGGTACAGCTTACGGTCTATTCGTCTAACAAGTTTCTGTTACTTGGATGAGGGGATGGATAATCTTGACCAGGAGGATGAGAGGTATATTCTTCTTCACTATGCTTGTTGGTAAACACAGAGGGCACAAATCCAAGGATAGCAAACAAGGCCAGGGATCGGATACTTCTAGATGCGTTTACATCTCTTTGCCACAATTTATGGCAGGTAGTACAGCCAACCACACTATGCAATTTTGATGTTCGATCTTCTTCGTCTAAATAAATATCCACCGATGGTTCTTGTCCCACAAATCGAGCACACTTTTGAGGTCCAAGCTTCATTCACATCCACGGCAAGTTGTTCGAAAAGATACCCTCTTTTACTCGATCAATAAAGATAATAATAATCTCCCTTAGTTGCTCGTGTCTCCTTTTTATCAATCAACTTCCATTGGTCTGACCTTTTAACTTTGTTTCTTCATCTTATTTGTTGGTGATACCATGATGGCTGTTTTTCACATTTGCCTCACGTTTTCTGCTTCAGAGTGGCGAACTGGATTATGATGCAAACTTAAAAATAGGGCAGCGCAAACTCATTTTGTTATTGTGCAAATTTTATTCGGGTCAACGCAATTTGGTAGGAAAAAACCAGTAATCAACCGCATCATCATCTCCAAGCGCCTTTTCAAAAGATTGGTTCCAGAAAACGCCAGGTACCTGATATAACTTGAGTTGGTTACCACGCACTCATTTAAGCTTTGGATCAGTAGCTTGATATGATTTAATGAGATAGGTTCCTTTGCCAAGTGTTTGTTGCGCGATGTATATTCCATTCCATATGTCTGTGGGATGGATATCTTTGCTACACATGAATTTGCTTTGCTCCCTTCGTATAAAGTTACAAGGTTACCTAGCTTGAAAGGAGCCTTCCATTGTCGTATATCTTCATTGATCTTCACGACCTTTTTTTTTTTTTTTGATTTTTCTGGGATCTCTATATGGCTTCACAGGCGTCTTTATGAATCTGATTCAACGTCACAATTTCTTTCGTACATCCAGTTCATGTTGAAACTCTCGTTGATGCATATCGTTTAGTGATTTTTTTTTTTTTGAAGGGTTTAATTAGGCGTACAATGTTGCAGGCAAATATTGATCCCAAGCTGGTTTTTTTTTTTTGGTTTGTTTTTGTTGATTTCTTTATAATCCTGCCAAATATTGAATTGAGGTGGTTCGATGAGTCCATTAGCTTGTGAATTTCCAACGGATATCGTAAGATGATGGGCAGTGTATTGAAAAAGGGCCTTTTTTTATATTAGATCACTAATAAAGTGGTTTTCCTTTATCCGTGATGATGATGATGATGATGTTGGGAACAATCATGTCGACATATGATTTCTTTGTGGATGAATAGAGTGATTTTTTATTTTTATTTTTTATGACATGCAAAAAAAAAACACTTTATTTTTTTTTAATGTAAGAAAACAGCAGGATAAGTTGCATCACAAAGATGAGGGTTTTGTCCACACCAAAGAGGTTGGATAGGGTCAGCATTGATACCACGATGTACAAGACGATATCGCCAATCAAACATTCTAGGCATGGCATCACCAATATCTCGGGTTTTGCCATCAGCATCTTTTCCTCCTGACCATAGAACTTCAGCAGCAGCGGCAGAACGAGGCCAAAGTCGTATATCCAAAGCAGCAGGATCTGATTGTTCAGACCATAATGCCACTTCTCCACCTAACACAGATTTTGTTTCTTCCTTGGTCAAATTAAAAGTAAGATCGTAACTATAAACACGTTGCCATGATTTGAAAGGACTTGCAAAAAAAAAAAAAAAAAGGTTGTCAGTTAGATGGATAGTACTCATTGAGGAATATATATATATATATATTTACCTGCACCAATCACCACCAGCACCACCCCAATTAGAAGGTGCATAATTGCTAGCAACATCATATTTATCCAATAATTTTTGGACAGCTGCAGGAGCAGCAGGTGGTACTTGTTCATTATAACTCGTATCATTACCAGCCCATCCACCATGACCACAATCCAAATACCAAAAGTTGGAATTGGAAGCAATCACCTTGTAACCTTTCTTGATGGCCAATTGTGCCGGGTTAGTCCATATCTGAAGCACAACATCCTTGGAAATCGGCAAATCATTATTGGTCACAGCATCTTCCCATAAAATAGGATGCTTGCCAGCTTTCGAAATCATGTCCAGTTCCTTGTCCAAAAACTGATGAAGTAAATCATCATGCGTCACATTATTGGATTTCATGTGTTCTTTCAATGACGTATTTTGATCCCAGCATTTGTACACTGGTTCATCCCCTCCACCATGATAATAACTGTCTGGAAACATCTCGGCTATTTCTTTGATCACTTGGCCTACAATTTCGTACGTCTTTGCTTTCACTGGGTTCAATTGTCCAGTTCCTGGTTCTGCTGCTAATCGATTTTCCCATTTATTATCTTTATCCAAGTAATATTTACCAAAGCAGGTTCTAATTAAAGTTTATATAAATAAATGGATTAGTGATTTTTCCTTTTTTTTTTTTTCCTCCTTTCCATTTTCTTACGTAATATCTTTATAGGCCAGAGCCCAAGAACCAGTATGTGCAGGCTAGATAAAGAATAGAATAAATTTGAGTTGAATGACGGATAATATGTAAATGAATGATAACTAAAAAAAAAAAATATGCATCTTATATTCTTGTATTTCTTACCATATCTATTTCAGGGATGACACGAATCCCACGATCACGAGCATATTGGACGATACGTTGTACATCCTTTTTGGTATAGACTAAACGTTGACCTTGGAATCGATAGGCTCCCTTGTTAGCCAAATCGGGTAGACTGTCCAATTTTAAGGGAAAACTATGAGAATCAGTGATATGCCAATGAAAGACATTTAACTTGTTAAATGACATGGCGTTAATGGTTCGAAGAATATCATTGACAGAGTAATAATTTCTTGATGTATCTATAAATAAAGTCATTATAATTTAATTATGTCAATAAAAATGTATCCTATATTTTTTTTCCAACTCCTACTTTACCTAGCATAAGGCCTCGATGAGGATAAGTTGGAGCATCTTGAATATGGATCGGAACCTTTGGGATGACAAGTTGTTGTAAAGATGTCTCTCGTTTAGGTTTTGTAACATCATCATTAAATACATCATATAAATCATTATCTTCATTGGCAATTTGATTATCAACATCTTTGATTTTTGATTGACTTTGATGTTGAATGAGCTGAGAAAACGTTTCTAATCCACGAATGGCACCCCATACCGTCGCCGCTTTTAAATGTGCTGTTGTCTTTAAAGGAATCGTCAACGTATAAGATTCATCCGTTTCCATATCTAATGGTGTATCTAATTGATCTACTTGAATCATAAGTGTCTTTAATTGTTTTGCACTATCCTCGTCTTGTGGTTTCGATGCTTTTTCTCGAAAAGGAGCTTGAACCTATTTAATGAAAGGAGTTTTTTTTTTCTTTAGTTCATGTCTCTCCTTTTTTTTTTCTGAATGATATCTCTATTTACGGGTTTCCAATGTTCTTTCACCAATATAGTTGAATATCGTTGCATAGCTCTAGTTAATTCATGTTGATCAGGTCCAATCATATGAAAATTTGTCTATATATGTATTAAAAAAAAAAAGAGGTAAGGATATATTGTATTATATGGAAAAAAATCACTTACATCCAACTCAAGATCATATTCACCCCAACTCACTGATTGAGGAATGGGCCATAAATTACTTTTATAGTTTTTAGCAGCAATCAATGCTGGAAAGGTAACTAATAAGGCAGCGCTTATCAATGACGCTTTCATCACACTCTTTAAATGATAATATATAGATATGTATAGAAAATGCAGGAAAAAAAAAGAAAAAAAGAAAAAAAAAAGAAGAAAAAGAAAAGAAAAGAAAAAGAAACGTAACAAAAAGAAAAAAGTTTCGGGGGGTACTTAATCATTATACTTTCGTACTACTGTTACCAAAAAAAAAAAAAAAAGAAATAATCCCTTCATCACTCCTTAATTCGGAAATAACTTCACATGGGGGTTTCATTTTGAAGGAGAATGTTTTTTGTTACCCTTATTTTTTTTCATTATGCAGAAAGAAAAAATAATCTTTTCGAGATCGATAGAAATGATGATCATAAAAATAAAATAAAATAAAAAAAAAGACCTCGCTGTATTGTATAGTACGGCCTTTTTTTTTTAATATATATATCAAGGGGTCACAAACTATCCATCGATATTTCAAAAAAGGGTTCATTGTGCTCCATCATCTATAATGTATGATTATCTAATTTCCCGAGAGAAAAATCATTCTTAGTCACGATGCCGCCCACAAATAATCCCAGCCACAAACTATGCTGCCCATCATACCTTAAAAAAAAAAGATGGAAAAACCTGTTGCACATAGTTTTTTTCTACTAACTGTGATCAACACTTTTTCCTGTAAATTGTGAGTAGTAAAAATTTTAAATCATCATATGTATTAAAATACCATAGGTACTCTTTGTTGGTATACCTGATTAGTTTGAACGACATTCATGATTCATTCCTATGATGATTATTATATGGCTCAGGGAAAATTTAGATTAAGAGTAGAATAAATTTCAAAGTCCCCTTGTTTAATACGCGTACTTTTGTTTTTTTTTTTAGTTTTCTTTTTCCTTTCTTTTTCTCTTCCATTGATTTTTTTTATGGTTTTATTATATACATTAATGTAGTCGTTATTTTACACTTTTTTTTTTATTCAATAAAGTTTCTATTTTATTATAACTATTTTTATTACATATCAATAGGATCGATTCCATCTATAAGATGTATTATATATGTATGAATGCATTCTTTTTATTATACGTACGTTACCGGTACGAAATACGCTGATACGACACAAGCTCTTCCAATATTGGTACCACAATCGCTCGTCCCATGATCAAAATTCCGTCCATCAATGATCGATATCTTCTCAATGGTATTGATGTGTCTATGCTGTTCTACGCCTTCCAGGCGGTGGTTGCCAACAACTTTTCTCGAGAACTGTCTGTGGAAAACAACGTTCATCATATCTTGTAAGTGAAAGAAGAGAATACAAAACTTGCCAATTAACTTTTTTTTTTTTTATACTTTAGATCAATGTCGTCTATTTTACTGTTACAAAAGGATCACTTCCACCCGGATCTTCTATCCATCTTTGGCTGGGATTTGTTGAACGCTATTGTGAACGACATGCATAAAAAACTAATTTTTTTTTTTATGTAAATAACCTCCCTTCTCCACCTACTTTGTGAGGATGTCAAACTATTGTTATGTTTTTTATCATCAAATAAAAAGGTTTTAAAAAAATCAAATCTTACTACATTGGTCATTCATTTGGAGCATCACCTAAGGTTTTATCGTCATATATATCAATCGCCTTGATTATTTTATAATCATCAAGTCTTTTACACAAGTTATATGGTGCCTCCAAGTTACAGTACTTCCATGAACTTATCCACTGTGGCTCAAGGAAAAAAAAAGTGGAATGCTCAGGGCATGTCGCTAGCCTCTTATATGACAATAGAAAAAATCAAAGCGATAACTCATACAGAAGTAGGGCAATCCGTAATTGGGCAGATGAATTCATCAAGAATGGGATGATTGGTGAATCAAGTCAGGGTCATCATACAAAAACATGTCAGTATTCTGGGTGATGAAGATGTTCGCAGTGCTTGTATAGAATGGTTGGCAGACAAACGCCCTGTACATCGAGATATCTCTTCGCTCAAGCATTTCATTGATGAAATGGATATCTGTAATAATTTAGGTATGATGTGCAAGAGATGATGATGTCCATGTGACAATGATGTGGGTTAGAAGCTGACTTTTTTTTTTTTGGCTGGCTCCGGGCGTGAAGGCTACTGGACATCAACACAACCTAGTGGAACAACTAGAAGAAGTCATCAATATCTTCAAAGAGCTTCATCCCGGAAGTATTGGATGCTTTCATTTCGATCAATCATTCAATCATCGTGCATACGCCAACAATGCACTTGCTGGTACGTTCATGCTGTTACGAAAAAAAAAGGTGAAAGAAATAATGAATTGCTATTACTCACACGCTCTTTTTTTTTTTTTTTTTTTTTTTTTTTTTTGGTATCCTGTATGACATGATTATCTAGTCTCTCGTATGACCATGGGCTTGAAGAAGTACAAACCCAAAAAGGAGAAATACAAGTTCAAGGATGTCACTTGCTTGCATGCTGATGGACGGGTAATCACACAAAAATTCTACGAAACCATCAAAGAAAAAAAAATAGCAATGATGATGTGGTCACAGTTGTCTATTTTAAAGGCATAAAAAAAATCCTTCAAGAACGTGGTCTTTGGAGGGATTACAGCACTGATGGTAGTCATTGGAAACGACATTGTGGCGAAAACCAACAAGTATTCATGGATCCTTTGTCAATCACTTGCTGTGCGACACATTGCCTCGAACAACAGATCGATTTCACGCATCAACAATCAGCTTTGGAAGAGACATGTACAAAGCATCTCATGCGTTTTGATATGTATCCTAAGTTTCGTTGTGAGACAAATTGGATCGAATTTGGAAAACGAAAGTACCATAAAGGATGTAAGTTAATCATAATCATGTCTTTTTTATATTAAAAAACATATTCTTTTTTTTTTATTTTACATAGCAAGAAGAAAAGGTATTTGGATTGTTGGAGGGTATGAACGTGGTAGCAATCCACCTAGAATGTTTTTGATTCCTGTTATTGATCGAAGTAAACTTACATTACATAAGATCATTTGTAAAAATGTCCATCGCGGAACAACGATCATCACTGATCAGTGGAAGGGGTACAATGGTTTGAATGGTAAGTATGTATACCATCATAGTAATATACATTTATTTGTTGTTTTAACCATGATCTCTTTATTTTTTTTTTTTTATTTCAACTAGAAATTGGTTATAACCATCTAACTGTGTGGTTCAAAACATGTGTGTTGTTCAGCATGGGAACAATTATTCGACTGGTATATTGTTTGGTACCAAACTGCTTTGTTGTATGCATATCTTTGGTCCTATGCGTCGTGCATCGATTGGAGGTGTAATTACTTTTCCTCAAGGCCTAACTTGTATGGTCTATCCACGTTTTGAGCTGCTCAAGAGCCCGGATGTATATGTTGAACGTGATCTAACTGTTTCTAATGTAAACAACAGATTTGTATCGTCGACAGTTGCTTCTCGTAAACCTCAAGACGGTGAGGAATGTAAGGTAGTGTACGTCCAAAGAGGTAGAGATAGTGTAGGTGACTTTGTGACAAGAATTTGCAGTACACCCAATTTTCGTATATATCGTTTGTACGGACAAAATCGTTATTATGCTGCTATTCCTAGTTATCCTGGAATGAGTGGTGGTATAGTTGTTAATGCGTTTAATACTTCTGAAGCTCTGGCTATGTTGATTGAGTATAATGAAGTTAAACGTCTAACTTTTTTTTCACCTATTGATGATATTTTATCTCAATAGTTTTCTATCAGTTTATCTATTTATTTTATTATGATTTATGTTTATTTCACTTACTTCGGTAAAAAAAAAAAAATAAATAAAAAAATAAGAAAATAAAAAAAAATTTTGAATCATTCGAAACATTTCAAAGATCCATCCACAGGAGCATATACGAACTCGATTGAAGGCTACTGGACGCATACAAGAAAATTTATGCCTCCATTGAAGAAGGATAACGAAGTTTATGGAAACTATCTTATCGAATTCATGTTTAGAAAAAGAAACAAAGATAGTTTGTTTGATGCTGTTATGAATGCATTGAAAATATAATAAATTTCCATAAAAGTTGATTATGATTTTATTGGCTGTTTTTTTTCTACTACTATTCTCACTAAATTTTTTAAAAGCAAAAGTCGTTTTTTGACCTTTTTTAGGAGGCCTTACACCACTAGACCGTGTACAATTCTATACGGTTGCCATAGCATCTATCATCACTCTCGATCAGTGTGATCTGAGACTTTCGTTTTGAACCCCCGCGAGAATCCACCATAACAACCACGAGCAGCAGTTGATCTTCTCTGTAACACACACCTTTTCATTGCTACCTACCTTCCTTTTTTTTTTTTTTTTTTTTTTTCAGATCTGTCTTCTAATTACGTTCATACCTCGTCCAAGGGAAAAAAAAAAATGTCAAAAAAGAACATTGAGAAAGCTTTTATAAAATATGTAAAGGAGTATCAAGGTAAATGATACTTTCCCATAGAACGTTTTGAATCAGTTTTTATGAACAAGTCTTTTTTTTTTCTTACATATAAAGATATCAACGGAGTTCAACCAGTAATATTCAACGGACCCCCTTCACCTCTCGAGTTTCTTCAAAAGTGTGTTCATCCAAATAGACCAGCCTTGATCAAAGGTAGTATTGATCATTGGCCAGCAAAGACATTATGGACTGATGACTATCTCCGAGACAAGATGAAAGATCAAGAGGTGACAGTAGCTGGTAAAGCAATGATCTTAAAAGGATCAGTTTTAAGTGTACTTAAACTACTTTCCTTTTTTTATTTTTATTTTTATTGTGACCATAGTAACACCCAACGGTCGTGCAGATGCTGTAACGATAAATCCTCGTACAGGGAAAGAGTATTTTGTGATGCCTCATGAAGAACAAATGAAGTTTGATACCTTCCTAAGTCATTTACATCAAGATCAGATAACAACAACAACAACAAAGAAACCTGTTTATTATATATCATTACAGAATGGTAGTCTTCCGTTAGAATACAGCCAACTTGAACAAGATATAGATCCTGAGATTTCCTGGTGTTCTCAAGCTCTAGGAACGAGTCCAGATGCTGTGAATTTTTGGTTTGGAAATGCTGAAAGTGTCACTTCGTTGCATAGTGATCCTTATGAAAATTGTTATGCTGTTATTAGAGGCCAAAAAACTTTTATTTTATTCCCACCCACTGAATACATGTGTCTCCATGGTAATCTAGGAATCCCCCCTTTTTTTTTATTGTGATGATGTTATCAACTGACCTTTTTTTTTCTCCTAATAGAGACCATCTATTCTAGTGCAATATATACTCCTATTGATCCATCCATCACGTCTTTTGAAATCACACCTTTGGATGGGGAAAATCATCAAGTCCCATGGATTCCTGTAGATCCGCTGTCTCCTGATTTAGAAAAATATCCCAGGTTTCGGTATGCACGACCGATCACCATCACTGTTCAAGCAGGGGAAATGTTATACCTTCCATCCCTATGGTTTCATCACGTATTGCAAGATGGCCCTGATGGTGTGATTGCTGTGAATTATTGGTACGATATGAATTATCAACATTCTCTTTTCCCAACAAAAAATCTTTCACGTAGAATTGTATCAGAATTACTAGATGATCAACCATCACTTGATCCTCCTGATGACGAAACTGATTTAGAATAAATAAAAAAAAAACTATTATTACTCAAAAAAAAAGATAATTTGTAATGTATTTTGTTTAGCATTGATGACTTTTAAACATAAGAAGAAGCTGTTTGCAAACATCGTAACTAGCTGCTGATCGTTGTTCATAGTAAACACAAACGTCTTTTTGGATCATCAGTACTCTACTGGATTTCTCCGTTCGCTTGTTCAAATAAAAAAGGTTACAAGCAAATGGATTGTGGCGCACGCGAATCGTTTTTCTGGCACACGCCAACTGGTTTTCTGGGACACGCGAACTGGTTTTCTGGCGCTCGCATGCATCTAGCTGCTTTTCAACGAATATAATGGATTATGCGACAAAATTTGCTCTTTGGATTTTTTGGATGATGATTTCGGATGACAATAAAAAAAAAAAAATTAAATAAAGGTCACTGGATCAGAAGTGACAAATTATGCGATAAGTTTGATTTTTGGATAGAAATCATACAAAATTTTTCTAGACTAGAAGATTATCTCTTCGTTTTAAATAAGTAAACAATGCTTTCTTTTTATCTCTTTAGTATAAACAAAATAAACGGATGTGGACAAACAAGTACTGGTTGGACTGTGCGCAGACCAACGGTGCATTGTCATAATTTGATCAATTTCCTTTTTAATAAGGCTTCTTGACTTCGTAGTTCTGGTTTTTACAAAATTGTTAACTCTTATTTTTCCTTTTTATAATTTTTATTCCCTTTTTTTTTTTTTCTTATTACAATAAAATTGACTCCTGTCACTTCTACCTCAGACTCTTTGGATACTACAATGACTATCAATAGTAAAAAAAAAAAAAAAAAAAAAAAAGAAAAGGCTACAGAAATCGGAACTAGAGACCACTAGAGATCACCCTGGGTAACACGATGGCGTAACATGCATCATCATGCTGTTATACTTAAAAAAGATACCCAAAGAAGTGTTACGGCACCCCCTACCACGCGAAAATAGGAGAAGTAGAAAAGGAGACCTCGTATGACGTGTGCAGTTCGTGGTCCGCCAGAGTTGAATTGGACCCGCAGATGGTAACCCCTTTTACGAAAAATCGCTTACTTTCCTGATATTTTTCGATAAAAAGCCTTCTTGTGAATATGATCAGAAAGACGCAACATTTTGTTTGAAATAAAGCTTAAAACCATGCATTACTTTGTGAGACTGAAGAAGAGCAAGAAAAAGTGAAGCACCACATTACTGGTTTTTTTTTCCGTTAGGGGCAGTGTTTACTCCTTGAGGCAAAAGTGATGTGGTGCATCGGCAAATGTTATAAAAGGCACCCAAATTTTAGCAAAAGAGGGTCATTTTTCCACTCATTCCTCCTCAAATCTGTCATTTATCAAGAAAATATGCGATCTTTCCTCGTTTCAGGCATATTTGTAGCCTTTGGCATGGCTGCTGCTGCTCCCATTGACAATAACCCCATTGAATTGGTTGCCCGCAATTCGCCTCCCCAGGGTGTATCTCCAACGGTACCCAATTGCAGTATCAACAACCAGTACCATAACCAATATAATGCGTGTACCACTCAAAACTGCCAATTAAATAACCCTGTACCGGGAGGTATTCCAATTGGTTGCTTTCTCATGTGCCATTCTTTTGCGTGCGCGACAAGCTAATCATAGCCAGCCGACAATCCCTCTTTTTTTTTTTTTGGTTACACTGTAGTCTTTTCGAAAATTAAAGTCGTATTAGGCAACTGTCAATCTCCGGTTATATTCTTTTTTTTTTTTTTTTTTTTTTTTTTTTTTTTTTTTTTGGTTTTTGTTCAGAAATGAGGTGGGCTTTTCCAGTACAATGTACTTGGGATTCTTTAATTTGGTACCGTCCCGATTGAGGTATTGAGAAAAAATCCTCAGTACCTGGTATTGAATACCGGTATTTAAAGTTTGGGCCAATGAGTGTTTCATTTCTTTCAGTACTTTTTTTTTTCTCTCTCTTCCAAATTGTTTTTATTTCTTTTTTTTTATTTCTGTCTTCTTTTTTTCCACTACCATTGTTTTTATTATGAGCTAAACCAACAACATTACTGATTCTACTACTTTTCTTGTATGCTTATGACCATTTGGACATGTATGAAGGTAGCATCTCGAGTCTTGACATTGACCCTTTGGCTAGCATCGACAACAGAGAGTCAATGAATGATAAACACCACCCAATTAGCAACTACGGAGCGTCCAAGTAAGCGTCAAAAGCAGAGTAATGTATGGACATACTACATGGCAACTGATGATAGCGAAGGGGCTCAAATGTTCATTTGTGCTTGGAAAGCAATAGGTAATTGCAATAGGCTAACTGTACTATAGAACCGTTTACTAACTATTATATTTTACCTTTTCTTAGAGACCTCAAAGAATCGTCATGACATGGGACTATGACAACTATTTGTAGATCTTCTTTCTATTTATTTCTATTCATACAATGACTGATCTTATTACCATACCTCACAACCTTGTACCTGGGAAAGACCTGACGAGCAAATACATATTAAAAAACGAATACATCTGCCACTTGCGCGTCAATAGACAGTGTACGGTGAAGTGTCTTAATGGATCTACATCAGGACAATGAAAACATCTGAAAGCTAAACACCCAAAATGTTTACAATGAATTGAAGAAACAAACTAATAAAGCGCAACGGAATATTGAGGAACTCTTCCAAAGGTAATTGAGATAGGTCGTAGAGGGATATCTTGTTGATGTATTAACTCTTTTTTTTTCAGGCAAGTCGTACTTGATATCGGTTGGTTCAACGTTCTATTGGCTGAATGGATGGCTAGTGATGATCAACCCTTTACTTGTGGAATTCCCTAATATAAATACTTAAAAAAAAAAAGAACAATCATAACTTGAAAATAATGAATATTGTGAAATTAATGCAAATGGCTTCTGTCCAACAACAATGTCTTAACATCCCGTTAAGTCAAGTCGAAAACCTCGAACTGGAATTTATCAAGGTATTTCCTCAATTTTTGGACCTTCATTCCAAAAATCAAGATAATAAGCAAACACTGGAAATGGTTTTATACAATCATGTTATGCCTGTGGCTCTTGAATTAATCCATGCAAAATTTGAAAAACCAACCACAAAAACTAAAGCTCAAGCGTACATTGAAGCAAGAAGCAGGTACCTTAAAGAAAGAATGAAGAACCTTAGGTGGATCACATGAAACCAACAAAGTAATCATGCAAAAAGTCAAGAAAAATGACGCCTGGACTTTATATGTGTGTCTTTTGGCCGATGAGGGACCAAGTTTTTCTTTAAGAAGTTGGCTAACATTATGAATATCACTATCCAATTTGCTCTCGCTGCTCTCTGTTGTCAATCCACCAACGACGTCACTGATAACGAAGGTGCTCCAACTTGTTTGAAGAAGGTATGAAAAAGAAAAATACTTAATACTATATAACCATCATAAATATTATTGTCTACTCGACTTTAACCAATTTTGTCTTATCCTACTGTAGTTGCGAAGAAGTTTGAAGTCAATCAGGATGTCACCACAAAACATGGATCATCTACGGGACGGATGCGCCAATGTCAAGAAGATCAAGCCTGTACTGGGTGTAGTTACCAGATGGAACTCCACCTACTTTATGATTGATGGTAAAAAAAAAAAAAAAAAAAAGTTATGAACTGCTCAGATTAGGTGTTGCCATTGTCGGCAAAATGTCATGACCAGTAGTTTGATGTATGATTATTGTATTTAAAATAGTGTGGTTGAATTCCTGGAAGAATATGCTGATTGGTTTGGTGAAACATAACTCATCTTATTGAACTGCACATAGAAACTAGTGATGATTATCCAATCTATCGAAGTCCATATGGAAATTTATCATTCAAAGAAAAAGAGACAAGGTGTACCGTAGAAAAAAAAAATTTAAAGAGGGTCAGTTAAGACAAAATTGTTTTCGTCTCCATATATACTTTTTCAAAGTTTTGATCCTTAGAACGGGTCTTTTATGTCCATCAAATAAATTATCAAATGAAAAATCAAATAACTTCGCCTTGTCTTTATATTTTATTCGTTTTGAAATTCAGATTTTTTTTTTCACTTTTTCTCTGAAGCCTATTGTTTCCGCTTTTTCTTCCCTTTCTTTTTTTCTTAGCTACATACTATATGGACCAGGAAAAAATCATTCGAGGAACAGGTAATGTCCAAAAAAGAAAAAAAAACTATTACTCAGGATCGGACTAACTAATGACTAGGACTGAACCTTACTTGGTTTTCAAAGCTGTCAACGATGCCAAATATGAATTCTTTATCAAATGGTTAGAACGATCAAACTTTCCTCCCACCAAAATGACACTTGCCACATTCAAAAGTAAGTTCTATTACATAACAATACTGATTTCCTTTCTCTTTTTATATATATACGTATTGATCTGATCTTTTAATCTTATAATAAATAGACACTGGTCGAGGTATGATGGCGACTTCGGATATTGCAGCTGGAGAAGTGATTGTACGTGTACCAAAATCATTCTTGATATCTAATGATGCATTATACAAAATCTATGGTCCTCATTCTTTAAGTACTCACCAACTTCTTGCCTTACATTTGGTGTTATTATTACAAGATTCGAATTGCTGGTGGAAACCTTATTTGGATCTTCTTCCTAGTCATTTCAATACCTTACCTGTCACTTTCCCACCTACTCTTTCTAGTCACTTACCTGATGGTCTGAAAAGTAAGTAAAGAACGGGATGTTTTGGACAAAAAAAGTCTGAACATATCATCATCTTTTTTTTTTATAGATGAAGTAGAACTTCAAAGACAAAAGATCAAATCTGACTATTTGGCAGCTGTCCAATTTCTCAAGGTAAAACCAACCTTTTTTTTTTTTAAAAAAAAAAGTTACAAAGGGATCAAAGAGTACCATGTTAATGATGATTATGAAACAATAGACAAAAAAGACATTGATGGAACCATCATCACTATCCTCCAAACAATATGAATGGGCCTGGTTATGTGGTAAGTTGCAAAAAAAAAAAAAAAAAAAAAAGACGTAACAAAATCAAATAACTTACAAAGATGCCTTAGTGAATACACGTTGTATACATGTGACAACAAGCGACAATACAGCCAAAGGAGGGAATATAGCCATGGCACCACTTTTGGATTTTCTCAATCATACATCAGAAGCAAGGGTAAAAAAAAAAATTAAATTCATATAGGATGACGTTATTTTGACAACTTTTTTATTATAGATTGAAAGTGGATTTAACCCTCAAACTCAAAGTTTTGAAATTAAAACATTGATACCCTATCGAAAAGGTGAACAGGTAATATAATAAATTAAAAATAAAAATAAAATATATTCATTCTATTATTATTGATAATAGGTCTTCATCAATTATGGTCCTCATGATAATCAAGCCATCTTTAGGGAATATGGTTTTGTGTTACCACAGAATGAATACAATTTTGTGTCTTTGGATAAAGAAGTATGGTCTTTATTTGAAGATATTGAACCATCAGAAAAAGCAAGATCAACCAAAAGATGGATATTGAAAAATTCTGGGTAAATCAACTTTAATTTTTTTTAGATATATTTGACTCATTGATTCTTATTATATATGAACATTTTATGATAGATATGAAGGGTAATGTATCATTCTTCAAAATAGAAAAAAAAAAGTATTTGTTTTATTGATCTTACCACTTTTTTTTATTATTATTAGGGATTATACGGTGAAAACAGGGGATATCTCATTTAGATTATTATGCGCATTACGATTATTGGCTATCAAAGGAAGTGAAGGTGGAACTTTTCAAAGATCAGTGATGGCATGGCAAGATGTGATCATGGGGCAATCCGATCAAATAGATGACACCAACGAAAGAACGATGTATCACATGTTGAAATCTATTTGTACAAATGCACTCGCTCATTCTGAAAACAAACGAAGTGGTCTCAATGTAAGATATTTGATTTCATTGATGATGATGATTAACGCTTTATTATTATTATTATTACTATTATTATTATGATATATAGAACTTGGCTAAATCTAGTATACATCATCCTTTTGCTCTTCTCTTCCTTCGACAAATATGGAATGAATCATGCGACATCTTACAAGATACATTACATGACATAGACACTAGACTAACTACTTTATGAAATACAATGAATAAAGTCACCTGTATTATATCTTTTTTTTATTGGAATTGTTTGATTTATTATATTTGGAAGACGATGGATTCGTTATAACATAGGTGGTGGATAATCATATCTTCGTCGTCTAAAATAGTATTCAGCTTGTTTTGATCCTCTAGGACGAGATGGTACACAACCCATGAGAAAAAAAAGAAAAAAAAAAGAATGAAAGCAGCGAGAGAAAGAAAATGTGTATATATAGATATATGTGAGGAAATAGTAAGGGCTACTGCCTTTGAAAAGAAAGAAAGGAAAAAAGAAAAATAAGGATCAGTCATGTCATTCAATACCTTTATATACTCTATGGTCTTTATTGGAAGAAAACAAATAAACAATTAAAGGTTATCCGAAAGCGTAAGTTTTATTTATATTATGTAAAAACAATTATAAAAAGTTGTCATGCTATATCTTTGAGATTTCTTTGAAAGGGATCAATCATTTTTCAATGGGATGATCCATAGTGAATCGATATAATGAGTAGATGATTTTTAAAGACAACTTCTCCATGGATATCTATCTTTAGATGGTGGTCTAGGTGGCTTTCGTTTTGAACAACAGCATCCCATTTTATCAATAAGTAAAGATTGAATTTGAAGGATGTTTTTTTTTCTCTTTTTCCTTGAGATCAAAGTATTCTCTTTTATATAAATGTTTTTGACAGCCCAAGATTAGTTGTCAGTATGTTTAAACGTTGACAACTAAATGACAGCTACAATGACAACAAAGAAGAAAAAGTAACAACAAGAGTCCAAAGTACAATACATAATAAAAACAAAGTGAATTTATCATTCTCATTTCGGTTTTTATTATCAAACGATGTAAAACATAAAAAAAAAAGAAGAAGAAGAAATAGATAACAATATGAGAAATGAATAATAAAAAAAAGAGAGAGAGAAAAAGAGAGAGAGAGAGAGAAAGAGAAGGAGAAAAAAAAAGTTAGGATAGAAGGGGAATCAAACAAAAAGAAGAATAATACACTGCAATAAAGACGAAAGGAAGTAAGATGGAATAGAGATGAATAAAAAAAAATGTGTATGTTGTGAATAAAAAAAAAAGGAAGAAGAAATATACATAATAAAGAAGAAGGGGGGGTCCAAGTTGTCTATCTTTATTCCCATCCAAAAGTGTTTTCACCAGAATAACTATATAAAAAAGAATGAGTTATCATTTATCATCTATATAAAATATTTCTTATATTACGTTATGTATAAAAATCCATCATCATCTTTATGTTCATCATAGATCGCACTCATCAAAGCTAAAATAATAATAATAATAATAAATTAGTCAAAAATTCTATAAATAAAATTAATATTATCACTTTACCAGCAGTGGGAGGTAGAATTTCATTCACAAAGATAAATATCGCCTTTTCAGGACTAAGTTTAATACGTTTTCGAATCACATATACGAATTGTCCAACCGTAAGATCAGCAGGTACTAAATATTTCTTCTTATCAATAGTAGGAATATCGCTTTTTTCCACCTTTTCACAAATCACTGGAATACGATCGGGATATTTTTGACGAATACGTTCGGCTTCGGCCTTACGTTTTTCTATATATAATAAAATAATAAGTAAATTATAATATTTCTTCTTTTTTTTTTTTAAAAAAAAAAAGTTCTTTCATACCATAAGGGTGTTCATCCTTAAACTTTGAACGCATGATGTTGTTTTATAGAGTTATTGAACTAAAAAGATAAAAAAAAAGTTAATTAATATCAAAATATATGCATTCTTTCTTTCCATAGAAAAAAAAAAATCGCTTTTTTTATGAAGACTTACGTTTGTTGAAAAATAAAGAAAAAAAAGAAATTAAAAAGAAAAGAAAAAGGTTTGCGTTTTATCAAATAAATAGCGCAGCAAAATGGAATAAGAAAAAGAAAAAGAAAAAGAGGAAGAATAAAAGATTTCAGTTGTCGTAGTAAGGAGAAAAAAAGAGCCCAAAGCACATGTGACCCAAAAAAGAGGGAGAATGACGCATTCATACTTTATTCAATAGAAGACCGCCTGACCTATTTTCATCTGACCAATCAAATTCAACCAAATGCATGAATAAAAATAAAAAAAAAATCCCCCAGCCAAAAAAAAAAAAATATTTTATTTTCTTCTTTTATATTCTATAATGATGATGAATCAGAATTATTAGAATGATACATTGTCATTAAACTAGATAACATTTCATTATACCAAAGATCTTGACAAGATTGTCTTGATTGTTTTTTTACAACTTTAGAAATATGATCCCAATCAAATGTAGTCATATCATCCAATTGTTTTTCCTTGATCACTGCTAGTAACAAATCATGTCTTTCTTTGTCTGTCCATCTTGGTTTTGAAATGCCGCCGTGCCTTGTCGCAGCTACATGACGACGACGACGACGACGACGACCTCGATACGATGATGATGATGATTTTTGAATTTGTTGTTTTTCTTCTTCTTCTTCTTCTTCTTCAATTGTTCTTTGACTTGTATGTGATGATGATGAAGATGAACTTGACATGGATCGAATATCAAAAAAAGATTCACTATCTAAATGAAAAGGATCCAAAGAAGATGGTTGATGATGACTACTATCAGTATGACTGATTGGACTGTTGATCGAACCAGATGATGATGATGATGAATGGACGGATGATGATGTTTTCAAAGGTGGATGATGAAGTCTTAATAAAGCATGAGCGGCTAATAGCAAATCATTTTCTTGTTCCTGATGAGATATAATAGATGATTCTTGATCATCCTCTCTCATTGTCACTTGAAGGATCATGGGAAGTTGGATGTGGCGGGCATTAAAATCAAAATGTCGATTGATAAAATGGGAAGAAGGATTCATGTTAGAGAAACGAATCATCCTTCTAAAAAAAAAATCATCTTTTATAGATGAATACAACTTTTTTTTTCATCATTGTTTTTTTTTGATTGATGTATATGATCATTGTCCTTTTTTTTAAAAAATCCAATCTATTTCAAAGGTGTCATTGTAATGTACTGAATAAGAAAAAAAAAACAACAACAAAAAAGAACAAAGAAAAAAAAATATAATGTTTTATTGTTGTTTATAAAGGGGGGAGGAGGAGAAAAATAAATTCATTGTAAGATGAATAAAAGGGCGAAAATCTACAAAGTATATGTATGGGAGGTGGTGAATCATGTCAAATAATATAAAGGAGGAGGAGGAAAAGGGTATAGTAAAATATAATAATAACAATAATAAAGAAAATAATAAAAAGTGGGGATGTATCAAGTCTATTTCACTAAACGAAGGACATTGAAAGTCAAACAAATCACCATGACTAGAATACCGTAAACAGCCAGTGCCACAGCAGCCACTTTTCCTGGTTTCCAAGGATCATTTTCATGTATTTTGAAATAAAATAAACCTGGAAGTATAAATGAAATAGTGGTAGATCCTGTAGAACCCACAAAAGCAAGTACCTTATAATAAAAATAAAAAAAATCAGATAAATCAATTCTTTTCTTCCCTTTTTTTTTCTTTCTTCATTACTTACCAAATCTAATTTCGATACAGTAATGGCAACTAAATAACTTGTCACCAAAATGGTAGTAGTCATGGCAAAATATTTAAAGGGTGATGGAAGAGGAGGTACCTTTAAACCACGTGCTTCAGGAGTTCTCCAAGCCAATACTTTATCCAGAGAAGCACGACAAGGATGAGCTTGTAATGGATAACTAAATACTACTAGAATGACAATGGCTAATCGACCTCCAGCAACAAATAAACTTTGATGATCTATTCAAAATTACATATAAGAATATCATTCCTCTTTTTTAAATTTCTTTTTTGTTGAACTTACATTCAGAGATCACATTGCCACTCACATCTTTACCAAAACTAAGGTAACCTAATATAGCAATCAATTCATAGATAAAGGTGGAAGCTCCAATAGAAACACCAATCGTTTGATTCACAGCTTTTTGACTATGATCTGCAAGTTCATTATAAACCGAGAAAATCTATAAAAAAAAAAAAAAGAAATGTTAAATGAATGGATATTATAAAAAAAAAAGAAACTTACGTTTTGATGACAAGTAAAAGCAAATACAAACACAGGTAAATGACTAAAGAATTTGGTGGACCAATCAAACATTTTAACGGATTCTTCTGGAGGAGGGACAAAATCACTGGCAAAATAATGTTCCACGACAATAGCACATAAATAAATCACGGCAATTAAGGCCACTACACTGGTGTATTTCAAGGAATCCAATTTTCGTAAGAAACTAAGAGGTAATACTGCTGTAGCCATGAATAAAGTGATCCAAAATCGTCGATCCATTAATAGAACTGTATCTTTTGCATCTTGAGCAAAAGACAATACGACCTAAAATAAAATAAAACATTATTATTATTATTATTATCATTTATATATATATATATATATATATATTTACCTGAGGCATTAAATCACCAATGATAATAAGATAACTAATAGCTACACCAAAACATTTGATAGCAATAGCTAAATCAAATAGAACCGCCATTTTAGGCCAAGTGAGTTTGGAAATAGCAAAAAAGGAAGCATTTCGACCATCGGTATGTCTAGCACAACAAGATAAAAAATAAAGACCCATGGAAGAAGCTAAGGCAGATAATAAGATAACAAGAATACCAGGTATCAAACCAACTGACGCTACTGCTGAAGGCTTTATACATATATTATATAAAAAGTAAAAGTAAGATCAAAGTATATATTATATATATATATATATATATTTACCATAGCCAACATGCCTGTACCTAGAATAGTATTGGCAAGATTAATAGCACAACTAAAAGGAGTGGCAGTAGGAATCAAAAAGTCAGCTGGATCTTCAATGTCGTTTAGAAATATAGATGAGGAACCAGCAGTAGATCGAGGTAAAAGGGGTCGTTGGTCATCTTCCCAGCTAGTGGCATCAGTCGTTGTTGCTCCTGCTGACGATAAAATGGAACTTTCATCGATACTCTCTACTGGAGTATATACAGCAGCATGAGTCATCACTATATGTTGATATTTTTTCGGATGAATAAGAAAGTATAAAAAAAGAAAAAAAAAATTAGGGAGGAATGTTGGGAAAAAAAGAATACGAATGAGAAAGGAGATTGGTGACATTTCATTGGATAGATTGCTTATCCTAGATTTTCAGTCACATGGTCTTTATAGCTCAGAGTTGTTCAACAAAGACAGATAAAAAAAAAAGGTATTTCTTGCCAAAAATCAAAAATATTTCAAATCCCGATCATTCATTCCTTTTATTTTTTTTTCCTTTTCTTTGTTTCCTTCCCTAATATATTCATGATTGACACGACATCGTCTATACATAACACGACGGAAAAGAATAAGTTATCTGATACACAAGATCAACTTCAACGACAGTTAGATCTTCTTACTGATGAAATCCAAGATCGACGTGACGAAATCAAGTTGGAACAAGAAAAACAAATAAAATTATACAATCAAGTAAAAAAGGAACTGACGGATATACCATTCAATATACCACCTAACGATAATAATATCAATTTATCAGAATTACATAAACAAAAACAACTATTAGAAAATAAGGTGAATTATTATGATAAAGTACGACAAGTGTTATCACTTCAAATAGATCAAAAAGAAGAAATGTTGGCAACCATGGCTTCTCAAGGTGAATTAGAAAATAATAATAATAATGAAGAATTATTATCTACACTCAAGAAGGATTTGGAAGATGTCAATCAACAACTTGATCAATTACGGCAGGTTTCGAGCACCGCATCATAGTTTTTATCATTTTTTTTTCGTTATATATTAAATAGATTTATATTAACTAATAAAACTTTATTGATGTTATTATTATATATTGAAATATTCTTTTGAAGCATTGATTTTTTTTATCTGGATGATATATTACTGTCGTTGAAGTATAGATATTGAAATATTCTTTAATGACAGCAAACGACTATATCGTTTACCAGTCTCTTCTTTTATTCAATTCTGATATTGATGGTTCAATATTAGTACATCATGAATTGACTTGTAAGGAAAGTTACTTAAAAAAAAATGAGAAGAAAGATCTTCGAATAAGACTTTTTGATATATGTATTTTTTTACGTGATCCATGCGTTGCCTTCCGATGGAAAATCTCATTATACAGTTTTTAATTTCCGCTCATTTTTTCTTTTTTCTTTTCTTTTCAAAGGCCAAGCTCACTTTTTTTTTTCTCTTTGTTCTTCTTCATATCTTATATATTGATTATGAATGTACTTGGAGCTTCTGTTTCAGAAGCCATTACAGATCCTGTTCACGAAACGAGGGATATTCTTTTACCTAACCAAACGGAACATGTAGCCCAAATAGCTGTAGATGTAATCCAATTTCATTTTTTTTATTATCATTTTATATTAACTTTTTTTATTATTAAATAGATTGGTGGGTCTTTAGCAAAGATTGTCTATTTTACAGCGTTTAAAGGAAGAACAGGAGGTCGACTTCATTTCAAAAAGTTTGAAACGGAAAAAATAGACGAATGTATCGAGTTTATAGCGGAATTGGTCAAGGATGCTCAAGAAGGATACGAACATAGACGTCCCATGGTGTTAAAAGCAACAGGTGGTGGTGCTCATTTATATTATGACAAATTGAAGAGCAAGTTACCAGGTGTACACGTACAAAAGGAAGATGAAATGGAATGTTTGATCACAGGTTTGAATTTTTTTATCACTGAAATCCCCTATGAAGCTTTTACCTATGATGAACAAGAATCGGATCCAATGCAATTTGAAACGAATCCATCACCTCACGTTTACCCATATATAGTAAGTATTATTATTATTATTATATTCTTTCCTATCTCTAATATCATCATTTATTCAAAATTTGGCTTTAGCTTGTTAATATTGGATCAGGTGTAAGGTAAGTAAGAAGGAAAAAAAAAAGAAAAATGATCAAGGGTAACTCATTCTTTTATATATATATATATATATATATATATATATAAAGTGTACTCAAGGTAACCGGTCCTGATGAATTCTCTCGTATAAGTGGTACTTCGGTAAGAAATTTTTTTTTAAAAAAAAAGAATTCATCAAATAAAATCAAATACAGTATCATTTTTTGACACTTTTTCTTTCTATCTATATATATATATATATTTTATAGTTAGGTGGTGGTACTTTATGGGGTCTCATGTCATTATTGACAAAAGCAGAAACATTTGATGGTAAAAAAAAAAAAACAAAAACAAAAAAAACAAAAACAAAAAAAGAAGATGGACTGATTCAAATATATATATATTTAGAAATGCTGGAAATGTCGGTGACAGGGGATAATCGACATGTGGATTTATTGGTGGGAGACATTTATGGTTCAGATTATACGAAATTAGGATTAAAGGCTTCCAGAATTGCATCTAGTTTTGGCAAAGTGTTTAAAAAAGGAAAACAACCTACAGATCGACAATTTAATTCACCAGATATTGCCAAAAGTTTGTTATACATGGTCAGGTAATAAATTTAAAAAAAAAAAAGATAAAGATAGGATCATTCAACTCAATCCTTTTTTTTTTTTTTTTTTTAATATAGTAACAATATTGGTCAAATAGCTTATTTGAATGCACGACAACATGATATCAAAAGGATTTATTTTGGTGGTTGTTTCATTCGAGGTCATCCCATCACCATGAATACTCTCTCTTATGCCATCAAGTTTTGGTCCAATGGGACCATGAAAGCCTTGTTTTTACGTCATGAAGGTCATTTGGGTGCCACCGGTGCAGTAAGTAGTCATTGATTATTATTATTAAGAAAAAGACACTGAATTTTTTTTTTTTTAGTTTCTCAAATATAGTCCTATTCGTAAAGCAAGACATTCTTTCTCCTTTTCTGAAAACTTTACACCAGATACTTCAAGTCATAATCCAAGTCGTGTCTATGGGGATATTGAAGACACCAACGTAGAATTATTATCTCAACAACAAATAGAAGATGATATGATTGCCGATGCTGAAAATTGATTTGATTCCCAACATAACTGTAGAATAATGTAGAATAGTTGTATTAATTTTTTTTTTATTATAATGGAATAAAAAACGTAAAGTCTATATATACATCATAGTCATTTTGAAAACAAAATAGAGAGGGTATCATGAACCATGGTATGGATGGACATCAAATTTAGATACTGGATTACCATTGGAATCAAAATGGAAAGGACCATAACATCGATCACAAAAATAACAAGGAGAAAACCCACTAAGATAATCATTGGTAGTAACGTATACCGCAGGATATACAGCACACATAGTACATTTATATCTTGTATATCGCCAACTATAGGTTGTCACAGGATATCTTGATCGATTCAATTCATCTCTTGCACCCAACAGTCTATAAATATCAAATATTAGTGTCACATTTATTTCAGTATACTTTTTTTTTTTGATATTTACCTGATATCACGAATCATTACTATATGTTGACAATTTTGTTGATGATAAAATAAATATGGATGATTGAGTTCCAAAGACAATTGACTGAAAGAAAGGCAATTCATGGCTTTTTTTTCAGGTGGATTCGTTGTCGTAGATCGTTCAACGATCCATTGTCGAATAGATTGACTTGGATCATCATCATCATCATCATCTGTCATTTTATTTCGTTCATCCACATAAAATGTATTACCGATATAAAAAAAACTGGCTGATAATTTTTGTCGAATAGTATTGATGATCTGGCCTTCAGGTTGTCGTCCTTGTCGATCCCCATGGGCTGTGAAATCCATACGACAGTACAATGCATCCCGTAAATCCGTCAGATTTTGAGAGCCCAGTAATTGAAATTCTTGGAGGAGTTTACTTGGTTTGTTTGCTTGATAAATCGAGATCGTGAAGATGAGTTCTTGTCCAATCGTGAGTGGATGATTCTCCTCCATGGATTCAGTTGCTATTTTCTTCTTTTTCGATTTCTCTTTCTTCTTCTTCTTCTTCTTTGCAGAATGCTTATTTTCATCCTCTGGTTCTATTGTTTCCGTTGCCTGCATGGATATTTTTCCACTCGAATCCTGTTGTTTTTGTACTTCCATTTGTATATGATTCTTTGCAATGGCATAATTGAGGGCCTTTCTATGTCGAGGAGGCACATCCATATAATACTTCTTTTTGATCGAACGTAAAGGGCTAGTTTGTAGCTTGGTTGCCATTTCCATAAATTTTTTGGATATAAAAGTTTCGGGGATATCAGGATGATTTGTTGTGGATGGTTCAGTTGGAGATACGTCGGTAGGGTTTGATGATGCGGGCTCATTGCTGTTGTCAAGTGAAGTTAAAGAAGGCGTAGTAGCATAAACAGGTGACGAACTCTCTTCCTCGTCAACGGGAGCTTCATCTACATTGCTGCTGATGTTGTTGTGATCGACCGTTGGGTGCGAAGATGGTGCGTCCATGGATAGTTGTTGACTTGAAGAAGACATGGCTAGTATCGATGATGATGATGATGATATTTCTTCTGTTTCTTTTGCTGTTATTGAAGTTGATAATGGTGATGATGTGGTAGAACTTTCAGGCATTGTGTTGAAACAAGTAGATATACGTCGTGGCCGAGTATTATCTTCAAAAATAGTATGATCTTGGCTTTTGTTGTTCGTTTGTAGAGGAGATAGAGATGGAGGAAATATTGTGGATGGTGATGGTGAACAAATAGGAGCTATTGGTGTCGACCTGGGTGATACTATATTCGAAACACTACTACTTCTACTAGGTGTACCGTTCTCCAAAGGTCGTAGGATGGAAGGAAGAGTACTATCAGCATGATATCGTCGTTTCTTGGGAACGTGAGGATTGGGATACATGGTGGGAGCTTCTAGTTCTTCTCGTATTGATTCAGCTTCTTGCCAAGTTTGTTCGTCTTGTTCTTCCAGTATGCGGTTTGGTAAAACATCCTTTGCTTGTGGCTTTCGTTTTGTCATTGGATCACCATTCACCATACGAACCCGGTTATAACTAGAAATACGTGAATCGTCTTCATTATATTGACGTAATAATGAAAAGAGAGTTGGATCCACAAAAAACGTTGATACATCGTGCCCATTGGTTACTTCCCGTAATCTAAAAAAAAAAAAAAAAAAAAAAAAAAAAAAAAATAGAGGTTAAGTTCATTGATATAACTATACAAATATATCGCTTACGCTTCTTCACCACCAGCAAGTAAGGTCAAATTTTCCATGTCGATGGTAGATTCTATTTCATTTTGTTTTTGAAACAAGTTTTTCAAATCATGATCAAAATCTTGTCCCCGCATATCTATTTGTATACTAAAGGAAAAAGAGAGAGAGAGAGAGAGAGATCATGCCAAATGGGATAAACCAAAGAGGTAAAATTTGAATGACACAATTCATACCCCGAAGTCGTCACATTTTGGGTGTCTCTCTCTACCAGGGAAAAATATATATAAAAAAAAAAGGTAGGGTTTTGGCCCTGAAACTCTTTTTTTCCGTCTTTTTTTTTTTTTTTTTTCTTTTCTTCTCTACTTTATTGTACATACTATTAGATAAATATAATGTCAGAACAACGTACTTTCCGTATTGGCACTCGTAAATCACAATTAGCTATGGTTCAAACTGAACTAGTATGTAGTCTTCTCCAAAAATCCTATCCACAACACAAGTTTGAAATTGTAGCCATGTCAACGACGGGGGATCGTATTTTGGATGTGGCACTTAGCAAGATTGGCGAAAAGTCATTATTCACCAAGGAATTAGAAGTGGCTCTTGAAGATGGTCGTGTGGATTTTGTTGTACATAGTTTAAAAGATTTACCTACCACTTTACCTGAAGGCATGTATCTTGGTGCAGTTCTTGAACGTGAAAATCCTCATGATGCTGTGGTCTTATCTGACAAGTTTAAGGATTATACTTTGGCTACTCTTCCTGCTGGATCTGTTATTGGTACAAGTAGTTTACGTCGTGTGGCTCAATTGAAACGTAAATATCCTCATCTTACTTTTACAGATGTTCGTGGTAACTTGTAAGTCCCCCCCAAAAAAAAAGGAGAATAAAGACAAATAGAGAATAGAACTGATGATTATGTCATTTTTGTTTTAATTAATTTAGGAATACTCGATTATCAAAATTGGACGATCCCAATGGACAATATGCAGCTATTGTATTGGCAGTGGCAGGATTGACTCGTCTTAATATGACTCATCGTATTTCTCACATTCTATCTCCTTCGGAATCATTACATGCAGTCTCTCAAGGTGCTTTGGGTGTGGAATGTCGTGAAAATGATCCAGTATGTACTGATTTATTGGTCAGTTTGAATCATCCCCTTACTCGACTCGTCTGTACAAGTGAACGATCTTTGATGCGTACGTTGGAAGGTGGATGCAGTGTACCTATTGGTGTCAATTCTTCTTATGGAGATGATCATGTGTTAAAATTAAGAGGATTGGTTGCAAGTTTGGATGGACAAACCGTGGTGGAACATGAAGATCAGATTTCTGTGGATCCCTCTTTATCTTTGGAATCGCAATATAAACTTGCTAATGATTTAGGGGTGACTGTGGCAAACAAACTTCTTGAACTTGGTGCTGATGCTATTTTGAAGGAATTATCTCATTCTTAGAATTTACATTAGATTCCCTCTTTATACAAGCATATATATATAATAAAATCTGTTATTTTATTGAAAGATGACTTTTTTTTCATTTGTACAGCTATGATTTTTCTTTCTTCTGTTGAATATATTTATAGTTTGGTTGGTCAAGTTTATTATAAAAAAAAAGATATAAAATGAGGCTATATTACAATACTATCAGACAAAAAAAAAAAAAAAAATAAAGAATACAAGGAAAGAAAGTCTAAAGAGAAAAGATATATATAGGGTTTACCAAGCAATCTTGGCAATGATGCTATTGGGGAAACATCTAACAATCAATTTTCGAACATCATCCATCATGATGATACCGACGGCAAGAGGGAATGGCAAGAACCAGAATTTGACAGGAACAGGACCGGTTTGCATGACATCATGGAACCAAGGCACTTCGGTGACAATAAGAGCAGTAATGAGCGAACACAACATACCAAGGAACAACCAAAGATTACGATGACCACGACGGATAGGATCAGCTTGTAGGATGGACAATCGACGATTACGGACAGACATAATGTTACCCCATTGAAGAATTACCAAGGTCACAAAGGTCACACATTGTCCAATTTGAAGGTTCCATTGGAAATCATCCGCCGTTAATGCTTTACCATCAGGTCCAACACCAAAGCTTTGTTGATTTGCAGGTCCCCATGGACCAGGACTATAAGTACCAACAAAATCGAACCAACCCAAGCCAGTGGCTTCCTTCATATAGTAAAAGAACATACCGAGAGAACAGATTGTTTGCATAGATCCCATAAATCTATTCCACAAAAAAAAAAGTCAATATATATATATCTATAGATGATGACATGTCTTTTTTTTTTTTTTTTAAAAAAAAAAACAAACTTACAAGTAGGATTGGATATAAATCTTGAGATTGATCAAATGGTCCTTCTTTGGATTACGAGGAGGCATAGAAAGCAAATCGAATTCTTCATTTTCCATGATGATGGCCAAGGCAGGGAAAAGATCGGTGAAACAACAAATCATGATCATCAAGAAGGAACTAAGGGGAAGGGGAGTACCAGCAAATGCATTGACCAAGACAGGCCAGATTTCAGACCAAGAACCAGCAGGCAAGAGATAACCAATGACTTTTTGTAAATTTTGAAAGACCAAACGACCCAAGCGAATAGCTTCAGTGATGGAATCAAATTCACCCATGAGGACCAAATCAGCAGCTTCAATGGCCACATCACTACCACTGACCACAGCCACACCCACATCAGCCGCCTTCAAAGCAGGAGCATCATTCACACCATCACCTGTCACAGCAACCACACCATCACGTTTTTGAAATTCCTTGACAATTTTGAGTTTTTGTTCAGGGGTGGTACGAGCAAACACAATTTCTTCATAGCGGCATACACGGCTCCATTCAACATCACCAAATTTCAATAAATCACTACCAGTCAACAGTAAGCTTGTTCGACCTTGGAATTTTTCATCTTCATCATCCGCTACCTTGGCCACATCCATATAATTATGAGGATCTCGTTCACAAGTAAAGATACCAATTTGTCGAGCGATGGCAGCAGCAGTAAGACCGAAATCACCAGTGACCATGAAGAAACGGGTGCCAGCACGGCGGCAATCAGCAATGGTTTGAGTGATTTCAGGACGAGGAGGATCCATAATGCCGACAAGACCAATCACGGTCAAATCTTGAACAGCATGTTGTACCAATTCATCTTGGAAGCCATTGGCATGGATATCGGATTCAGGACTATAGAAGCGACGGCAAAGCACAAGTACACGTTGACCATGACGAGCCCATTTTTCTTGCATAGCACTAAGACGAGCAGACATTTCAGAAGTAAGAGGCATCACCGTGTTTGTCTGAGCACATAGAACAGAAGTACATTTAGGCATCAAAATATCAGGAGCACCCTTGACAAAAATGAGGGATTCACGATCATTGGGCACAGCACCGAAAATATTGACCATGGGTTGAGGATTCATCTTGCTAGCTTGATACATGGTCAACATCCATTTGTTCTTTGAATTGAAGGGAATTTCAAATGTACGCACAAAAGCCGAATCACCTTGACTGTTCTTTGATTCAGGTCCCAAGTTGGCAGCAAAACGAAGAATAGCACTATCAGTAGCATCACCATTCACTTTACGTTCATTCACAGGCAGATCCATGGTCAACGCATCAAACGAAGCATTGTTACAGAAATAAGAGGCCAAATGGAGTTGTTTGTAAGCGGTAGCAATAGGATTACTAGTTCCACTGGAAAGAGTATCACGGCATTCATCAGGAGTACATTCAGCATCACCAAAACCAACACTGGTCACAAACATCTTGTTTTGGGTAAGAGTACCCGTCTTGTCAGAGCAGATCACATTCACACAACCAAGTGTTTCCACCGTTGTCAAACCTTTGGGTAACACTTTGTTCTTTTTCATCTTACGAGCAATCATCATCATGGTCATGGCCACGCCCACTGGGACACCTTCAGGAATAAATGCAACAACACAACCCATCAAGTTCATCAATAAAGCAACCACATTTTGGAAATCAGGATGTTGAATATGTAAGAATCTATTTTTTTTTTTAAAAAAAAAAAAAAAAAAAAAAAGATGAGTCAATCTAATCTTTCACCATTTCCTTTTTTTTATATTCCAACTTACGCAAGCCATTCAATCAAAAGGATCATAACAAGTACAATAGTCAAACAAACAATGATACGAACAAAACGAGAGATTTCTTGTTGAATCAATGTCACTTTTTCCTTTGCCGCAGTAGTTAATTTGTTGATACGACCCATCACAGTATTATTACCTAAAATAGATTACATTTGATTTAGTATTTCTTAATCATTTCACCATTTATCAAATAACATAAAATAAAAATAATAAAAAAAAACTTACCAGTCAAGATAACAACACCAACAGCATTACCATTCACCACATGAGTTCCCATTAAAGCAACGTTTTGAGATTCCAAAAAGTTTTCATCAGTACAACTGGTAGAGCCTTCTACAGCATCACTTTCACCAGTCAAAACGGCACGATCGAATTTCAAATCATTGGATACTTGAATCAAACGAAGATCAGCAGGTACTTTATCTCCCAACTTGATATGAACTATATCACCGACGACCAAATTGGATGCTGGCATCTTGATCACATCCCCATTACGAACAACCAAACATTCTGCTGGAAGAAGATTCAAAATTGATTTCATTACCTTGGCTGTCGACCAATCTTGGAAGGCAGAGAAAGAAGCTTGGAAAAAGATGACAATGATGACAAGAATAGCAAGAGCAAGATTGATGGCACTAGGAGACCCACCAGGGGTAATAGGAGGAGTACTAAGTGGCATCCAACAAAGGAAGAAAGTAATCACACCAATCCATCTTTATCAAAAAAAAAAAAAAAAAAAAAAAAAAGATAAGAATGATAATAAATAATAAATAATAAATAATAATAAAAAACTTACAAAACAGAACAGAAACCACCAAAAATATAACCAAGTGTCTTGAGAATATAATTAGGACGACGATGAGCAAATACATTGGCACCATTACGTTGTAAACGAGTTTCAGCAGCAGAAGATTCTAAACCAACCTTATCATCCGTGTTGAATCGTTGAATGACTTCAGCAGACTCAAGCTTATGGAAATCCATAGAAGCAAAATATTCGGAATCATCCATTTCCTTTTTTTTCTTGCCAGCCTTTTCATTGGGATCACCATTCATAGAATTGGTCACATTGATAGAAAGAGTACGGAATTTGATAGGAATTTGACTATATCCAGCTTCTACCGTAGATTCACTCGATGCTTGGATCGATGCTGATCGTCGACGACTGTCTTCCTTGAATTCCAAACGAATATGTTGTTTTTCTTGATCCATTGTAATATAAAGAAAAAAAAAATGTCGGAAAGAATGAAAAGAGGAAAAAGGATTGACTGCTAAGAAAGCGGTCAAAAAAAAAAAAAAAGCGGTAAAGGGATGAAGTAGAAAAAAAGTGAGAAAGAATGAAAAGAAAAAAGAAAAAAAAATTTCTAAAAAAAAAATAAAATCGGATTTTATATCTTTTTTTTTTTTTCTGTACATAGATAATAGATAGCACTCAACCAATATAAAAATGATAAATGCCTCAGTCTAATCCATTCACTATAAACGAGAAAAATAAAAGATCAGTGAGCGGTTTTTTCCTATTATGTAGATAGAAACCCCGATCAGCTTCTTCTTTTTGACACGCATAATCTATTACTTCTATTTTTGATGAATATAATCATCATAATAATAAATAATAATAATATCATTCAAATAATAACATGGTCATCCTATTTTTTTTTTATTTCTGTTTATAAAAATATAAAACATAAGCAATCTTTTGATTCTTCAGTTTTTTTTTTTTAACTGGTCGATCTTTAGATTATTGGTTCAATGCAATTGGTGAAAAAATAAAAAGATCATTGTTTGAAGTCTCAGATAAATCAAAAAAAAAAAAAAAAAAAAATTCGCTCATTTTCAGACTGAGAGCGTTTTTAGCCATTGGATCATCGGGGCACACGCGTTTAAACTTCTTTTCCATCAACCAGATATAGTACTTTTCTTTCAGCCTCGATTTGGATTAGATTTTTTTTATTATTAATAATATCATTGTTTTTTTTTTTTATTTTATTTTCATAACATTCATGATAACATTAAATATATATATATATATTGATGGTTGATTGAATATAATATTTAAGGTTGAGAAAGAAATTCTTTGAATTTCATTGGAAGACAACAAGCTGAAAATCATAACACAGCCAATTTTTTTTTTTTTTTTATGGTCGTCAAAAAAAAAAAAAAAAACAAGCTGAGCGAATTTAGCGATTTGTAGCTTTCTATGAAAAATCTTTGGTGCAACTCACAAGATGGCTGTTTACCAAAAAAGGACTGTTTCCATTGCTCCCCAGACCAGTTTCTATGTTCACTCTCTTTCTTAGCAGATGTGTGGGTGGAGGCTGATTTCCCGGGTTTTCAGATCTTTAAATTTTTCCATAGCTTGATTCAATAGTATAGTGCCCCCATCCCCAGTTTCATGTTGTTCCTTTATTTGATAAATATTGACTATCCATGTTGGATCAGCACCCTTTGTATCTATAAATATATGCATAAAATAGAATATAAAACGTAATGCATTCAAAAATACGAAACTTAGAAAATACATGTTGAAGAGAGTAAGAATCGAACTAGGATGACTATACAATCAATTAGAACTTTTTTATTAGATCTTTTTTCTCGTTGTTTTTAATTTGAATCATTAGTGATTCTTGGTATATCAATTATCTTATTTACACATTCCTTCTTCTTTGTTAAAATCATGATGATTATTACTAAAAATAAAGTCAAATAATAATAATAATATATGTATATACAAAAAAATAAACAACAAGAATAGCTTTATTTCATAAACAAAGAATCATCACACTATACAAACTACCAAACCTAAGCAGAGGTGACAGGCTTGCGAGGAGCACGACGACTAGTAGTCTTGCCAGCAAAACCAGAGACAGGAGCAGTGACTTGAACACCAGGAAGATTTTCAAAGTTGATAGATTTGAGTAATTCCTAATAAAAAAAAAAAAGAAGAAGAAATGTTTAATGCGGGTGGAATCTTGACACCGGATCAAAAAAAAAGAAAAAATTTCTAATTTTTGATTTTGTAGTATGGCCATCGAAAGACCCACCACGCATTTTTTCCCTCAAAATAACACAATATCATTCCTTTTCTCTCCAATCCATCATCACCTAAAAGGAAAGAAAAGAAAAGAAAAGAAAAAGGAATGACACTGCACAAATAAAAAAGAAAAAAATGCTGCATATATAGTTTTACCTGAGTTTCGGGATCGATTTCAATAGCAGAAGTATCCAAAGCAGAGAATTCAGGAACATAGTTATCACGACGTTCACGTTCTTCTTCTTGTAACTTGAAAGAAATACCACGGACAGGACCACGAGAAATACGACGCATCAAATGAGTGGTGAAACCAGCAATCTTGTTACGAAGACGCTTGGTGGTGATAATAGCAACTTCATCACAGATCTTCTTATTGGTTTGGAAATCCAAAGTCAAACGAGGATAGTACTTTTCGATCAATACACGAGAAGCTTTCTTGACAGTCTTAGTTCTAACGCGACCCTATTGAATGATGCAAGTAAAAAAAAAAAGATATATAAGTTGATTTCCATCTATCCATCCATCCATCCATCCATCCATTCATCCATCCACTCATCCATCCATCCATTCATCCATCTACTAATCCATCCATCCATTCATCCATCTATTCCTTCCTTCATTCATTTTGTTAATAATCTCTTTTCTTACCATGATATATAGATGTGAAGAATGTGGAAGAATAAAATGAGAGAGAGAGAAAAAAAAAATTGTAAAGACTCGTTGTTTCCTCTTGTTGCCTCTTGTTTAAAACTCAGTTGTTAGCCTCTTTTCCTTTTTTGTACCGTACTTTTCTTTTTTTTTTTTTTTTACTTCTCCTCGACAATATTCCACATGGATACCACCAAAGTACAACTTAATAAACAATGTTTACCTGATGTACGAATAGATAAATCAATTGCCTTGGATCATGCAAATAATCTAAAAGAACTTGCTAAATATCGACAATCTTTTGGCTCTCAACGCAAGTTTTGGGTCGACGTGGCTGTTCTTGATCGATTGAATTACAAGAATAAAAACCAACAACGGCATTTTCATAGATTTAAACGAACTTGTGAAGTAATAATAATAATATATAAAAAATGAACTTGTCTTTATTAACACAACATTCTACTTATTTCTTTTTTTGATAGGCTCGACGATTGTTAAAAAGATTCAAAACTTTGGAAATTGACAATACATTGATTCAATTACAATCTCTCTTTTGGTCTGGGATACCAAAGGATCGCTATACTGCTCCACCCACTACTATTCCATGTCGTGAATCTTGTGAATTTGCTTTGCGAAAAATGATTGCTGCTGCTGTGATCCTCGACAAAGTAAGTAAAATAGGTTGAATGAAATAATTGACTCCCCGTGATTTAATATATATACATATATATTCATAAATAGTTACAAGTAGTACTGGTTGAAGTTTATAGGTAATAATAATATGATAATGATGATGAATTTTTTTTTTTTTTAGTAATCCCATTGATCTCTTACATATATATTTGTATTATCATTTATATAGAGAAAACAGTACACTATTACGATTGGAACATTTTGTATCAGTGGCTTTAGTTCATATGTCGATATGCGCAAGATTATATACTTTAGCACATAAATGGGTCAATGAACTAGAAAATTGTTATAAATTGGTTCAATCATGGCATCTGGCTTTTCCATACGCGTCTAAAAAGATCAAGGCACAGGCAAGCATGGAAGATTATCCCAACAAATGTACATCATCGACAATGGAAGAGGAAAGGAAAAAAGCTAGAGAATGGAATCAAATTCGACTTTCTTACAAAAACCCTATTCATTTTGAATTCTTTTTGACTCATCAAGCGGATCAATTACCTACTCTCTTACAACAACAACAACAAATGGATATAGATTCAGAATCTCAGAATCTTGACTTATTGGAGAATGACATCAATGATGATTTGGATGATCTTGGAGGTAATAAATAGAAAACAGATATCATCAACAGACACTAATATCCTTCTTTCTTTATAATTATATAGAAATCATTGCACGAGATTAAACATGTAGATATACCATTAGAAATGACTTTATATTTAGTTAGATATTGTAATTTGATTCCTTTGTCCCTCTTTTTTTTTTTTTTTTTTTTTTTGGTTTTATCAGTTTTCATATGATATTGAAATAAAAGATTGGCATTTAACTACAATGATAAACCTTATTTTGAAAAAGTCAGCTACTTTTGTATCTCCTTTTATAGAAGAAAATGATCATGATATAGTAATTGAAGATTTTATTCAAAAAAAAAGAAGACTACTATACCCATTGCACTATCTAAACTAATGGGTACCCCAACCATCACCAAAAGGTACGCATGTCTCTCTCAAAGAATCGGTACACCAATGATCATAGATCAGTTTTGCAATATTTTGTCCCATCAGAGTTTGAGTTTCCATAGTCTAGATATTAAAAAAAAAAGGTTAGTAGAGAGAGCATATGAAAATAATCATATCATTTGTAATATTACCGAGATCACACTTTCAAAGGCATTCGCATAAAAAATACCACCATTCGTATTTGATTGATCAAATCCATGTAGAATAATCGAAGGCCACTCTTCTTGATCTACGGGGAATAACTTGGGAAAGGCTTGCCAGGCATGACGATAAACCCAACTTGTATTGACAAATAAAGAAGTAAGATCTTGATCGGAAATGGATTTAGAGGAAAACATTTTGACTACACTTTCGCCATTGTCCAATATCATATGTCTTGTAAATGTGGTGAAGGGTGATGTTTGATTTTCAAAATGGTCCACTACGATTTTTTTTTTTAAAAAAAAAAAATGTAAGTCAACATAATACAAAGTCATCCTTTCTTTTTTTTTTTTTTTTTTTTGGATATACCTAAAGGGAATCCAGTGGTAATGATGGAAGTGGGGACATCATTTTCCGTACGACCAAAATAAGTTGGATCAGGGTATCCAGCAATCAAAGTTACATGGACAGTGTGATATTCTCGTTCATATTCTTTGGGAGATTGTATACAAGAGATATCAATATCGGCCAAATGCTATATGGAATGAAATAGATAAGTATATAATATATATATATATATATAATATTCATATTTACCAAAGGTGACGCTAGGATGACAATATCATATAATTCATCATCCACTTCAGAAAGACTTGTATGAATTTTGTATTGTTGAATTTTGTTATTATGATCATCGATTTCATAAACAGAATCAATAGAGATGACTTTGGTATTGAGTAAAAGTTGAGTATTATGAGATCTATGAATAAATTCTTCAAAGATACGATAATTGCCATCTTCCAAAGACCAAGCGCCTGAACCTGCTGACATGGATACCTATATCATATAAATATATCAATTCATTTGTAGATTATAATAATAATACATATATATATATATATATATTACCAAAGCAGCAAAAGCATGTAAAATATTTGCGTCTTGACCATAATTCCCACGAGAAGCAGATTGTATCATTTCGTTCACAAAGGCTGAGCCAAATAGAGACGTCAAATGATCAGAAGCCGTTTTGTTCACCAAGTCTGTCAAATTCAATTGGTCTACTATTTGAGATAGTGTAGAAAAAGGTGGTTTATCTTGATGATAAATAGTCAAGAAGCGATCAATAATAGGTTGTAAATAAGAAGGAAATTTGAGAGGAGCCAAACCATAACGCCATATCATTTTCATAGCATCCCAATATTGATTGCCTGTTTCTTCAAATAAAAACGATTGTCCATCCCATATACCAAGTTTTGTTGCCATTGTCAATCGTTTCAAAGGAAATCCAAACTTTTCAGAAGCATTCATCATATTATAATTAACAGGTACAAAAATGGAAGCACCTAGTTCAATATGACCTAATGAAGGAGTATCTTTGATTGGTACTACTGTACTTCTTCCACCAATACGACCTTCTTTTTCATATATTGTCATATCAATAGGTATTGATTGTCCTACAGTATTGCTAAGCCAGAATGCTGTGGACGACCCTGCAGCACCACCACCTTAAAATAATAATAATAAGAATAATAAGCATAAATGAAAGAAAGATAAGTTTTTTTGAAGTGATAACTTTACCAATGATAGCTATTTTCTTCGGTGTTCTTTTTTCTTGAAATATGACTTGTTTGATAGGTATTTCAGCATATACAATATATAAAAAAAAGAAAAAGAAAAATAGATATTGTATATTCATTATCCAAAAAAGTGAAAGATAAGTAAACTGTTGAGAGAAAAAAAGAAAAAGTAATCGATTCGCGCATTCACGCAAAAAAAAAAAAAAATAGCGGAGTCAATATTTCTTTTTTTTTTTTACATATGAAACAAATAAAAAAAATGTTTAATTTCTTTAAATTTTTGATTATAATGTATAGAATATAAAACTGTATGTAATGTGTCAAGTGCAGTTCATGCTTACTATTGAAAAAAAAAAAAAAAAGAAGTAGACATCTGAGCTAGAAACTGATATATATATATATATATAGAGAAAGAGAGAGTGAAAGAGCATAGTAGAATATGAACGAATACATGTAAGGAAACTGTCATTTCATCAGTGTAACCTTGTTAATATAGTTTTTCTTTTTTTCTTTTATATATATTAAAAAACAACTTACTTTTAAACTAATTCATATATATATATCCAAAGAAATTGTATATAAAAAATATGTTATATTAGAAAGATCACATGTTTTTTTGTGAATAAAGTGTAATAGTGTACCTACTTTTTTTTTTTTTTTTTTTTTTTAATAATTATTGAAATTTTCTCTTTCCGCTCTATTTTTTTGAATGTTATTTTTTTATTATTTCTTTTTTTCTTTCTTCTTTTTCCATCTTTCCATCTTTCTCATTCTTTCTTTCTTTTTTTGTCCTTTTTTTTTTGTTGTATCTTTCATCTTTCCTTTCCTTTCCTTTCCTTTCCTTTTTCTCCTTCCCTTTTTTTTTTTTTATTATCATCTCTTTTGTCTGCGTGTGTTGAGTGTGTGTGTGTGTGTGTGTCCAATCATATTTCCCCCTTAACCCCTTTCCTTTTATATGTCGTTATTTTCCAAACTCACCAAGAACGGTCCTGACAAGACCATGTATCCTTGGTCACAAAAGAAACTTAATGGTAATCATCATACTGTACCAAGAGCAGGTCATGCTGCTACTGCTCTTTCATCCGATAATATTGTGGTTTATGGTGGTATTCATAAAGGATCAACAAAAAAAGATATTTCTTATATTGACACAAGTAAGTTTTAACCAAAAACAGGTGAATATATTTTTTTTTTATTTAAAAAAAAAAACTTGTTTTATATATATACATATATTAGATACCTTATCTGCAAATCATTTGACTACTACTGGTGATATACCAAGTCCTAGAAAACATACTGCTATTGTTGCCATGGGAAACTTTGTATTATGTAAAGTCATCATCTTATTATTACTTTTTATTTAATTTTCTTTTATTTTATAATAGTATATGGTGGTGAACCTTTAACAGCCAACGATCCTTGGGATCCTCATTTTTATTTACTAAATATCAGTAAGAAATACATAATATGAAAAAAAAAAGAAAGAAAACTTCAAACTCATTTTTTTTTTTTTACATTTTTATGTGTATATATGAATTAGACAATCGACAATGGACTAGAGTTCAAATGGCAGGTACCATTCCACCTGAACGTTCTGGTCATAGTGCTGTTACAGTGGGTGGTATTATGTATATATGGGGTGGACAACAAAATGGACGTTATTATAATGAATTATTGGCTTTCAATACAAGTTCATGTAATCATTTATATTTATTCTATTATTATAGATATTAACCCACTATTTATAATTATTATTGTTATATAGATCCGGAAAATCCTCATTGGGAATTGGTTCATAATGGAAAAGATGGTCCTACCGGTCGCGCTGGTCATGTTTCTGTTGTATATGATAATCGACTTTATGTATTTGGTGGTTCTGATGGTGAACATATGTACAATGATATTTGGGCTTTTGACTTTCAAACAAGACAATGGGCTCCAGTTCCTGCTGCTGGTTTTATTCCTACTGCTCGTGAACATTGTGCTGCTGCTTTGGTAGATGATGCCTTGTATGTCCTTGGTGGTCGTAATTCTGATCATCAAGAATTGAATGATTTATGTGCTTTCCGTATCCGAAGTAAGAAATCTTTAACTTTTTATTTTGATCTTTTTATTTATTTATTTATTTTTATTTTTTTTTTAATAATAAATTATAGGTCAACGATGGTATATGTTTCAAAATATGGGTCCTAGTCCTACTGCAAGACATAGTTTGACAATGACAGCTGTCAAAGAAAAAATGTTTGTTATTGGTGGTGAAATCAAATTGGGTAGCAAAACAGATGATTCTTCTATTTATATTTTGGACAGTGGTAAGTAACAAAAAGTAATTTTTTTTTTTTTTGATATCATTTAACTTATCTTTTTTTTTTCAAATAGGGAAAATCAAATATCCACCTGAACCTGTTATGCAACAACAACAACAGTCAAATTCTAATATATCGCCAACTTCATCTTCCCTTTCATTACCTGATCCTGAAATGACTCATTCCACTTCATCAATGCAACAACAATCATTCCAAAGAGGTCATACTCCTTCACCTTCGCAAGTACCCAATATATCTCAAAGTACCCCACTTCGATCTCTTCCATCTCAATCATCTTCAACTACTTCTCAACCTCCTCCTCCTCCTTCTTCGCAACAACAACAACAACAACAACATCCTCAATACAATGAAAATGGATACCCCAATAATACAAACCCTCAACCATCTTCATCTTCACCCGTCCCTGGTTCAAATCAATCCAATCCACCAAGACATAGATCTTATTACCCAGAACAAATAGCAGGAAATCAACAACCACCTCGACCTCCTCGACATGTTTCTACGGTTCCTGAAGCTGCCTTACGACGACCTCGAACTACATCACCTTTACCCAATCCTGATGAGCCCAATCCTAATGACTCTATGCAAGATTTACATAGTGGTATGCGACAACATTTAACTCCTGATGATAATGGAATCGATCCCTATATGAACAGTACATCTCCTCCACATCAACGAAGCTCTCCTACTACTACTTTCATGAACGGTACAACAACGCCACCAACCAATTTGGGCGGACGTACGACTCCTGGTGTCATCTCGCCTCCTCCTCGTCCATCTCGTGAAGGTGTGAAATTAAATCAAGCAGCTTATCAACATACCATGATGGAGGCTACAGCTTCTCTTAATGATACAACGTCTAACTTGGCTCAAAGAGCAGTGTCCGCTTCACCTCAACAAGTCACCTCGTCTTCGCCTATGGGTACCCCTCTACCACAACAACAGCATCAGCAACAGCAACAACAGCATCAGCAACAACAACAACAACAGCAGCAGGATCGACGTGGTATGATACCAGAGGTAGAACCTTCGGCAGGATATGATGCCTCGTCGCCGACGATGAATGTGCTTTACAACTCATCTGACCCTTCATCACCATCTCTAGTCTCCGAGCAACAGCAACAACAACAGCTACAACAGCAACAGCTACAACAGCAACAGCAACAGCAGTATCAACAGCAGCAACAGATTCAACAACGGCAACAACAGATACAACAACAACAGCAACAGCAGCAACAACAACAACAGCAACAGCAACAGCAACAGCAACAGCAGCAACAGCAACAGCAACAGCAACAGCAGCAACAGCAACAGCAACAGCAGCAACAGCAACAGCAACAGCAACAGCAACAGCAACAGCAACAGCAACAGCAACAGCAGCAACAGCAGCAACAGCAGCAACAGCAACAGCAACAGATACAACAACAACAGATACAACAACAACAACAGCAGCAGCAGCAACAGCAACAGCAACAACAACGTAAAGCTGTGGAAGACAATGGCGGCAATGCGACAGAACGAGCAACGTTGATGCGTGAAATCAAGGCAAGGGATCTAATCATTAGCGAAATGAAGAAAAAAGAACAATGGTGGCGAACAGAAGTTAGTTTGGCACGCAAACAGCGACCTCGAACCATGACACCGGATGAAGAAGGCGGCAACGAAGAAGATGAGCAAATGTTGATGGCTTTGGGTGATTTGGAAGATGACAAATTAAAACTGTTTGAACAACTGGTGACGGTGAAATCGGAATTACGGCGTGTACGGGCCAACATTACACAGCAAGCACAACCCATGTCAGACAAGGTAGCATCAGCCGAACGTATGCGAACAGCAGCTCTTCAAGAAGCCATGTACTTTAAATCAAAATATCTTGCTCTCAAATCTCAACTCATGGAAGAAGAAGAAGAAAGTAATAGCTTATTGGAAAAAATCCATGATCAACGTGTGGAAGATATTGAAAAACGACTTGTCCTTGCTCTTGCAGAAAATGAAAAGAACACTAAGTTACTTCAACAATGGCAACGACGTGCACAACATGATCATGCAGCCAAACAGTCAGCGGAAGAACGGGCCAAGGAAGCACATGCACGAGCAGAAGAAGCACAACATGCGTATCAGCGTGGATTGGAGGAATTGGATACCTGGCATGCAAGAGCCACACGCGCAGAACAACAACAAAGAGAAAGTCAGCTCAAGATTGTGGATTTGACATCACAATTGTCTCAAGCACTTCAAGCCGTGGCCAAAGCAGCAGCAGAGGCAGAACAACGTTTGACCAAGGAAAAATCATCCAATACAACACAATATAATCATATCGGTGGTGAAGATGAGGATCAATTACAACTCAAGATATCACGCTTGGAAGCTGCCCATTTGAAGGCTCGAAACGATGCAGCTGCTTTACAACAACGTTTGGCCGATGCCATGGATGATATTGCTCGCTTGAAAGGTGTGGTGGTTGAACGGGATGAAGCTTTACAAGATGCTCAAGCTCAATTGGAGGATGCTGATATGCAATTGTCCATGTTAAGGGAAGCAATGCAACAAAGACAATTACAACAACATCATTCAAAAGGTTTATTAGGATAGATAGAGACGATTAGGTTCTTTTTATTTTTTTGATGATTGTTTTTTTTTTATTTTTTGTTTTAGTTTTTTTATATATATATGAAATAAAGGAAGAAAAAAAAAAAAAGAATGTAGATCATTCATTTGTTGAACCATGAAATAGTAAGTAATTGATCTATCAACTGTCTTTTTTTTTTTGGATTTATCAAAATAAAGGGAAAGAAAGACTGAAAGCAAAAACAAAAAAAAAAAAAAAAAAAAAAAAAAAGAAAGAGTATGAGTTTTGAAATGTAACGAGACAATAAACAGAAAATTTAGAGCATAAAAGAACCTAAAATTTTATTTGAGCATAAGAATCATAATTATTAAAACATAAAAAAAACAAAGGAATGTACTTACCGTGATGATACACGGTTCAAATAAAAAATATAAAATAAAATAAATAGAGACTAAAATAAATATAAAGAGAAAGAAAAAGAAAAAGAAAGAAAAGGGCATAAACTAACTAAGGGCATAAATTTAAAATTTCAAAAAAAAATAAAAAAGTCATAAATATTGTCCGCCATCAAGTTTGTATACAATTTTTTTTTTTTTTTTTTTTTTTTTTTTTTACCTTCATTGTCAGTAGAGCGATCATCGCATGCCGGAAATCTGGTAATTAGTGGATAGAGCTGGGAAGGCTGAAATGATATCTTGGTAACACAACGTACAAACCGCTACTGGCCAAGTGGATTGTGGAAAGCTGGCATGTAGTTCCTAAAAATATATATATATATTTGAATATATAAAATTACATTAGCATAAAACACAATGTCCATCTAAACGGCTTACCAGAAAGTTGAATTGTCCACGTAGAAAAGTCAGAATCACCATGATTCAAGATATTCAAAATCATGTCATAGTTGTCCTTTCCCTCCCGGATCAGTTTCCCCATATCGTTGATGATCTTGGAGTCATTGTCATCTTTTGCGAGTTCTAGCGCCACATCCTATTCATTGCCATCCGTGTCCACCACAAATCTGCCGTCCACCTTGAAACCGCATACGTTTTCACGATGTGGCTCTTTCTTATTTTTCGATCCAAGGGCGGATATTGATTCAACTCTATAAGCAATAAATAAATAAATCTATGATGAATAAATAGGTTCATATATAATGTGAAGAAGAACTATTGGCGATTATAATACTTACAACTTTCCAAAAAAAAAAAAAATGATAAAAAAAAAAGAGAGAGAAAGTATGAGATATCTTTGTCTATCTTACGTATTCACAACAATGCTAATATTCTGTATATGACTTTTTTTTTTTTTTTTTTTTACCTTTTCACAATCGAATTTATCATGGAGACTTCTAACTAACAACCGGCTATCGTTCTTGTATCTAAACAACCATGCTTCTTCTTTCAGCCTTACATACCATCTTGTAAACAAAGGCAAAATGGCGTTAACTGGATGTTTGTATCCTCCTTGTAAGATACTATCTTGATATCAGAAAGTGAAACAAAGTCTTCATCCCAGTGAATATCTGTAACAAGACAAACGTCTTTTCCGATATCAATTCATGAAGTAGGTCAGACGGGCCATCAGGCAATAAAGAAATCTAGATTCGGTTCTTGCCCTGTCGACATTGGCCTTAAAAAAAAGACCAATGGAATGGAGAACGAGCTTGTATAAAAAAGAACAAAGAAAGAGAAAGGACATGGTTCTTTTTTTTTTATTATTTATTTTTATTTTTTGTTGAAGCGCTCTAGAACGGACTTTAGACAATTGCCATCATTTCTCGGGAGGGTGGGAAAGCTAGGGGTTCGCATGACAGTCATTTGATGACTGATTAATGATGACGATGATGACAGTTGAATGCCTATTTGGAGATATAATTTTATTGACGAATGCAAAGAGATTAAATATATCTCGCGTATAACAGTAACATTTGATAAAAAAAAAAAAGAATCAGTCAACTAGATCAGAAGATTTGACTCTTGATACAGTAATATTCATCCAGATCAGTTCAATTACCAAAAAGAGACTTGCAGGATTGTATCAAGTTTCATCCCCGAATTTCTTTTTTATCATCAAAATATGAACATTTTATAAAAAAAAAAAATGGGTGTACAAGTATGTATATGAATGAATCATCTATTACTACTTGACATATTTATATAAAACGGGATATTTTAATAATAATAGACAGAATAGGGGGGAAGTAAAACAAAAAGATAACGTGACAAGATATTCTAAACACTAAACTATGATAAAAAAAAACTATCTACAAACGACGTCGAGGGAATGTGGTAACACCTTTAAGACAAGTAACACGCTCTCCATCCACGGTGTAAACTTCGGCTTCAACAGTATATTTTCCCTGTATAAAAAAAAAAAAAAATTGAATAAAAAAATCTTTTTTTTTTGTTTGGTTATCTACTTTTTTTTTTTTTTTTTACTTACACCAGCTGATAAATGATCATACATATAAATAAATAAATAAATAAATAAGAGTTGGATATATAGAATTTTATCTTTTGAGTTTGAATACTTACGAATAGTCTTAGGTAATTCAACATCCTTAACAATAGATACAGGACCTTTTTCAATAGGACAATCTTCATCAATTTTACCAGATTCTTCACATAGATCGAGTTCTTTCTTAACCAATTGTACAACACCCCATTTGACAGTCAAATAAAGATAAGCACCATCTTCCACCGTTTCCTTTAAATAACCTTTGAAATCAATATGAAGATTTTGTCCTTTCACTGGAGGATCAGGTGTTAAATTGATATGTTCAATACTATATATATAAAGTTGTTTCTGTTAATATATTATTATTATTATTATTTGGGATTATTCTTACGTAAGTAAATCATCCTCATCACCACAGTTTTGAATAAGTTTGGTGGAAGTTTGTTCTTCGAAATCACCCAGTTGATCTTGTAAATGAAAAGAAGGTAAAGCTTGAACCCATTGAACCAAGCAAACGATAAGAAGAGTAATACCCAATAATTTCATATTTTTTTTTTAAAAAAAATAAAATAAAATGATGGTAAAGGAAGGAAAAAAGAAAAAAAAGAAAAAAAAAAGAGATGTGAAAAGAGTTTTCTAATCGGGCGTACTTATTTTCCATCGACGGAGTTGAAAAAAAAAGAAAAATGAGTTAATCGACATATCAATAATGAGGGATTATTTTTTTTTTTGATACTTACAGCCCAACACTATACAAGTGTTACCTTCCCTTTCAAACCTCCAGCATGAAGAGAAGATCGTTCGAATTGTTGAATTGTTTGACAAAAGGCGAGCTGTTCATATCCGATCATTGCTATGTTGATAGAAGCATTTTCGTCTCGTCCTCTGGCGGCATATCCATTCTTCCGGCTGATGCAATCAGGGTTGATGCAAACAACCGTTCCTAAATTGGTGATCTTCTTTGATTTGTCCTTGTTTGTCTTGACAGGATGAATGATGGGCATGTGACAGAAGGCACACAATTTTGAAGAACGATATTCATCAATAGACACCACTGTAGCTTTTTCAGAGAGCTTCCCGATAAAAACATCATGACTGCCACGAGTATGGCCACCGATTCTTGATCCGTATCCACGTCCAGCATCACCGTAGAAGCAGATTGCCTTCTGACCTCCTAATAAACTTTTGGCTGACTTGGCGTACGCTTTTTCTGTTTGACACAGTCTTGTTCTGCGTTGTCGTTTTAGCCAGTTGGTTGTATGATAAAAGTCTAGTAATGGTTGTCTACTACGCTTACTGATCTAATTTAATAGTAATTGTAAAAAGAATAAAAAATGAGTGGGATTTTTTTTTTTTTTTTTTTTTGCTGTTAGCGTAGTAAAGCCTACCCCATGATATTCCTTCTCGTTCTCGATATTGTTGCTGTATAACGTTTTCATCATAGACCGAGATAAGTCAGCTTCGATATTTTGAACAGACTTTGTTCCATTCTTTTGACACTATTATATTACGGGAAGTTAGATATTGTGTTGTATTTTCTGATGCGATTTCTTTTTTTTATTCTTTTACTTACTTGGAGGTGATTGCACTTTTTTCGATATTCTAGGGTTCGAGAGAATAATGACAATCCAGAGTCGGTACGCAATTGATTCGTCTTTATGCTTCTCACTTTGGTCTTGAATATGGTGCCAACATCGTCAATTTCCATTGCGTTGCCGGGATCTGTTGTTGTACGTGATCGAATATATTTCACCTGTTCTTGAGTAAGTGCGACACATTGAGCCATTGTAACTAATCCAGGATCGATTCCAATAAACTTTTCAATACTGTCGATATCAGGCTTTGTCGTACAAATGGTTGGTGTCATCGCCTTGTTGTCACTGCCGCCAAATATGTCTTGGTATATATTCATCTTTCTTTTTCGATGATCCATAATTGAACATTTTACTTTGACGATAGATCGTAGTAGGTCATCTCGTGTCACTTTCATATCTTGCCGCTTATTGATTAAGGAATATAACGGTTCATCAATATCATCAATATCTATACCTTGCGTAGGAGTCTGAGCTATGTTGATTTCTTCGATAGTCTTGTCCAGACTTTGTCGATTTCTTTTGTTTTTCCGTGGTTTCCTTGCATCGATCTTTTTCGTGATGGCTGAAATATCTTCTTTGACGTTCGATAATTGTTTTTCAAGTTGCTTGATCGCGTAATTGTCCTTGTTGATATTTTTGTCAATATCCTTCATCATATTGCCGAAATCCTCCTTTTCCGATCCACTTTTGCGTTTCCCTTTTGATACAGATTGTTTGCGTAAGTCATCACCACTATTGTAATCGTCACTATCGCTGTTGTTGGCTTTATCTTTAATGATGGACTTGCATTGAATTCTTGCGATACCAAAACTTGTTACTCCTACTCTGTAATCGAACTCCATCGAACGAGACTTCGCCAATTCTTGCATATGAGATAGATCCAGAAAGCCTGCAAAAACTTGATCTTTGTATAAACGTGCCTTGGTTTCGCTGGAGATGGTGTCACCGTTAACGAATATATCGAATCCAAAATCATGGAAAGGTGGAGCCTTGTCGTTCTTGGTGCCGCCTTGTCTACCTTTGAGACAACAAAATAGATAGTACATAGAATCTGAATTCAGGAACACCGCGTAGTTTTTTGAAGGATTGACCTTTGGAACCAGCTTTCTACAGAATTTGGCGTAATTGGTGACGTACAGAATAGTACTTAATAGCAGAGCCAGCGGATAGTTGAGAAGTGGGTGATTATCAACAATTTCGTTATTCGTTTTTGGTAGAACATAGGGTGATATGAACTCGTATAATTGCATGAGCACCGTAGCTTCATTATCATTGAAGTCCAAGTTGTCGTATTTCATCTTCAATTGGTGAGGTGTACTATCAAATGGTATTCCTTTCTTCCAAAGCAGAGATTTCAAAACGGATCGTAATTTCTTCAGTCGATTCATTGACGGTTCTGTTACTGATGCTGAGACTACTAATTTTGGTATTGGCGTTGTTGGCGTTGTTGGGGTCATAGTAGTTGTGTTGGTAGTCGCAATTGCAGTCGAAGTCGAAGGAGACGACACTGACGCGCGCAGTCTTTTTCTTGGGATTGAAGTGTCTTCATCGATAAGATTGTCCATAACAAAGTCCACATCATCTTCCATATCGCTATCCACATCGTCCGCCGCGTCGTCCTCATCATTTTCCATGTCATCTGTGGTGTCATGTTTGCTGTCCATATTCTTCTTCTTTTTCTTGTGAGCAATTAGTTGCTTAATTCGATCGATAGCTTGACTTTCTTTGGTGATGCTGTAGTGTTTATCAACGTCGTTACGTTTTTCCAAATTTGCCAGTCGTCTGATGTGCTTGCGAAGTCGGTGTTTCAGAATAATCATTGTTGGAAGAATTTTGTCAGTGCATTGCTGTCGATTGCTGAGGGTTGAGTCAGGTTCTTCTCTAAAATACATATTTAGTGTAAGTGGACAATGAATGACAACTTTACAATTCAGATTGGCATCTAATCGATGGACTTACCTCTTTGCCTTCCGTTCTTGATAACGCTGTTCCCGTACTGGAGAGAGGTGGCACCGCAGAAGAGTCAATAAAGCCTTGTCCAATAAATATGGTATCATATTACCACGGTATATATTCAACATGTTTGTAGAAAAAGTGGTAAGATGCGGTTCCAGAAGACGATCCATCCCAGGAGGAAACTTAGTAATCGTCAGACCATTTGTACAAGATGCATCCAAATTCCAGTCATCCATACTTTGCGCTGATACTGCTGATGTGGAGTCTACTGCCGTTGATGAAGATGCTATTGCTGAAGAAGAAGTGGCTTGAGAAGTTTGCATAGAGGTGATGAGACGAGTGAGGTGATTTGCTGAATATAGATCCACCATTCTGCGATCCGAACTTGAAGTGAGCATTGATTCTGCCAGGATACGCTTTTGATCATCTAATTTAGGAGGAGCCAAGCACAGCGGTTCATCTAATTCCTTGGTAAATTTTGATTGAGGTACAATATCAAAGATTTTCACTTCAGATCCACTATATATGAACGGTAAAAAAAAAAAAAAAAAAAAAAAAAAAAGGTTAGAGAAATATATACATTCTTTTTTTTGAAAAAAAAGTTTACTTACAAGGTTCTAGTCTGTAAATCCATTTTAACAATACTAGCCACGTCCATCATTACGTTTGTGGTTGCTTCGCTTGCACATGATATCGTGTCATTAATGATTTGTTGCTCTTCTACGTCCAAGTCCGACCGCAAGATATTTTTCCATGGGCACGATACTGTAAGGTATTTGTATTTAATCGATGATGATGATCGTCGTTGTTGTTGTTGTTGTTGTTGTTGTTGTTGTTGTTGTTGTTGTTGTTGTTCGTACAAGATTCTTATTCGGTCATCCAAATTTTCGTCAATAAACGTGTTCCACTGGCGAATATAATCAATGGACAAAGAGTCAAAGGAAGCTTTCACTTGTACACGGTTTATTTTGTTACTGTTGACTAGAGTAAATAAGAAGATAATTCAGTATTGTAATATTCCTTTCTTTTGCTGACTATTAAGAAAGACTTACCTTCGTTGTATGCAGTTACTACATCATTGTAAATACCATATATCGTTTTTCTTCCCTTTTGTTTTCTGAGATACGTTTCCTTTACGTGACTTGATACGTCTTCGAATGTTGTTTTGTTGTTCTTCGTCAAATACTTCACCAAAATGGGGGACACTTCTTTTCTTAGCCGTGATTCAAATGCTTGTGAGAGATACTTTATACAGCCAGCTTTTGTGAGTTGTTGTATTGGTGTGGTGCTTCTTTTCTGGTCAGGTTTGTGAATTAACGCTTTGGGATACATTGGGTATAATAAGGTGTGGAAGAGGTATCGTTTATCATTAGGTATAGTTAAAGAAAGAAAAAAGCATTGACTAGTACACAAAAAAAAAGGGCGACCTGCTTGAACGTGGCTCGTTTGAGTCCCCGACTTGAGTCCGGATTTAGCCGTCGACAGAAAATCAGTGATCGGAGTTAAAACACAGCAGCACACATGACCCATATCATTTTAGGAGAAAATGTTGTCATGATCCTTACTTCTTGTTGAGCCCTTGTTTTATGATATCTCGTTTTTAAAACGTGTATGATCAACTAGCTATCTGAGTAATAAACGATCCTCTTAATCATACTTCTTTTATTACCAGCAGGAAAACTTCTTGATACACCTTTTTTCTTATCATCACATTATCTAACTATAGTTATTGTTTATCAATCATAATGATGTTTTATTTCGTTTTATATCTTGTATACGTCTGTTTGACAAATAAAGACTATCAAGAAAACCCTGATGTTACACAATGATGCATTCTTGATCCAAGTTATTTTTTTTTCTTTTATTTACTTTGCAATGGAGATAAAGCTCCCATATAATAGTGTTATTATGCTCAATTCATTGTTCATAAAAAGCAAAATGAAGTATCAACAGTTGAACAACCAGGCACCAACTAACTAATCAAAGTGTTAAGCAAACAAGGTAACAATAAAAAAAAAAGCAGTTTTGATATAATAAAAATTTTTTTATTCACATAAAATCATCCAAATAAAAAAGGAATACTAACGAATTGCCAAAATAAAATAAATAAATAAAAAAAAAAAGAGTTTCTAAGTAAATGTACATAAGACGGCAAAATCATCTTTGTGTGTATAAAGCCAGACACATGGGTGTTTTGCTTCAATCAGTTTCGTTACAGCTTGAAGTACACGTATCAGGGTATCCCGTTGTTGACCCACATCTGCATACTCCAAAGTTTTCTTGAATCCATCATCCAACCAAAAACTATATTCATTCATCCGCCGTACAAGATCCTTGGGTAAATCACAAGCAATGACTTGAATATCACCATTAGTAAGACTATCAACAATAGGTGATAAATGATGGATGGCTAAAAAAAAAAAAAAAAAAAAAGAATAAATTCATCATCATCATCATTCTTTTTATTTACCTTTGTCCACCAAAACAGCTTTTCGTTTTTGTTTCATTTTTGTTCGAGCCTTGCCACGTTCTTCTGCATAAACCACTTGTACATCAAAATCATTCTTCTTTTCTTGTCCTTCACCTTTAGAACTATCCAATGGATAATCCAAATTTGAGTCACCTAGATGATGACTATCCTTGGTCTTGAAATCATGCTTATTGCGAGGTATCTTGCCCACGGTATAACTGTGATCCACACGCGCCTGTTCTGCCATTTCTGCCATGAGCCACATACAAAGCTCAGCACGAGGTACTTCGGATTCGGTTTTCCGTAATACATCCTTGACTTTTACAGTCGTACTTGCATCCAAGACTGAAGGTTGTGACGATGATGAAGATGGTAATGATGACATATGACGATGACTGTTATTGTTGTTGTTATTATTACCACTGAATTTGCTATTGTCATTCAGTTTTTGTTGTTTTACAATCACCATCCAATTGATGCTGGCTTTACGACAGTTGTTGGCCACTTCTTCAGGTGTCAATGACGTACGATCATCATATTGGAATTCAGCTCGAATCCCATGAGCCCATAATTCTCGAACCACCTCTAATCGTTCTTGTAATAAGACTTTGTTAAAGCTTGCAACATAGACGTCACTCTAAAAAAAAGAATAAAAAATGTTAGAACAGATCATCAATAGAATCATTGTCTTTACCTTTTTTGGTGCCCATAAACCGAAACTACGTAATTTTTCATTCTTTGCTTTGACCATATATTTGATTTGTTCTGATTGATATTCATCCAAATGTCGAATCAATTTCTGTACCGCAATATTGACACCAACCGCTCGAAGTTTTCGATTTGCACTTGCATTTGGATGAGCAAAGTGTTGAATCAAAATATCATATCTATTGAAATAATCATAAATATACCTTATATATATATTTATAATATGATTTTCTTTTTCTTTTCTTACCTTCCACCCACAGCCAAAACATCCTTTTTCTTGTTTTCACCCGTGTCAGTAATAGCTTCAAATACCAATCCGTCGGTATAAAAATGATTGTTGTAACTAAAGAGAATATAAAATAGATTAGAGTTTGCTATTAAAAAAAAAAAAAAAAGGACTTACACTAGTAAGGGATGGAAGATAAGTTTATGACGAATACCAATACTTTTCGCCACCGATAGTAAGATACGTAAATCATTCACCCATTCCCTGAATCTTGATTTATGATTACCAACCAAAAGACCATCAATTTTTTTACTAACAGATTCCAAATCGCCTAAGATCAAATAAAAAATAAAATGAGAAATCTTCCAAATAATAATACAGATAAATATTATTACCTTGAATATTAAAGATAGAGAGTTCATCCAAAACACTTCGTTGTAAATGGAATTTAAGTTTGAGCACATTACGAACGGTAGAAAAGGAAGTACCACGAGCCAAACTGGATAGAGTAACAAGAACGCCTTTTCGACAATCGGTAGGTACACGACAATTATCCAAGATCAAATCAGTAATACTTGCATTGTTGATCATAAAATGGAAACCACCTTTCTTGTATGGAGGTAATTCTTCCAAGATTTCTTCCACTACTTTGAGTACTTCCGCATCAGGCACCATAGCTGCTGTATCACGATGTACAATATCAAAATCTGCTTCCAATACTACTTCTGGTTGACCTCCACTAGGATTTTCACTTTTTTTTTTTTTAAGAAAAGAAAGAAATAGTTAGCCTATATTTATTATCATTGATGATGCCATCTTTTTTTTTTCTTTTCTTATTACCGATAGACAGGTTCAAAAGTGAATCGTTTCAATTCAGGAAATCCTTTTTTCCGAGAAATATATCTTGCAAAAGGAACGGTTTGATCAAAAGGTAATTGATTAAGAGAACCTTGAGAATCCATCACATACACAGGACTTTTCCAATTCCATTCATACAAATCATTCTTGGGAATCAAAAGAGGAACAGATACGTCAATGGCTCCATGTCGTCGAAATACTTTGGCCATTTGATCACGAATACGATCATAAAATATATGAGAGAAAGGATCAAATTGATTATCCACTTGCTATGATAAAGAAAGAAAAAAGGAAATCAGTTCATCATTTTCGATCACCTAAAAAAAAAAAAAAAAAAAAAGGATACTAACAGATTGATAATCATAGGTGAAATCCTTATGTCGATCCGAGGATTGAGAGAACATGGCGAACATAAGTTTGTTGTAATATGGAGTATTTGGATTGGCTAACAATAAAAGAATAGTGAATAAATTATAACCAAAGACTAATGAATATGATGACTTACCAATAGTTCGTACGCATTCCTTGATATATTCATCTTCCTATAAACATCAAGCAAGAGAGAGAGAAAAAAAACACAAAAGAGTCAATATTTCAAAGCATTTTTTATATAATCTGTATACATACCAACTTTGGAGGCAATAAATCACTTCGTAATAATTCAAAACTATTGGGTCGATCTTTGGGTTGTTGAGAAGTCAATAACTTGATGATGGTACGTTGATTGGTGTAATTTTTTGGGAAATCATTAGGGAAAATACCAGCTCGCAAGTCATTCAATACCTAACATATGTATATATAAAAAAAAAAAAAAGTTAAAAGATAATCGTAACTTTTTTTTTCGATTATTACTTACAATAGCTCTTTGCATTCCAGTGGAAACAGGATAACACATTTCAAAAAAGATGACACCCAAGGAAAACATATCCACCTTTTGATTATATCGCATACCAGAGGTAGCACCAGTGGTTGGATCAGGTAATACTTCAGGTGAGACATAAAATGTAGTTCCAACACCTGTCGTCATACTTTCATCGATTCCCAAATTAGTACTTGTTGCTGAATATCCAGTATAACTGCCAACAGCACTAGAATCACCATTTTGGTTGTTCTCAATATGTCGATGAATGGTTCCATCTAATCCCAAACCAAGTCCATGATTATTGTTTGTTCGTATAAAAGTATTGACCACATCCACTAAAGCTTGATTTGTTGTAGCCAGACCAAAATCACCAATCTTGACATCATTGTTGGAATCCAAGAAAATATTGGAGGGTTTCAAATCACGATGAATCATGCCTTGAGAATGGATATGTACCAAACCTTCCAGAATTTGTCGAAAGAGTCGCCATATCTCTTGTTCATCCACTTTTTCATCAATAATATCCCGTAGCGTTTTCTTTTCACAATATTCCATTTGAATGTACAATACACGTGTAGAACGAGGTCGTTGATGATGTGTTCGTTTTTGATGATCATTGCTTCGGATTCGTTGCTTGATATCTCTATTGTTTCGAAATTGTTGAATGACTTTTTTCGCCAAGGATTGAGTAGTTTTATTATTGTCCATGTTGCCTCTGTTGATATTGCTTCTCGTTGCTGTATTGTCGCTACCTGTTTCATCTGTTTCTGAGGAAACGGCAAAGGAGATATAATCGCCAGAGCTATCATCCGTGTCGTCTGATTCAGTACCAATACCGTCATTGTCGTCGTCGTCGTCATCATCATCATCATCATTGTCCACTTCATAACGAATTGCTGAATAACTTTTGCTCTTGGATTTTTCCATGGAAAGAAAATCATATCGTTTCTGCAAAACACTGACATCATCATCATCAAATTCGTCCGATTCCGATTCATCCGAATAATCATCTTCATCATCACTGTCTTTCCAAGTTGTTCCATCTTCATCTTCAAACCAGGTGGCATAGTATCGTACGACATATTGATGATGTAGACTAGAGAGGGTTTGAACTTCCCGTAATATTTTACGAACACCTTCACTATCTCGAGGATCCAGTCTAATTTTCTTGATAGCATAAAGTCGTCCATCCAGTCGATTGCGTGATTTAACCACTTCACCGAATCCACCTTTCCCAAGGAATTCAATTTCTTCAAAATCAGTCTTGTATCTAGATATACTTCCAGCACCACCACTACCACCACCACCACCACCATTGCCACCACTACCACCAACATTGGATATTGGAGGTTGAATATGAGAAGGACGTGTTGCATCAGTAGCAGGAGTATAAATAGGTCCACCACCAATACGATCAGGAGCCATAGAAGGTTGTTCATAGCCAATAGGACTCATTGCCAAGGATGTAGGATCATCTTTTCCAGCCAAACGAGTCAAAAGCATATCGCCACCCAAAGTATTATTATTATTATGAGTTGCAGAGATCGTATTTGTGGTAGCAGCGGAAGATGATGATGATGTACCATGATCGGGTTCATCATTTGTACTAGTCACTCGCATAACACCAGTAGCGTCAACAGCAAAGAAAGGATCGTTCAACAAATCAATTGCAGTAGGACGTTTCTTGGGATCATGTTCAAGCATACGTTTGGCAAAAGTAACAGCAACTGGAGAAAGTTCATTGGCAACCGAGCGGAAGAAAGCATCATAATCTCCAAATTCCTTGGTCAAATCCACACCCCATAACATTTCCAGAAAGATGATTCCCAAGCACCAAATATCATTTTTCCGTCCATAGATCCCAGGTCGTTCACGTAATTCAGGTGAAATCCAAGATGGTGAGATATTTGAGATGTTGTCATTTTCATTTTCACCAGTAAATGGGTTCGATTTATTGAGGTCTATTGTTGAAAATAAAATAAAATAAAAAACAGGTGAATTAGCATCGATTTTTCTTTCTCATTCAATTAATTAATTATTACCATGAAGACGTTTAGAATAACTAATATCAGCAAGTTTGACCATTTGATGTTGAGTACAAAACACATTCGTGGTTGAGATTCCTATCAAGAATAAATCTATGAGATAAAAGTAATTTTTTTTTTTTTTTTTTTGTAATAGATTCATTTTCGTTACCTTTGCATACAAAACCATTCAGATGAAGATGATTGATAGCCCATAAAAGTTGTTTCATGTATTTTCTAGCCACAGCCAAACGAAGACCACCACCACATTTTTGAAGTAAATCATATAGGCTGCCACCTTGTTCATATTCCATTAAAATATGCATCACCCAAGATTGATGATCAGAGTCACTTCGTTCCAATTTGGCGTCATAAATCGTTACAATATGTGGATGTTGTAAAGAGCGTAATCGATCTAATTCCCTTTCTACATCTTGTAACTACAAAAAAAAAGCACATACATGGAATAAAATATTAAATATAGTTCATTTTTCATCTTTTTTTTTTTAATTTACCTTTCGTTTGCCAGCTTGTGTCATATAATATGATCCAGAGATATAAATCCGTTTGATAGCCAAAAGGCAGGGTAAATTCATAGTTTCAGTATCTTCAGAATTTTCATAATCACCAACCACTTTATAACCAAGAGGTTGAGCAGAAAAAGTTTGACTAATGGAACCTTGACCAAGACATGGACCCAAAACAACAGCATGGAAGCAAATCCTCTGTTTATATAAAGAAAAGGAAAGCGTTAATTACACATTTAAAAAGATATTATAATTATTACCTTTGGATAGGGAGCATCATCATCTTTTTCCACGGGAGTAGTGATCAAATTTTCAAATACCAACGTTTTGATATCATCCGTATGTTCCAAATGATGACGTTTATCACTATTGTCATCATCATCATCATATCCACCAAATTGAGAATGAAAGTCATCATCCACCATAGATGCATTTGTTTTGTAACCTAATTCTTGTCTTTGTTGTCGAGTAGCTCTTGCTTGTTCTTGTTTCCGTTCCAATTCTTGTTGTATTTTGACATTCATCATTTCAGATTGACGTCGTAAATCCGCCGCTTCTTGTTCAGCCCGTCGTGTTTGTTCTTCAAGTTCACGTTCTTTTTCAGCCTATATATATATATATGTGTGTGTGTGTGAGTGCCGAATCAAATATGTTATTATTATTATTTATTACTATTCTTATTATTATTATTATTGATCACTTTTTTTTTTTATTACCCGCAAATCATTTTCCATTCGAAGGACCATTTGTTCATGGAAGCTGAGTTTGTTATCTTCAGGAGGAGGAGCATTATGATTTGCAAGAAAAGCACGAGCATGATCAGCTAAATCATATACCATTTCCCTGCCTATCATGTCTTGAGCCGCATTATCAAGTGAATGAGATAATTGTCGTACCGTTTTTGGTGTCAATCCTTTAGGTCGTAGTACTTGCATTTCAGGTGGTTTGTTCGGATACGTTTTTGGGAATCTATTATTCAAATTTTAGCTATGTCTTCTATATAAAAATAATATTATTTTTTATTTTTTTTTTTTACCTGAACTTCAAATCAATAGTGACATGAGCTTCTTCAGTTTCAACACCAAGAGGACATAGATGAAGTATGAATTCAGGATTCGGTCGCGCCACCTATGAATAATATCATAATATAAAGGTTAGTGAACTAAATGTTTTGCTTTATAAGTAGATATATATTTACCTTCCAAGGATTGTTTATTACAGCCTCATAGTCTTCCATAAAGATAGCTTGTAAGGCTTCAATTTCATTCTGTTGAATATCGTAAAGTTCGTCGAGATCCATGAGAATAAAAAATATTGTTTCTGGATAAATAGTAGGAAAGATAAGTAATAATTGTCAGTTGGCGTAATAATATAATGTATATAAAACGTCGTTTTTTTTGGGGGTGAATTGACGACCTTTTTCTTTAAATATTGTTGTTTGTGAATAAATATTGTTGATCCAGATAGTTGTAAAAGTTATATTCTTCAAGACCGAAAAAAGCTAACAATGGAGTTGAAAAGAGATAATCATTCACTCCATGCTGACAAGGTTGATCAAACTGTATATCAAATAAAATAAGGGTAATAAATAAAGAAGGAGAAAGAGGGGTTTGCGAATCAAATAAAAAGATAGAATAAAGTATTGTGTGAGAAAAGAAAAAAAAAAAAGAAAAAGAAACAAGAAAAAAAAAATATGCACTTCAAAAAAAAAAAAAAAAAGGCATCCTTATCACGTGGTCTCTTTTAACCAAGTTGGGGCGGAGTACAATGATTCGATGACACAACTTTACTCGTAAGCTGTCAAAAAATATATATAAAATATTTATGCCTCCGATTTGAACATTCTTTTTTATTATTATTAGTAAGTAGTTGAAGATTGTTCAGATTGTTGTTGTTGTTGTGACCAATGTGGACGTTCTAACACTCTACAATCTATCTTGGTAAAAGATTCATCCATTTTAGTTTTGTTATCTGTTGAATAATATAGTTTTTGACATGTCATTTGACTAAAATAATCTGTAGCAATAGGTGATGATGGAACAGGTGTTCCAATAATATCATTTGTATGAGATGAACTTGTATCATCATCAACATCTTCTTCTTCTTCTTCTTCTTCAACCTGATCATCTTCCTCTTCCTCTTCATTCCTGATATCATCAATAATGATAGGTTGTGTTAATTGTTTATCCGATGCATTATAAACTTCTTCATCCAACCAAATTTCATAAGTAGCGACAAATGATGGATCCAATTCAAAGTCATCCGTATCAAAAGAATCTCCAATATCATTTCCATTGACAGACGCTGGTTCTAATTGTCGAGAGGTATTATCTGAAGAACTATGTGTTGATCCATTGTTATGAATGGCATCATCAAAAGGTGGAAGTAATTCAGGAAGATATCGTTCACCATGGTAAATTCGAATCAAAAGTCGAAGATTGATTTCTTCCGCCTATTCATCAAAAAAAAAAAAAAAAATCAGGACAAATTTTCTATAAAATATATCGTTTTTTTTTTTTTTTTTTACCTTTCCATCTAAATCCTCTTCTGTATCGTTTTTACTCATCCAATCATCATTCAAAGATGTATTACAACGTAAGTAAATAGCTGAAATGATCTTCATATTACCTATCAAAATTAAATTAAATTATCTCCTGTTCTCATTTGACGTCATTTCTTACTCGTTCTCCATTTCTTCGTTTGATAAGGGACTTGAGATTTTAATATTTTGAGAGTATATAATTCCAAAACTGGATGAGAGATTTTCAAAAGTTTCTTAAAGATTGCCTAAATGCAATTCAAATTATTAGTCAGTTGATCCAATAATGTTCTTTTTTTTTTTTATTATTATTATTTTGTTTACCGTAGATTTATATTGTACCATAATCATCACTCTATTGGACTTGGCTTTGGTTAATTTTTGAAGCACACAAAGTAAATTAATCATCCAAAACATATTTCGACCATTGGTGTAAGTATCCGTCATCTGATCAATGCGGAAAAGTCTATCTTACATAAAAATAAAAAATCAATATTTGTGAACATGATTTTTTTTTTTTTAGATGATTATTACCTGAGTGTTTCGATATCTGTACGTCTTGATGCCAACTCTATCACATCTTGTAATCCAAAGATTTTCAATATCAATAAAATACAACCTGAATCCACTAGTAATTGACTAATATATTCGAACTTCAACATATCTAATAACAAAATAACAAAAAAAGTAAATCTACTGAGACGTAGTACAAAAGCGTGAGATTCTTACGCGATAATTTGGTCCATCTCAACAAAAGGATGAGAGTGCCCGAGATGGACTTGCATAAGTTTTCGTTGTTTCGTATTTCATCCATACGGTCCTCTTCTGAGGTACCTTGTGATTCACCCGGTAAGATAGTGGTCAATAGCTGTTTGAGTAAAATGGCTATTACATTCTGTAAATGAGGAACAATGGCTTTCTAATAATTATGAAGAAACAATTCCTTTTATAAGTAAATATCACTTTTTTTTTTCATTCTCTCCCTTTTTTTTTTTTTTTTTTACTTACATAAAAGCCTTCAAATTGATTCAATATATGATGATCATATTTATCAGATGATGATGATGATCTATGTCGTTGATCTTGCCATTTCTGTATTGCTTGTTCACGTTGCTGTATCAATTGTTGAGATGTTCTTGATTTGTTCAAATGAGACAGATAAACGTTACCTGCTTCTATGATACTATATGGAACGCTAGGTCCTGTTTGATCAAGAGGTAATATAACTGAACCATCTGTTGAAGATATCTGATTGGCTTCTGAAGGAAATTGATCTTCATCTTGATCTACAAAGGCATTTTGTTGTTGTTGTTGTTGTTGTTGAGATTTTTTCTTTTTGGATGATGGTGATGGTGGTGATGAAGATGGTGATGATACTGTATTGGTAGAATGATAAAAGGATTGATATGGTAGATCGATAATAGAAGATGCATAAGAAAGACCCATGGCACTAATAGATGAAGAATTGGATTTCACAGCAAGTGAAGAAGGAATATCTGATGGTAATGTTGGATTGTATCCACCATATTTTTCTGTTGTTTGTTCCAAAAATTTGTAATAGCTTTGAAATGAAGTTTTGTTTGTGATTGGGACTGTAGATGATGATGATTAGATGGGTTTTTTTTTTTCCTTTTTTTATTTCTTTTTTTTTGTCTTACCAGACTTCTTGTGCAATGTTTGTTTTATTTGTCTTATATCCTCCAATCCACCAAAGTTCAATAGCATACATTTCCACGTCAATGACATTAACTAGGAAAAAGAGGGATGATTAGTCTTTACCCTTTTTTTTTTCTTTTATATCCTATTTTTATACCTTTCGCATAGGTAAATGAACCATCTGATGATCTTGAATTTCTCCAAGAAAACAAAACAATGATTCAACAAATGAAGGATCCAAATCGTCTAAAATTAAAAAAAAAAAAGATTAGATAAATATAATATGGATTAGAAATGATTTATGTTAACCTTTTTTTGTATCATCACCCGTTCTTTTCTTATAACAAAGTACTTCAATCACTGGATAGACCAAAGTTAATAAAATATCCAAGGTTAAACATGCTTTTTTTGATAAATCAGATGTTTTTCTAGAGGGATAAAAGGCAGGAAGAAAGAAAAGATTAACAATATGCATGAATAAAAAGAAAGGGTTATGGGGTACCTAATATGTTGAAATGCACTTTTCAATATCCGACATGCTACCGTTAATCCGCCACACTGAACTACTAGTTCAGCTGCATGGATAAGATTTTCAATGTTTCGATCATCATGCCCTGGAAAGATCATAGTGATAAAATAAACAAACATGTAAGTAGTAGCACAAATAATGGTATCAATTACCTTACCAAGTAAAATATGAATCACATGTTCTGCAGCATTGAGTTGGTCTTGATGTAATAAAGCCGATTGTTGCTCAGGATGGTATTCCAACTTTTTTATTAATTCCTTTATATTTTGTTGTTGTTGTTGATGATGATATTCTTCTGATGATATTAATCTATCATCATCTATATATATATATATATATATTAGATTAGATTACATTTGATGGTAAGAAATAAGGAGGAAAAAAAAAACTTACTTTGATCGTTTTCACCTTTGTCTTGTAGTATTAATCTCAATTCACTATTACTAAAGAAATCATTGATTTCCTTTTCTAACCCTTCTGTATCCATATAACGATAATTATCATGAGAATGCTATTGTTATTATTATTATCATAAAGAAGAAGAAGATGAGTTGTCTAGATACTATTCCCTTCCCTTTCCTTTTCTTTTCTTTTCTTTTCCTTTTCCTTTTTTTTTTTTTTTTTTTTGTTCTAGTTATTTACCTTTTGACGCTTGGATAAAGCTTTTACTACTTGTTTTAATTTGGAAGGATTTAAAAGTAAATCTTCATAAGGTGGCTCTTGTTGATCATGTGACTGTAACATTATAATAATTTGGTTTAATGAAATAAAAAAAAGAGAGAGAGAAAGGTAAAAGAAAAAGAGTTTGAAAAAAAAAATCCTTAAATAAAAAAATTAGGCAGGATGAGCATAGAAAATAAAAAAAAAAGGGGACATAGATTAAGGAGGTTAGACTGATAAAGTACCTGTGCGAGAGTGTAAGAAATGAACCTCCCCTCATCCTATTATTGGGTTTTTTAACAAAAAGTTAAAATGTGACCCATCTCACATGTGTCTTGTTCAGGAAATTTGCCTGAAAAAGCAAACAGCCTCCACTTCTTTCACTGACGTTCGAACCCAGATGCAGCCTTTGGGCTATTTCTTTAACCAGTTTTGACTTGGCTCACAAAAGTATTGTACACCCATCGTAAATCTAGTGTGAATTCATTGGATAAAAAAAGAGAAATGACTTACATCATACATATATATTTAATCTCTTTTTCACTGATCAAATAAGCTTTTTTTTTTTTTGTTGAACAAAACTAACTACCTTTGTTATACTGTGGAGAAGGTTCAACTCTTTTACATAAAATCGTCGGTGGTTGAATGCTTCCTTTTTGCTACACCTTTTTTTTTTTTTGTACGCGCAACGCGTTTCTCTCTTTTTATTTTCTTTCTTTGTTCGTTTCATGTTTCTATTATGACCCAATCATCAGTTACAGACAATACAATACCAATCTCTACGGAAGGTAAGAAAAAAAAAGAACTCTCTTTATCTGTAATTTTTTAACTCTTCTTTTATTTTTATATCTAGACACTTCGGTGGAAACAGATCTCAGACAACTGGTAAAGAACAAAGTGTTTCATATTCAATGGAAGTGGTCAAATCATATTCTAACCGTTTGTTTCCTTTTTTTTTTTTTTTGTTCATAGGAACACAAGTATTTGAAGGATGGAAGACTTTATTATAAAGAAACTAAACTACGTCCGGAAACACATCCATTGATTGCTGCAGGTAAACAATGAAGATATAGAAACAGAAGTTGATGTTTTTCGAATATAAACTGAACCACACTTCATTATTGTGATATAGCTATTCTCTCTTTTCGATCTTATCGTCAAACTTTAGAGCAATCTGACTTCACAATTTCTTTAGATTTCGATAATTTACCAGAGTCTCATAGTCAATTGATCGGTATGCTTGCACAAGATAGGTAAGAATAGGACTCTTCTTTAATATCTTTATACTGATTCTTTTCCTTCCTCTTTTTTTTTTTTTTTTTGTAGTGATGAAACACTTCCTGTATTAGCTAATCGTTTAAATGATCTTCTTTCACCATTTATGCGAAATGAACAAGGTAAAAAGAGCCATGAAGGGAAAAAGAAAAGCACAAAACTTAATCCTTGTATTGAAATATAGTGGCAGATATATTTCTGGGGGCAATTGAACAAAAAATACGATCTGTGGCAACTCGACAAAAATATGGTCTTTCTTCTTCTTTATCAAATCAAACAGAAACTCTTCCTACGTCCATACCAGCTGTAATAATAATATTATTTTATATGATGTATGACCTAAATCTATTCCTTTTTTTTTTTTTAATGATAGCATTTGACCTTATCCAGATGGGAAACAACTGATCTTTCATATTCTCCTATTGACTTTCAAGATGTGGTTTTAGAAAGACGAGAACAACGAAAAGAGGTAAGTGAGAAAGAGAGGATTGAAAAAAAAAGAAAGAGAATACTAATTCTATTTTTTATGATAGATGTCAACACTTTTATTACAACATTATCATTCATTACCTCCACATTTACAGCATCATTTACTTCATTCAAAACCTCGAAAATCACAACCCATATCTATGGAAGAGAAGGCAAAATCAAATGAAGAACTGGCATTGGAGCTTGAAAAATCGCGTAAAAAGGTACAACAGAAGAGAAAAGAACGAGAGATCAATCATTCATCTTTTTCTTATTCTAGATGGAAGAACGGAAAAAGAAGGAAGAGGAAAAACAAAAACGAGAACAAGAAAAATTGGAAGAACGACAGAAACGCGAACAAGAAAAATTGGAACGACAAAAACGTGAAGAAGAAAAATTGGAAGAAAAACGACGTCGAGAGGAAGACAAGAAAAAGAAGGAGCAGGTAATAAAAAAAATTTTTTTTTTCTATGATCATCCATGGATACACGTACTCATACTTTCTCTCTCTCTCTTCTTTTTTTTCCTAATTAGTCTCAATTACGACTTACATCTCTATTTACAAAGAATGTCGATGGAAATAGTACTCCTATCATTGAAAATGGTACCAAAAAAAAAAAAAAAGAATCGTTATTATTATTTTAACTAATTTCATCATTATGTAGATCATCTTGTAGAATCCAAATCCATGTTTCCACCGTTTTTTATCAAGGATCATGTTAATATGTATATGGTGGCTTCTATTCAAAAAATGCAATCCGATTTGACTCATTTGATTACATCCTATTCAACAGATCCAAATGCCAAACCATACGGTAATAAATAAGAATAAAAAAAAAAAGGAGAATATGGTAACTAATCTTCTTCTTTTTAAAAAAAAAAAAAGATTCTGATGAATTACGTCACAGATATTTGAAAGAATTAAATGAAAGACAACCCAAATTGACGAGACGTCGAAGGATCAAACGAAAAGTGGATTTGAAACAATTATTATTACCTGGAAGCTCTGGCAGCAATCTTGATTCTATTCATCGACCAGAAATCAAATCACTTTTAAAAATGAAATTATTACAATTTACAGAAGATGTTAGGCCGGCCTATTATGGTAAGGATGAATATATAAAAAAAAAAGGAATGAAACTTAACGATATGATTCTTTTAATAATAGGTACATGGACGAAATTAAGCAACTCTATATCACCCAAGAATCCATTTACCAAAGATACAGAACTCATTGATTATGAACATGATAGTGAAGCTGAATGGGAACCTGAAGGAGAAGGTGATGATATTCAAAGTGGTGAAGAAGATGAAGATGATATAGTACCTGAAGGAAATGATCCTGAAGATGTAAGTAATAATAATAATAAATAGTATGCATATTAATAAATTTAATCTATGTATAGGTCGGATGGCTTGTACCTGAAGGTTATCTCTCTGAAGGTGAAGGTGTTAATGATAGTGATGAAGATGGTATGTCGAAAATTGTACAACGATTATCTGTACGTCCCAAATCTAGAAAGGTAAGGAGTTAAATGAAAAAAAATAAAATAAAATGATTAACATTGTTTATATAATAGAATATTGCTAGTCGACCTATTATTATTGGTCCCATATTTGAAAATGATGATGATATGGATCAAAATGAGCCTTTGAAACCCTTTGGTATCAGAATGTTATTTGGTAAGATAAAATTTTTTAAACTATTTTTTTTTTAGATGATTGAATTGATTTTTAATATAAAATAAATAGATTCAAATAATAATTCTAATGGTTATGATCCATTTGCAATTATTGAAAAGAAATCCAATTCTACGGATAATAATGGATCAAATAACAAGACCAATGGATTTACTTCAGAACATGCAGAAGCATTGATCAATGTAAGTTATTTCTATTTCAACGGAAATGAAACTCATATTTATTTTGAATAGATTATTCAAGGAAAAGTGGATGGTATGACTAAACTAGTGACTGAAGCCAAAGCCAATTCTTTACTTTGTGAATTCCCAAAAACTCAAATAGAAGCCAAGATTAGAGATATTGCTATCAAGGAAAAACGTGGAAATGATACGGTAAAAATAAATAAATCAATAATAATAGTCAGTTTTATTTTTTATTTATTTTATTTTATTTTATTTTATTTTATTGATTGATAGAAAAGTGCATGGTATGCTAAAACTCAAGTCAAAAACTTACCTTCATAAGTCTTTTATAAATAAAAAAAAGATTCAATAAAATGACACACGTTTGATTTCCTTTTTGGGTCATCCTCTTTTTTTTTCATTTTTTGAACCTCCTGTCTTTTTTTTTACCTTTATCCCTTTCTCCTTTTTTTTTTTTTTCTCTTTTTATTACTATTATTATTATTATTTTGGATGGATATTAAAGCAACACGCCATACTTCTACTAACCTAGAAGAAATTAATGAACGTATTGAACGCATATTAAAAGATCCTTCTACATTGGAAAATGATAAATCAATTGATCTTTATTCATTAACCTTACCTGAATTGAAAGCTTTTGCTGAACAAGGTAAAGTTCTTTTCTTTATAATAAATATGATATATATTTAATATGTTTATTTATAACAAATAGGTGGATTGGGTGCTTGTGTTTCTAAAACAGATGTTTTGGCTGAAACTTCTGAAGATCTCATGTATCTCTCTGGTAAAGTCTTTCTATTTATTTCAACTTCAAAACTAACTAACGTGTTTTTTTTTTTAAAAAAAAAAAAAATTGATAATAGGCGAACGTATTATTGTTTTGAAACATATTGAAGACGATTTTTATTTGGTAAGTATATAAAAAAAAAGAGAGAGACATCTTGCACATCTCATTATTATTATTATTTATATAAAATAGGGATATTGTGAAGGTGTTATTGGACGCTTCAATGCGGAAAATGTCCATTTTGTAGAATTAGACCCTCGCGTTTTAGATTCTTTAGATGGTGGTGGATTGGATATGGAATCACTTGGAGTACGATCCTCTATGGACCATGGTGATATAATGACTGATGAACGATTAAGACCTAGACGATCTATGCAATCTTATCAATCATCTACTTCTGAACAATATTCTTCCCCAACTCATGATATATCAAACGGTACTTCTCATGGAAAACAAGCTTGGCTTGGTCGTTCTAGTATGGATAGTTTATTGACCACATCAACTACGTCTGGTATGAGTCATCTTTATGGTAAAGACTTGAATGATGTATTCTCTTCTTTCTTTTAAAAAAAAATTTTTTTTTTTTTATCTATCGTAGATCCGGCACGTGTTTATCGTTCTAGTTACTTGAAATCAACAACAGTACCAGAAACCATGGAAACATATGATACTTCAGCATTTAATGACAACTATTCCAATGAATCGGATGATGAAAACAATGACTATGCAATTCCTGATACATCGAAACATACAACAGCAACAACAACAAATAAGCAAAGATTTACACCTTATGATACTACACCGATTGACAATTCAAATAGTAATACATTCTCATTAACTTCAGCCACCAGAGGTTCAAGATTAGCAAAATATCAAGCAACTTTTGATAGTGATGATGGGGATGATGAGGATAATGCTGATCATTTGGGTGATGATAGTGGTATCTCTTCGAAAAATAGTAGTAAACCATCAATATCTCCAACAAATCAAGGTGGTGTGGCCATGACTTCAATGCCTTCTGTAGATGAAAATGGATTTATTATCAACAAGATGGATATGAATAAACAACAACGATCTCCAAGGTAAATTAGAAAAAAAGTGCGGAATAGAATTATTATTATTTTTTTTATTCATTCTTTTTTTTTTTTTTTTAGCTCAAAGTCCAATCTATCAGTAAAATCAATGAAACATTATCGGGAACGTGAAGTGAAATGGTTATCCATTGTCAGCAAATTGGATGCAGGATCGGTGAAAAAGGATGCTAAACTCAAGAAATTAGTACGAAGTGGTATTCCAACCTCTGTTCGAGCGCGTGTATGGCAATTCTTAGCTGGAAGTGGTGATTATCAAAAACAAGGAAAAAACCAACTCGATACATTAATCAATCAACCTTATACTGCTATTTATGATGTGATTGATCGAGATATTCCACGGTGTTATCCAGATCATACGCTTTTCAAGGATGAACATAGTCAAGGACAAGCAGATCTTCGTACGATCTTAAGAGCTTATGCTCAATATAATCCTCAATTGGAATATTGTCAAGGTATGGGAAGATTGGCTGGATGTATGTTAATGCATATGCCATTAGAGGTAAAAAAAAAAAAAAAAATCAATACAAATGGGATACCAAACTTATGATTATCATATATATATATATATATATATATATATATATATATATATATATATATAGGATGCTTTTTGGCTTTTGGTATGTACAATTGATCGATATATGAATGGTTACTTTACACCTGAACTATCTCAACTTCGGATCGACGCTTATATTATTGGTCAATTACTTAAAGATCATGAACCTAAATTGGCTCAACATTTGGAAAACAATGATGTAACTCCCATCATGTATATTGCTCAATGGTTTTTGACTGCATTTACAATGACTCTTCCATGGAATTCTGTGTTACGTGTCTGGGATGTATTTTATTTTGAAGGTAAAATGAAAAAAAAAAAAAGATGAATAGGATTTTAAAATCAAATCATATACATTTTTTGTTTTCGTAGGTGTCAAAGTATTTTATAGAATCAGCTTGGCTATATTACAACTATGCAAAGGTAAAAATAAAAAAAAAAAAAAAGAGAGAACGAAAAAAGAAACGTTACATATTCATATTCTTACTCATATCATATATGTTAGATCATCTCCTGCAATCATGTCCCACCAATTCTGAAATCCTTGCATTTTTATTACATATACCACATGATTATTTGACAGCGGATGTTTTATTGGATACAGCATTTCATATCAAACTGTCAAAGACCGACATTGAACGATACGCCAAGAAAGCCACTTTGAATGGAGCCGATGCAATGGGATTACCTTTTGAACATGGATTGAAAAATTTACGTGTGGGCACCAACTTATCAAGCAATAGTATTGGAAGTACTTTGAAGGATAAAATCAAGAAAAAGAGCTCATCTATGAACTTGAAGGATCAAGCCACTACTTCATCACCATCACCACCATTACCAACATCATTATCATCTTTCGGATCATCTTAAATAAATGAATGACATACTGTTAGTTAGTTTTTACCTTTTAGTTTATACCCTACCCACTTGTTTTCTATATTTAGTTTTATCTTCAAGTCTTACTCTTTTTTTTTTTTTCTTTTAATAAACACCCTGATCATCCCCTGGATCTTTTTTTTTTTTTTTTCGAAAGATGAATTCCGTTTTTGACTCATGTGAAAACCGGAATGGATAAACTCCCAACTTTATCCCTGAGGTTTTAGCATGCCTTAGGAATTTCCAATGATATAATCATCCTCCCATTCGTTCATTATTGGTCTATCACTCAATTCTACTTCAACAATACATTAAAACAAAGGGGAAAAAAAAATATTGATTGTATCTTGATTTAAATTTTATTGATAGCTTGTGGTGGAACTCTTTATATTTTTTTTTTCCTTCAAACTAAATAAAATGGAACAAATAGATACAAGGCTAAGTAAGATTTGTGATTATGATAAGGTCTCCAACACAGTTGTCAACGTTTTCATATCATCACGTATAGATTTTGCAAACCGAAGTACCTTTTCCTAAAAGAGAGAGAGAATATCAGCTTTTTTTTTCATCTTCTACTTCCAGTTGAATTCTTACCTTATTATCTAAGACTTCGATAGTTTGAGTCAAAGCATTATAACGTACAGAAAAGGGACGATTCATTTGATTGGCAGCGAAATCACGTACTTTTTCTTGAGCATCCTTGAATGAGTCAGCGACAAAGTAGACAGGTTGATATTCGGTGATGGGGTATTTCTGTAGGGCGGTTTTAGCAGGATCAAAGGGTCGTAATTCGGGTTTATCCGATAAACAATATTCCAATTCACCAAATGAACTAAGTAAACCTGCACCATATGCTTTGAGTTCTCCTTCTTGTCGACATAAACCAAATTCTACTGTAAACCAAAATATCGTTGCTAGTTTTTCAATATCTTCATCAGATGCTCCTAATGATGCTAATCCAATTTCTTGTGAAAAGTCAGCAAAATCCGGATCAGCAAACTATATAAAAAAAAAAAAAAAGTTCAATCCTCTTATTTCCATTCTTTTTTTTTCTTTAACTTACCAAAGGAACATGACCTAATAATTCATGACAACAATCAGGTTCAGGAGTATAAAAAGGTTTAGAGGCATGACGAATATATTGAGTAGAATAAAATACACGGAAGGCAAAAGCATTCAAGAAATCACGACTGGACAATAAACCCATGACTGGACGTAAGGTAAAACCAGTACAATCCTTCAAAAAGCGAGAAATATGTTCGATTTGAGGAATCGCCTTGTCACTATACCCACAGTTTTGCACCAACAAAGGAAACACGTATTGATGTTCACGACAAGCATGTGTCTTGTACAACTCTGTCAATCGTCGGTATACTTTACCCCATGTCGCGTTTTCCTCTTCTGTATATTCGATTTCTGGAATCGTTTGACCTGTACGATACGTTTTGGCAATACGAGTGATTTCTGCACGACGAGCTCGATAAACAGGATCATGAGCACCAGGATGATCAGAACCTTTGTAAAAAAAAAAAAAAAAAAAAAAAATATATGTCAATAGTGGCCGTGGGAAATCATCGGACTTTTACTTACTTAATTCTTCACCCATTTCAAGTACTTTTTCAGCAAAACTATCAAGATCTGCCAATTTGCGTGGGAACCAAACCACGCTATCTATAATAAATAACAAAAATAAAAAAAATTCAATTCATCCGAATATATATATATAATATAAATAAATGATCACTTGCCTCCGGTATTTTCGGAACCAATGACACATACATCCTTTGTATGTTTACGAAGTTGGTCTACTACAGTTTCCACTTGTTTAGCATCCACTGCATTAAAATCAACAAAGAAATCATAATCCCAATCCTTTGTACGGCTAGGACGACTATAAAAAAAAGAAAGGATAAAAAGATGAATATTTATATATATATATATATATATATATATATATATTAATATTACGATTCAATTCGAGTTAAGGAAATAGACATGGATTTCAAAGCAGCAAGACAACTTTCAAGTCCTCCCACTGTATCTTGAATGGAGAAACATAAAGTAGTTTTAAGTGGTTCAGACATGGTGTTAGCAGGTGACATTTCTTTAAGAAAAGATAAGAAGGTTGAAATCAAAGAAGAAAAATTAAAAAGGAAAAAGAAAAAAGAACAAAAAAAAAAAAAAAAAGGATAATCTTTTATATATATATACTCCCCTAAAAAAAAAAAAACAAACAGTCTTTCCGTGATCAAATGGTCTCCTCCGCGGAGTTTATTCATCCTGGGAAAATAATGTATCATGTTCCCCACGCTCTAAGTTGGCAACACATCCAATGGATGAATCTCCCCTCTTTTTTTTATTAAACACATTCTCTCTTAATAAAAGATACTCATTATTCAATGCTTAAAAATATTATCTTGTTACGTTAGAATGCTTACATCATTTATTAGGGTGATCTTTTTTTCTTTTCCTCTAATCTCACTTATGTTAATGGTGATGATGATAATTTGATAAATGAAGTTCATAACGATACGACGGAATTCGAAATAAAGGCATGGACAAACTCAAGTCTCGGTGCACTGTATTTTCCTCTTTCTTTCACTCTTTCCCTCCTTTTTTTTTTTGTTTCTCACAGTTTTTTTTTTTTCTTTTTTTTTCTCTTTTGTTAGTTCCTTCTCTCAATCATTGCCAATTATTCTCTCATTTCATGGACTGGGGATAAGTCCTTATCGAAAACAACCTAATGGAACTAAACTATCAAGCAGACCGTTATTCAGTCACGAAATGACTATGATTCCTTTAAGGATGATATTATTATGTACAAACAACAATGGATTAGGCCTTGGTAAGTACTCTACATTTAAAGAATGAGGAAGATGAGTATTTTACTAACCTTTTTTTTTTATTTTATCTTGTTTTATTTGATAAAAGCCGAACAAGACCTTGGTTCAAGTAGATACAGCGACAACATCAAGACTGTCAATAATACTATTGATCAGCAACTGGCCACAAACATACCGCGATATGTTTTTTTTTAATCTTGGATTACATCATGACAGACGGTTTTGCAACATCGGTACCTCTTTACAAGCTTACAGGCAACGATGAACAACTGCTCTATGAATATTTGGGGCATTCTGACCTGATATGATTAGCGTTTATGTTCGGCATCATGGTTCCAACAATCTTATATATGATGACGCGTCATATGTTGAAGGCAAGTTATCATGATTCTATTATATGTGTCTCTCCTTTTTTTTCACATTAACTTGTACTATGATGTACAGGTACCACGAAGAATTCCAGCAACAATTACAAACAAGTGGTTTGGTGTATGGGGCTTTTCTTGAGCGTTGCGGTAATGAAAATAAAGCCATTACGAAAAAAAGTAAATACTAACAACAACATTTTCTTTTTGTGTATCCATCCTAGTGGCGCATTTGGGGCAAGAAGAACAAGATAGCAGGTATAAAAAAAGCTAAATCGGATTATGGCAACTTCAGTTGTAGTGTAGCTTTTTTGATGGTGTTCTTCTGATCGGCTTCTCTTTTTCTCTCTCCTTATCTCATTCTGACCTTCTTTTATCAGTGGTTAGTCTTTTACATATAATTTATCATTTTTATAAATACTTCTTCAATAAAGATATAATATTTACTACTATCATCACCTCCGTCGATATCTTCTCTTTTTTTTAAAAAACATATATATATATTTCTAATAGTCATCATAGTCCTCATGCACCTATCAACAACAAGCGTCAATAGCAATCGTTCTAGAACTAAAAAGGAATCAATCGATCTATTCCTTTCGATTTTATGATTCACAACAGGGAGTGACACAAAGAATAAGAGAATTTATTATAAAAAGTATATACAACATTAAACAAAAAAAAAAAATCTATCTATCCATCCATTTTTTTATCGTCGATATTTTTCAAATTCCCTGACGACGGATTCAATCGATCGATTCTTAGTTTCTATCAACAACAACAACAACAACAACAAAAAAAAAAAAAAAAAAAGGATGAGTCATATTCTTTTCTTTTTTTTTTTTTTAATTATATTACCAGGGACATAGAAATAAGTAAATACCAAGGCGATCAAACCGATGCCAGCAAAGATCAAAAAGGTGTAAGGTTGGATAGCAGCAAAGACGACAGGGAAGAACAAGGCGACGATAAAATTGACGAGCCAGTTGATACTTGTGGTGAGACTACCGATGGTGGAGGAAGCATAAGTAGGGCACATATCAATCGTCAGCAACCAAGGGATAGGGTTCATGCCCAAAGCAAAGCTGGCAACAAAGAACATGACACCGACAATCAACAAGGCAGACAGATGGAAAAACAGACCTAAAAACATCACCACGGCAAATAACGTCACGCCTGTTTCTGATAGGAAAAGTAATCGTCGTCGACCCATGCGATCAATCAAAGCGGCTGCTACCACCGTCATCACAAGCAATACGGCTGTATCCACCGTGGCCATAGATGACCACATCACAGCCGTATTATGATTATCATACACCGCCGCATAGACCATCGAGCTATAATAAAGAAGGGCATTCAAGCCTAAGAATTGTTGAAGTACATGAAGCACAACCAATGTCATGGTCATCCGTCGCATCACTGGGTCCTTCATCACTTGTTTTGCCGTCACTTGTTGTTCTTTGGGATGATCTTGTTCTTCTCCTCCTGTTGGACCCATCATCCTATCATCATCATCATCATCATCGTCATCTTCTTCTTGTTGTTGTCTTTGTTTTTCATCAGAGGGTAAGCTAGTATCTAATCGTTGATGTTCATCATCATCATCATCATCATCATCATCATCTTGTTGATGTTGTATCTCTTTTTCTTTACTAGGAGGATGTTCAACCAATGTTGCTTGGGCAGAGGAAGGTCGATGAAAAGATCGCCATTCTTGTAATGATTTTTCATCTTTGGTGGCAAGATGTTTCATGGCAGTGATGGCAGCAGCTGGACCAACATGACCTTCGACGATTTCAAAGAATTCTCGATCAATGTTATGCTTGCCTCGCAGTTTTTGAAGAACGTAATGTGCTTCCTCAATACGATTGACGGAAATCAACCATCGGGGGGATTCCACACAAGTTGTCATCAATAAAGTTTGTATTAGGGCAGGTACACCGGCCAAACCATAATTGATTCGCCATAACGGTACACGACATAAAAACATACCTATCAATGTTGATAAAAAGATTCCTATAGCGATGAAGAATCTATTCCAAAAAAAAAAAAAGAATGAATTATTCTATTGATCTATCTATCTATCTATATTTTTTTTCTTTACTGATGATAACAACCCATGGCTCCACGGGCACGAATAGTGGAGATTTCACCAATATAAGTAGGAATGACCAAAGAACACACACCACATGAAAGACCACAGATGATCCGGCCAGCAATCATCATACCTGATGAAAAAGAGACGGCAACCACCACACTACCCACAATAAACCCAGCATTACTGAGCATGATGGTTTTTTTGCGACCCAGTCGTGTTTGTAAAAATCCACAACTCACTGCTCCTACAAATCCTCCTAGACAAAAAGATGCCACTGCAAACGCCCTAATAAAAAAAAAAAAAAAAAAAGATAAGAATCCATCATCATCTTATTCATGATAGGCACTTGCCATAAAAAGGTCGTCATCGGTAAACAATCAGGAAACTTGATATTATAAAGATGAGCATTGCCTGTAGCACAATTATGTGTAATTTCTCCGGGAACGTTGGGTGATCTTTTTGTTTTATTGAAGAAAAAAAAAATAAGTCAAAGTGATTTTTTTTTTTAATCATCATCTTACCCAATGACCCAACCAAAAGATAATGAAGTAATACATGCTACCAAAACACAATATACCATATATTTTGGTGTTTTTGCTTCAATCGACTCCATTTTTGTGGAACAATAATAAAAAAAAAAAAAAGGAATGACAAAAAGAAAAAGGATGACAACAAGATAGTTTTCCCTTTCTTACAACCCCCCTTCTTTAAAGAACAAGGGACCCTTACCCATGATCAAAAAAAAAAAAAAAAATAGATGGATATTTTTGTTTTTTTATTAAGATACTAGATGATCATACATCAATACTATCCAACTATAAACTATACCAATAGCACAATATACACTCGTCATCATCAATGGTAAAAATTCATAACTTGTACCAAACAAAAGAGAATGACCTAATCCTGTATAGCACTGTACCAAAATCAAACCCATCACATAAATCCCCTCCAGTTTTGTCAATAACTGCTTTAGTCGCCTAGGGTGTTCCAAAGAAGGAAATTGAGACAACAACAAAAAAAAAGGGTTAGATTCAAACACCGAACATCATCCAACTTACATATCAAGACAATAGCATAACCCTGGAAGGACAGATAAATACCAAATCACTGTAATCAATAACTTTAGTGGGGTTTCTATCAAAAAAAAAAAAATAGTTTTTGATATCAGCAACCATAAAATAATGTTTTTTTTATTTACCTTGGATATGGAATAATAATGGATATAGAGACATAATACCAGCACTACTAAGGATGACAAATTGTCGTAAATGAAATGTACTTTTCAACGCCATCAACCTATCCAAAAAAAAAAAAAAAAATCAATATTCATTCTCATTCTATATATATATATATATATACTTACGAATAAGGAATCAAGATCAACATAATGGCCTTTTCATGCACATGCCAACCAAAAAGATACGAAGCAAATCCACACAAGGTCAATGAAGAGATGAAATGATCATAGGTTGGTTTTCGCCAAAGAACTTGAAGTACCATCTAATATATATCAATTAATTTTGAAATCATCATATATCTTTTTTTTACTCCTTTGTTTTCTGACTTACCAATTGAACTAGTACTGTCAATATCATGGTATGAATCGTTTTCACAGGTGGTAAGATTGCAAACACTGTATCCCCAACATATCCTCTAGTCATTGATGTCACTGCACTTTCATCAAAGGACCAATGACATTTCTTGGCCACTAATACATAAAAAAAAAATTAGTCGTTTTGCTGTTTTCCCATCATAGAACTTTACCCAAGATCAAACATCGATCCAATCCAGCATACAATGCCCATACATTCGGTGCCCAATAAGCATGACATAATCCACGTGTAAAAGGAAAAAGACGAGTGATCATAGCATTCAACTGACCTGTCTTGATAAATGGAAACAGTGATAAACCAAACACAGCAAGAACAGATCCACCTAATCGAAAGAATCTTGTCACTGAAAAGGATCTGTTGTTTGTATAACAATAGGCTTGTAATAGATAGACAAAATAGGCCGGTGATAAATAGAGATAAATATGTTTGAAATTGAGTAAAATGGCAAATAGAATACCGGATGATAAAAGACGATTCTAATACAAAAAAAAAAAAAAAAAAAAAAAAAAATTAGATTATCAACTTATGAAGGTATATCCATTTTTTTTTTTTTTTTTTACCTTTTTCGCTTCAACAATGGAATGTAATAGAATGCCATAAAGTAACCCATTATATTGAAAATGCAAATGATCAACAATCCATAATCCAGGATGAAGAAAAATAGATGCTGCTATCACGACAAGAGACGATACTTTTGTTGTTTTCGATACTACTGGTGTTGACGTGTTAATATATCGCAAAAGGGCCCAATACAAGACCAATTCACTAACAATGACGGTCAGACGTTGATAGATGACGGTAGCATCGCTATTATATCCATATTGACTAATGTGTACCATAAGTGGATCCACTTGATATGCAACCAAGCTTAATATTTTCTCGAACCAAGCAAAAAAAGGTGGATAATCCAAAGTCCATTCTGAAGTAGCCTACAACAAAAAAGAAAAAATAAGATGGTTTTCTTCATGATATATAGAAATACTATACATACCTCAAGATACCATTGGGAAATAGGAAGACTATATGTAATGGCTAACCAGTTCCTGTGTACTTCAAAATCAGTTGATCGACTTTTAAAAAAAAAATATGAGAAACCCTATTGATAAATAAAAAGATATTCTTTCCTTACTAGGCAGGGAATAAAAGACATTTGACAAGTGTACTAAGAATCAAAAGAGAAAGCATATGTGGAAATAACGAATCATGGAGGAAGAAGACGGTATTAGAAAAAAAAAAAAAAAAAAAGAAAAAAGAAAAAAAAAAAAGGAAAAGGAAAAGAATAAAGTATAATAATCGTGTATTGCATCCCCGAATATAATAATAATAAAAAAAATTCCAATTTTTTAAGAAATGTTCGATGATAATCCTTTTATTTCATATAATCTGATAAAACTAAAACTATTTCCTATTACGTGTTTAGTTCTTCTAAATAACTATTAATACGAGCATTCAAATCATCCAGTTGCCCCTTTTGTCTTGTAGGCTTCACGAGACACATATCATGAACGGATGGCACATCTTTCATATCTTTGTTGACACCATCGGAAGAAGAAGAAGAGGAAGAATCGGAAGAGGGATCACCATAGGAAAAAGTGAGTGAAGGAGGAGGAGCAGGAATAGGCGATACATCTTGCTGACCATTTGTTTCACGGCTATGATCATCAGAAAAAGTAGAATCATCAAGCTGTCGAATATCATCTCCAGGTGGGAATGAGGATGAATCAAGATCATCACCTGTATCATAGTACTGATAGGGTCGAGTATACGGATGATGAAGACGATGATGATGACGACGACGACGAGTTGGGTGAGGTGGACGAGGTGGGAAAGTAGGAGGACGGGGTGGTGGACGTTGATGTTGACGAGGGAATGGATGATTCGAATGATTGAAAGGTTCCTGTTGCTGTTTCTCCAATTGATCCATCACCTGCAAGACGAGTTTCAGTTTGTCATTGGTAGTTTTACTGTAAAGAGTGCTTGCTTTAGGAAGAACATTCACTGTTGCATGATGGTTTTCTTGCTGATGATCCTTCTTTTCACGTGAGTTATACCAGCCTTGTACCTGTTCCGCCAATCGCAAATCCAATGTTTCTTGAGTCTTTTTATCTTCAAGTTCAATCTGTTTCATTCGTTCCACAAGACATATATCAAGGTCCAAACTATCATCATCCGTATTACACGTACATTGGCAATCAATTTCTTCGCGTTCTTTCATTGTAAGTGTTTTAAAAAAAAAAAGTAATTGGATCAATAATAATAAAAAAAAAGGAACGATAATAAAAAAAAGAGACCCTATATATATATCCATTTTAAATGATGTCTAACAACAATATGTCTAACAACAATGAACACGTCTTTTTTTTTTTTTCTTTATGTGTTCTTTTCTTTTTTGGGGGGGGGAGTCATTTTCATTGTCATTTTATTAATAATCATCATCCTATCAACAAAAAAAAAGAGGAGGTTCTTTATCCCTCAGATCGTGAACAGCACATTCATTAAAAAATCATGAACCGTTGTCTGACCGAGAATTGCTTTTTCTAGGAAAAAAAAGAAAAGATGATATCTAGATAAAAAGTAGTTCAAACGAAATATAAAATCAAACACTTTTCATCTAGTCTTTTTCCGTCAATAATTAAAAAAAAAAAAAAAAAGAAAGTTGTCAAGGATAAAGAAAAAAATTTTTTTATATCCATTTTTTTTTTTCGTGCCCAGCTTGTTCGTGACCACGACAACAAGTATATAAAGGATCAACCAATCAGCGTAAGTTGTCAGATTGACTACCCTAAATAGTACTTGGTTCCTTTTTTTCTCCAATCATGGATGAAACCCTAATATGTCAAAAAACAAATAATGTAAATTATTGACCACAATCAAAAGAAACAAATAAAGAATATTTTACCAATGATCCTATAACGCTAGTCGAAATACACAATTATTATTGGCTATGATCACGTATTTGTTAATTCTATTCTTCTTCTTCAACTTTGAACCATACTATGGATAGATCTACAAAAGAAAGCATCCTTTTAGTTTTAGTCATTGGCAAAACAAAATATTCACCTCCTAATCTATACAGTACCTTTTAAGTCTCTGGTACGAAGGAGAAAATAAAATTTTGATATATCGTCGTCTTAATTTTTTTTTTCTTTTTAATTACATCGATTGAATCTGTCTTGAAAGAATTTGAAAGCTAGTGACAACAAAAAAAAAAAAAAATGGATGGATGGATGAATGGATAAAGATTTTTTTTTTTTGTTTAATGATTATTGTATATATATTTTATAATTTTAATCTTTTGTGTCACCAGTTGTTGTGAATCGAGATCGAAAAGTCGAAGGGAATAATAGATCGATCGAACGATTGATTCCTTTTTTCTTTTTGTTAATTCTAGACCAAGAATAATCGTTGTCGATGTTTGTTATTGTTACATGATGATTGATGATGTCTATGCTGACTATTTGAAATATATATATATTTTTTTTAAAAAAAAAAAGATGATGATAATAGTAAGAACATGATTATTCTTTATTGAAAAAAGTATGTATAAAAATGATAAATTATATGTGAAAGACTAACTAATAATAAAAGAACCACCACTATAAAGTCATTTTTCGCTGCCCTGAATTTAGTATGCCATCCATTTGCTCATGCTTGAAGATTGAGCCAATTGATAATAATTCACTAAGGTTCCTTTAGCTGTTTGTTGGAAATTCACCAAACAAGACAAGAGAGCAGAAAAAGTCAAAGATTTCATTGGATCACCATGTTGAATTGACAGATCATTCAGAATGTAACTATGTTATATTCTAAAAATAAAAAAAAAAAAAAGGAAAAGAAAAAGAAAAATAAATTCTGACTCAGATTTGAGTCAGAATTTCATAGATATGCGCATTATTACATTTGTCCCATCTCACTTACCAGTCTTAAATGATATTAAGCAAAGATGATGGAATAAGATAAGAACACTGTTTCGGATTTGCTCCCGAAAAAAAAAAAAAAACTTTACTATCAAATCCCCCCCCCTTTTTTTTTCTAATTTTTTTTTTTTTTATTTTCGTGTTCAAATATAGGCAAATAAAAAAAAAATGAAAACCAGTTTGTATTTTGGTTTGTTATGATACTGCAAGTTGTTTGTTGGGGATTTGACTTCACTCCTTACATTACCATGTTTGGTGAAAAGACAATGGGGTAAGCCAATCAGATTATTTTCATTATCCATCCATATATTTATATCTTTATTATTTATTTCTACCCTGTCTATATATATCAAAGATGATCATTCAAAACCAATATATATATATATGTATGACTTATCTATCACAACAGGTAACCTGTCAACTTATCTAAACTATTCATTGATATATATAAAAAAAATAAGACGATATTCTCCTATCTTGATCGACAATGAAGGAAAAAAAAAAAAAAAAAAAAAAAAAAAAGAAAAAAAAAAAAACTCAGTGACACACCTATGTTGATAACGATGCGTTATCATATCTCAGTTTTTTTTTTTTTTTTTTTGTCATAAACAGTTTCATCTATATGCAAGTGTTATCTTGCTTCCCTTACAAAACAACAACAACAAAATGGAGGGAAAAGAATGGATATTTGGATGGTCATCTGGTTTCCTGTTATTATCAGTTCACCTTCTTGATTTAGGTTGGTGGGAAAAGAAATAGTCGATCTGGCGCAAAAAAAAAAAAAAAAAAAAAAAACGTGATTCCATAGCATAATGAGGAATAGCATTCAACCTATGAATGGGATAAATGGCGGGTTACTAATCCGATACTTAGGTATAAATGTTAGGTGCTGTTGTTGTTTGTGTATAAACAAAAAAAAAAGCAATGTTTTACAAGAATAGCAAACAGAGTCCCTTGAAGTTGACACTATATATATATATTTTTTTCTTTATCATCATCATCATCAACAATATCATTACTCGCTCTCTTTGATTCATTAAATAAAATAATACAACAAAAAAAAAAAGATGGTAAAGAATTGGTTTTGTTGCTATTATAGATGAAACTAACGAAAATGAAAACACGTTAAAATAAAAAGGAGTAGTAGTAAATACATTCGTACATATATATATGTGTGTGTGTGAAAATACAACAAGAGATAACCCCAGCAAAAAATATATATATGGTAGCTGTGCGATTTGTTTACAATCATGATAGTAAAACATTTTTTTTTTATTAAACAAACTTTTTTGATTTTGAATGTGGATGGTTGTGAGAGAATAAGACAGAAGACGACATTTATATACAGAATGAACAAAATACAAGAGAGGAAGTATAAACTAATTTTGAACGATGGAAGAAGGAGGGGATGAGTTGTAAAAACAGTATTTTGAAATAAAATCTTGATAACCGACATGAAGAGAAGTAGGTAAAGTATGCTGATGGTATGGATGAGTTGTTGTTGTATTGTTATTCATCATGGTTGATAATGTATTGGTAGGTTGATATCGAGCATTTGAAAAATTATAACGAAGTTTCAATTGATCCAAAGCTTGCAAAGGAGAAGTATTCTTGTTGTTGTTGGGTTGATCTAAGAAAGGATCATCCTCTTCTTCGTCATCATCATCATTGTCACTTAGTTCCAAAGGAGGTGTAGTAGGAGGTGAAGAGACAAGATTGGTACGTAAGATATCCACTTGATAATTCTTGCCATCATTATTATCCCAAAATTCTTGACCATTGACATTATACCGTAAAGCAATCCAACAAGTCATTGTTGTTGATGTTGATGGAAAACCAATTTCAAAGGTAAATCTATCCCATGTATTGCTAGTACTTGCAATAGGTTCACGATAAATAGCATTGATTTCTTGATAAGTTTGCCAATAATCAAAAGAATAACGTATGATGACCTGTTTTTCATAGGCTAAATTGGATACACGACATCGCCCAAATAATACTTTTGTCAAACCATGATGTGGATGATCCATCAATTGTACACTTTCCATCCGAATTGCCGATTGTGATAAAGATTTATATAAAGTCCATTTGGAAGGCCAACCAGGATATTGAATATCATAACGTACTTGTTGAGTTAATAGAGGAGGATCACCTTTTCGTACTGCCAATGGTGTTTGTGTCTTGATGAATAATCGAACTTGTTCTAAAGCATCATCTGAACAAAATCGTACAGTTTTCTTTTTTTGTTCATTGTTGATAAGTGGTGATGGTGAAGGTAGAGGTCTTCTTTGATTTCCATATCGATTATTGATAGAAACTCGACGTTTTGGTTGATGTTGAGTTAACATTTATAATATATATATAAAAATAGTATGTATTGATATATAAAAGAACTATTTAATATATATATATATGTATAAAGGAATGAGATATATAAAAAAAATGAAAAAAAGGGAAAAGAAAGGGAAAGAAAGGGAAAATCTAGAAAAAAAAAAAAGCCAGTTGTTTATATAGATAATCTGGAGGCAACTCTTTTTGGATGGTGTGAGAGAAAATGAACTCCGCGTCTCTCTCTGTTATTCCTCCAAAATCTTCTTTTTGATTTTATGCGTACTACCACTAACGAACCAACCTACTTACTTTCTTTTCTCACCCTCTTAAGCATCATCATTTAGAAATAGATCTTTTTTAATCTATCTACATTCCAAAAGCCAACATATTGTTCTCCGACACGTAAAAAAACGGAAAAAGTCATTTATATCATGCAACTTTTTTTTTTTTTATTGTTGGTTTTACTTTGATAAAAACTCAATCAACATGGATTTGACAAACAAAGAACAAGAAATCAGTTGATATCTTATTATTTATAAATTATACCATCTTAATCATTATAGATAAAGATGAAGTTGATTTAGAATAATAATACGGATTTAACTAAAAAGATTTCTTTCTCCACATTATATATTCTAAATGCGGTAAACGACGGTGGACGATGCGTTTTTTTTTTTTTTATGTTCAACAGTGAAAATTATAATAAGGTCACAAGGCATAACAAAACTTCATATATTTAGGTTCATATCTTTGATCCTCATTGATTGTACTCCTGTTTTTTTTTTTCATCTCAACACTAAAAAGGTTTGATTTCACTTTCCGGTCGTACGACCCAACATCGTTCCTTATTCAACATGTCAAAAAAACTAATTCTGTTTTTTTCCCAACAAGTACAACTATTATTAAAAAAAACATAGCAAACAATAGTAATAAAAGATAGCATCGAAGAAAATAATAATAAAAGGTCATGCGTGGGTAAAATTAAGGTACGTATATCTTTCCCCGGTTCATTTTGATGTATCTATACATTTGCTTCCGTTATCGATAGTTTCCGATCATCATCGTATTATACTGTAATTTCATCTTCCTTTCTCTTCTTGTTTCTCTCTCTCTTTAATCATACGCAAACATCAAAATGAGCGTATATATATATTAATGTCCATTTCTATTTCTTAAGAGAATCACGCCCGTTCAACGTATCACCAAATCTATCTATTTTCCCAACATATAAAAAAAAAATATTTTTTTTTACTTTATTTTCCAGACGGTCGAGCCATCGTCCTGGTGACTTTAGTAAAAGAGTAAATATAGTTTATTTACTTTGAATTGAGATGAAAAATAAAAATAGACCCAAAGAATAAATGAAAGTGAAGAAGGATGTCGAAAAAAAAAAGAGGATCAGTAAAGATGTGAGATATCAAAAAGACAAATAATAAAGAAAAAAAGAGAGAGAGAAAGGATGCACATATAGGATGATGATGTCGACATTCCATCATCTTCAATGTCCTTTTGTGTTGAACTGATATCATTGATCTTCACTCAGTGATATATGATACCTTTCATCAATATATGATGCAATCACTATGCTTATTTTCCTCTTCTTTTTTTTTAATAGAAAATAAAAAGGGATTTATAATTAGTTTTCATTGATAAAATATTCCATAAGGAATAGAGTAATTCTGTAATATATAGAGTTCCCATCATTTTGAAGGTTAGTAGCTAATGGATGATGATGGTAAATATGAATCCATGGAATTCGCATCAGTCATCTATAAAATCTGTCATATAGGAGACTCATATCTAATTTTTTTTTCATTCAATCAATCAATCATCACTCCATCATTCATAGTCAAATATACAGTCATGATCAAAACCTGCTCGTTCATCTTCTTTTTTTTTTCTTCCCTACCGACAGGGCACGTGGTCTATTTGTTTGTTTTCTGTTACTCTTATCATCATCATCAAGATATCATTTTTTTCTTCCCCACATTGTTTATCCTTTTTTTTTTCTTCTTCTTCTTCTCTTGTAGGATGATACTTTTCCATTAAAAATTTGACTGCCGTTTTGTTGCGTGGTTTTCTTTTTACATTAGATCCAGCAAAAAAAAAAAAAAAAAAAAGTTCGATTTTTTTGAGGCATGATTTTTATTCGTTCTCACATAAAATCCTTGTCCTTTACTGACCCTAGTGGAAGTGTAACCCAACAAAAATCAAAAAAGGAATACAAACAAAAAAAGGGCGATCGTCCACCCTACCCTTTTTTTTTTATTATTTTTATTATTTTCTCACTACCAAATAAAATTTACCTTGTGAGAGGAAAGTAATCCAAAAGAACATGTGATGAGATAAAAACAAACTGTTTATTATAAAATAGAAAGATAGGAATAAGCATTGTATATAATAATGTAATAGATAAAAAGAAAGATAGATATATATACATATATTTGTATAGAGAATAGAATAAAAAAAAAAAAAGTATTAAAGTGTAGTGAATATAAAAAAAAAAAAATAAAAATAAAAAATAAAAGGGGAAAGACGGATCAATCTATCCAGGGTCCAGCATCATCATCATCATCATCATCAGCATCATCGTCATGTTGGATAGAGTGAGGGGATTGTCGACAAGTTCGTTTAGGTCGATGAGAAAAAGTGGATGTACGTTTTTTGATCATATTCATCTTTTTTGACGTTTTCGGTACCCCCGATCTATCTACAAAAGATAAGATAAAAAAAAATATTAGTTTTTTTTTTTTTTATCTTAGTTTCAATTCATCATCATTGTTATTTACCTTGTTTCTTTTTCATATCATAACCATGCAACGGAGAGGCAACCAAATAAGGCAGGAGACGACGTCGGGCATTGATGAACCAATTACTGATTTGATTAATAGTCAATTGGGTTTCTTGTTGTAAAAAGGATTTCTCATTATCGGTGGGATAAGGATGATCGACATGACGCACTAACCATTCTTTCAATAAACATGTGATAGATTTGGGTAAATTACCTCTTCTTTTCCTGCCTGCCAACAAGGGTGACGATAATATGGATGATTCATCTTCCTGTGTTGATGGCGATGATGGAGGTGTCTCTTGTTGCCTTTTCTTATCCTTTTTATTTCTAGGTGGATGATTGACCTTTTTCTTTTTTCTCATCTTGCCTTTTGAGATCTTGGATACCTTATCATCACCTTCATTATTATTATCATCATCATAAGGAGACGGATAGCCAAGGGGTAAATATTCATCCATTTCAAGTGGCGTACGACAACCGTCACTTCCACCAGATGAAGAAACCATAGACATGAATGAATCTTGTGAACGATGTCGATGATGATGAGATCCTTCCTGACGTTGATATATATTACGATTATCTAATGATGATGATGATGATGATGATGAGAGTAGAATGGTCCATAATTGTCCATTGAAACGTAACATATCATGAATTTGTTCTTTTTTTTCTAAAGGGAAATCAAAAGCACGTTGATCATTGTATAATATGACTGGGCTGAAATGACGTGGCATCATTATGATAGACAAAAAAAAAATAATAATGGTCAACTAAATGTAGTAAAGAAGAAGAAGAAAAAAAAAATGAAAAAGAAGGGAAAACAAAAAGAGGGGGGAAAATGGCTAAGAAAAGAATGAAAAAAAAAGGTTGCTTTTTGTTTCTTTTATATAAATACTATATGTATAAACCTGGCTATATATAAATAAACGTAAGCACAAACTATTCTAAAACAAGATGATGCATGATCGTCCTCTTTTTTGACAAGTGCACAACACTTAAATTAAACACCGACGACATCCATCTTCATTTGGTCTGACGAAATATTATTAGTTTTTTAAAAATACTATTACCATGACAACCAAATAACAAAAGATAACTAAAGTATAAAATAAAAAGAAAGAAAATTATCGTCATGTATAGAAGAAAAAAGAAAAATGAATGGCGAAACGTCATTGCTGAATTACCATATTATGATGAAAGCCGAAGCAAGGGGGGAGGGAACATATTATATATATATATAGTGATATTTGTCTGATTCATGTCAGGAAAAGTAAGAAAAAGGAGACAAATAATCAGTCATCAACTTTACTTCTTTCCTTTAATAATAATAAAAAAGAGACAACACATTATTTTTATACAAGCTTTTTTTTTTTAAAAAAAAAAAAAAAAGGGAACGCCTTCATCCATGAAAGAAACATGGTTCATCCATGAGGCACCGGAGGGTGGTTCTTTTTTTATTTGTTCACAACCAAAACTGCAGAGCCACATAGGAAAGGATGCATCTTTATTATTGTTTTGAAGTCTACTGTCTGTTCATGATGATGCCGATGATGAATAAATGCATCTTTGGGACGTGCTCAAATGATAAAAAAGATTGGTTGAGATTACGATTCAAAACACGTCCACAACCTTAGCAATAACGATGATGATTGATAAAACAAAAAAAAGTGAAAAATAGACTGGTCTTTTTTTGACTTTTGAAACCTTAAAGTGTCACTTTCTGTGCAACACTGTTGCTTTCGTTCTCTTCTAGAAAGTGGCACTTTTTCCCCCCGTTCTTTTTTTGTAATAGCAATGATCATATCATTGAATCATTAAACATATATATATAAGGTTTTCTGTATCCACATATTCATCTGTTATCATTAAATGCAATAAAAAAAATTATATCCTGTCACATGGTGTTGCCGAGTGCCAATAAAAAAAGGGGAATACAATCTTGTACAATCATTTTCAAAATAATAATGATAAAATAATTTCTTTATTAAACACATAATCAATATATCTATAAACCTGTCTATCTTTCTAACTAACTGTATATACATCCAATTTACATACCAACCTAATCATACATAAAAAAAAAAAAAAAAAGAACTTCACTGTATTGATATTGAGTGTATTTTTTTTCCTTGTTCCTTGTTTGTTCTGTTATTCCATTCGAGCTTTCAATCCATTCCTCTTATCCTAATATTGTCTACTGTTCCATTCAACTATCCAGTATATCTTTTTTTTTTTTTTTTTTTTTTTTTTTTAGTTCCTATCTATTGCCCATGTCTTGCATTGATGTCACCAAGAATGACAAAAAAAAAAAGAAGGAATGAATGACTTTTTCCCTTGTCTTTCTGGTTACCAGCTGTGTCACCTCTATTTTCTATTTAAGATACCTTTTCTTTCAGTTTTTTTTACCTATTAATCCATCCTATTATATTTAACAATAAGAATAAGAATAAAAAATAGATATGAGTATATTCATTCACCTTTGCATTTTAGTGAATAATAAACTAAACTTTTATCTTTTTTTTTTCTTTTGTTATTTACCTTTTAACGTTTTTGTCAGTATAATATCCATGTAGTATCCATCTTGGTGAAAACAGTCTATTAAATATTAAAGTTGATAAACATTCCAGTCCAACGATTACCTTCAGTCCCATGTTAATACTGTATAAAATAAAAGCGATTCAATGTAAAAACAAAAGAAAAAGAGAGCAGAAGAAAAAAAAAAAAAAGAAAAAATTTAAAGCGTGTATTTTGCGGAGCTCAATTTCAATATGCATTTGGTTGTCTCTTGTTGGTGAGTCATAATACAAACTGATGGTAAACATAAATCGATCGATGATGTTGTTTGTCAATGATGATTGCGATAATAATAAGTATATAATAATTTAATATAGGACAAGGCATTATGGCCAATCAGATTTTTATTTCCAAAAACGTAAATCAAGAGAGAAAGCTCTGATAAAGAAATAAAATATCTAAAACACAAAAGAAGATGTAAATTGACCAGAGTAAAAAAAAAAAAAAAAAAAAAAAAAAAGGAAATAATCGTAATTATATAGTTCGTGTCCTTGATATCAAACTGTCCTTCTAATGTACTTGACCAATGACTTTATTCCCAGAGCGTAACACCTCACCATTGTTTGATCCTTTTGAGTTGATATATATTCCCTTGTGAACTGAATATCTACTTGCCATTCGTATTTCCCTAATGAGTCCATTTTAGTTTACAGGTCATTGCAGATGGATTGAGCCAAGTCCAGTGTTGACGTTCTTCTCGACTTTTTATTGAATTCGTAGGGTTTGGTCGATTTGTATCAGCTTTTAAAGACTTCAGCACCATTGGTCTACATAATATAAAAAAAATGAAAGGGAGAAAAAAAAAATGTAAAAGTGTGGGAGAAATAAAAAATGTCTGATCCCGATCCATCGTCTTTTTTTTTTTTTTTTTTTTTTTTTTTTTGTATCTTTTTTTTTTTTTTTTTTTTTTTTTTCAAAATATTTCAAAAAGGGGACACTAGAAAGAGAAATGAAAAGTAATATGAAGTGAACACCAATTGTGTCGCTATGCCAACCAACCATCCAATTTTTTTTTCTTTTTTTTTTCTTTTTTTATTTTTTTTTTTCTTTTTTTTTTTTTTTCTTTTTTTTTTTATTTTCTTTTTCTTTTTTGTTTTTTTTAAAAAAATACTATGCAACATGATCAAAGAAACCTTTGCATGTCAGAATGGAATGTTTCGAATGTTAGCATTGTAGATTGAATATCGTAAACATCACTTGAACGTCTAACTTTATCTACAAACTGATAGTATTTATGTTCAAAAGATGACGTAAAACCATCTTTCCTTTTCATCTCTTTAATGAGTAGTTCTATTCTTTCGATTGAATCATGTTTCAAATCGTTTAATTCTTTATTCTCGTTTGCCATTTCAGTTACCTTTAACTTGAGTTCATCATAGTCATTACAAGATGTTATTAAATTTACCAAATCAGATAATTGTATGCTCATAATACTGTAATATCGCGTATAATAATAGAAGAGGGAAAAAGAGGGAAAGAAACAGAAAAAGGAAAAAAAAAAAAGAGATATGAATTCAAAACAATAAAAAATCGAAATGGCAAAAAGAAATAAATACAGCATGTAAAAAAGGAAATGATCGGCGTGTAAATGATGTTGTAACAAAAAAAAAAAAAATGGATACAAGATTCCTTTTTATTAAAAAAGTGCGTTAAAAAAAGTTGTTTGTACTCTATTACAATATTTTATATCGGTTTTATTTTATTTCATTAGCACTTATTTTAGTTTATATTAGGATTATATAGAGCATACATTTTATTGATACTTTACTTTTATTGATGTGATGAATCATCATGGGTGTAGTGATTCATCTTGATGGTTGCCCTGAATGTACTTTTACTAGCAGTATTGTAGACCATGGTGATTTTAAAAGTCCGTTTTCCTTTTCTTTTCTGTTCTTTTCTTTTCTTAAGCTTTAGTAAATCAATTAGTAGTCTTCAGAAGTTATATTTTTATTCAATAAAGTTTTTTTTTTTTATTTTATTTTATTACAATTACCTTATTACATGTCAATGTAATTGATTCCATCCTTATTTGATGTAGTAGCATACTTTTTTTTTGAATGCATTCTTTTTTATTTTACGCGTATATTTATAGATACAGAGTACTTTGATATGACGAATAAACTTTTGACTAAAAAGAGCTTTTTTTTTTTTTTTTTTACAGGTTTATTTATAAATCTATTGATAAAAAAAAAAAAAAAGGTTACCACGTAAACGACATCAGTGATTTTCAAGGTCAAATCAACCGATTCCACTTTTAAGCAATTCCAATCCGACCATTCCGTTTTCAAGTAATTCCACTCCAGATGATGGCAATGAAGTGGTACAAAGACCTTGATTAGGAAAATATTTCCAACTCAGACGATTGGAAATATAGGTGATTTTCCAGTTCTCGAAACCCAACTGGGTTCATGGTCTAGTGGTATGACGTCGGCTTTGCATGCTGAAGGCCCGGGGTTCAATTCCCCGTGGATCCAATCCTTTTGCTATTCGTCAAGAAGTTTGTGTAACATTCCTTATTAAGCTGCAGGTAACGAATGTGTTAGGTGTGAAGTGATTTTTTGGTTTATGGGTTCAAATGTTAGGGATTTATTTGTTATTCAGTGGATGATCGATTTATATAATTGTTGAATATTATTATTGTAATAATAATATTGATGATGATTATTTGTTAGTGAGCACCAGTTCGTTTTTATAAAAGAGAACAAAACAGTATAAAGTAGATTTAAATGTATATTCCAAATATAGAAATGAATGACTTGATTATTTGATCACAATTGATGATGATCAATAAAATAATAATAACTTGATTGTAGTTTGATAATAGAATAATAAAATAATAATAAAACTTAGGATGATTGATTCCTTAAGAGTGGTCAAGATAGTTTGATTTATGAATCTTTTTATGTTTATTAAAAAAAATAAAGATCTCTTTGACAAAGTAAAAATATCATAATAACTAAGTGCTATTTATAATAAAAAAACCTAAGTCAAACCAAAAAAAATAAAATTGGTGAGAACGGCCAAAATGGTGAGAACTGGAGAAATGGTGAGAATTGGTGAATTGGTGAGA